CTGACCTGTTATATTTGTAACATAAGACAAACATGCACTCCAAAGCCTAAAATTCTTGTGATGGACAATTTATCASAACTCTCAATAAATTGTGCCAGGGGCATTAGCAAAACAGCAAGAGCAATGAAAAAAGTTTACAGAGAATGGATGTCACCTTGATGTTTGGCATCAAAGCAAAATTCAGAGCAAGTCAGGTGCCGTAACTGTAAGATACAAAAGGCTTAGGCATGGTATTTTATTAATTCTCAAAAGCAACCCAAAACCAATTTACAATACAGTTTTGAGGTACTACTTTAAAACATATTGTTTAGTCAAACTAATCAAAATATTATTCAGATTGCATTTAGTCATCCCTGAAATTTCCATCTGGGTGAGAAAAACATATGTTACCAACTAATATTTATCAACTGAAAATGGTTACTTCAAAATTTTATACACATTTACTCATTTAATAGCTGAATTACTTGAAGACAGTACTACTGTTAAACCACAAGTTCTTCAGGTTCAGCAGTACACCATACAGTGGCTGGAAATGAAAATATTGTTTGTACTTCTATATTAAAGGACTAGCACTGTTCTAAGCGTGTCTGGTTTTAGTTGGAYACATTCCTGCCCAAATTATAGCACCATGAAGAAATAATTGAGTTTCCTTTCCTGAGCACAAGTGTGACATTCAGGTTAAAGTTGAAGGTCCAACAGTGTGCCTTGGGGAGGACTTCACACTGAACCAGCTAATACTTCACATGCCCTCATGTAAACAACTCACCTCAGTCTGAAGAGTAAAATTTCACTTACTTGGGGCATGTAAAGGACTTTGAAAAAACAAAACATTCAGTTTATGATCGAGACAATAAAATCACACATACAGGTTTGCAAAGAGGAAGCATATCTGCAAGCCCTAACAAACAGGTTTTCACTTCTTTAATACAAACTTAGACTATTTAATACATCAGTAAGAAAATCATTGTGTAGTTAACACCAATCAAAAATGGCTGATAAAGTTGAATGGGTATTTAATTCTGATGGCACTTTCACGGGATGATAAACTTTTGCAGTACATAAATGCATGTAAGAGTAAAGTTAGAAGGATCCAGTCCTGGGGGTGCACAGGCATATTTCTTCCAGGGAGCATTTTGATAATTTTTGGCCTTCACTTTTATTTTCTTCAGGCTTTGGAATATTTTTGCCTTAATTTACCCCTCATCTCCAAAGCTTCTTACAAGACAACCAGCAACCCAGCTCACWGCCAGGCGAGACTAAGTGGGAGGACTCCACCAACCTGCAGCTCTCAACTTTGTCTCCTATGCCAGCAAAGTCTAGCTGAGATAATTTTTGAATTTAAATCTTCGTTGTGCAGTAGTAAATTTAGCTGAACCATTTATCCTCAGCATCTGCTAGCTCTGGACAAGTGTCTATAATTTTGAGCTGTAAACACTGAAGAACAAGGACTGCAGGTATTGTGATGATGACTTTGTATTTTCTCTGAAATAGGTGATAAAATATCCATATATTTAGACTGGCTCTGAGAGAGCCTTTGAGTTGAGACAGACAAYATCAGCAAGATAAATTCTCCAGCAATCTCAAAATCCCTCATTAACAAGTTCTACATGAACATCTTGGCCCAAAGGTGGTGCTCCTTTACATTCTGCATAGTCTCATTTCTGCCAGTCCAATCTGCAAACAATTTAAATTGGCTCAAATGCTAGCCTTCTCTTTCCTGATATTTACACTTTGACCATGATTATACTGTTCTAAAACCATCTTGGAGTAGAAGTCTGACTGGCTTTTTGTCACTTATTAGAATTCACCCTCATTGTTTCTACTTTGCTCTATTTACAAGTATGGCATTATTCAGGTTTGTGATTTTAGAGGAGAAGAAAGAAAAAGTCTTTCTTCTAAGATTTTAAAAACTCTTAGTAAAATATCAGGTCATCAATTTCACATTCATGATTGATTCTTTAATTGTGTTACAAGAAATTACAGACTCCCTTTTTACACGTGATTTTGCTTTTTTTGGTTAATGCCATGTAMTCTTTATTGGTTATGCATACTCTGCCCTGCTGTCCTGTGGATAAAAAGCAGCACAGAAGTTGCTGGTGTCTAGCTTGACACCAAAAGGAATGTCCTGCCTGATAAAAAGATTTAACTGGTGATAAAAAAGCAGTGCAGGCAACCAGTACAAAATAGTACATTGCAGAAAAAAAGATTATGGGCTGCAGGTACAACTGAGCAGAGTAAAGTTTTTTTAGCGCTGCACACTGATCTATTTTTCTGAAAATGATGCTCAGCTCTGAAACATTATGAAAAAAATAATTCTAGAGCTGTTTTGTCTCTACCAAACAAGTCATTGTCTGTCATTTCACTGGTTTTCTTTTTTACTTTGAGACTAAATAGTTCTCAGGTACTTGCTGGGGGAGTAATGAAATTGTCCACTGACCACTGTGAATTTGTCTTATGGCAATTTTAGATCTTTAGGACTAATATTCCTAGTGGCATCACAATTGTATGCAAGTCTGGAACCACCCTGCCTTTCATGCTTATCAAAACATTTGTTCTTCCATGTAGYCTTAGCTTTCTCACAGTTGATATGGAAACTATWTTCCATAACGTGRACATATCTTGGTAATTGTATGCAGAAGACACCTAATTTAAAAAAAAAAAAAAAAAAAAACAACCAAAAAAAAAACCTACATCTCTTTTGTTCTTGGTAATTACAAGATTTCGAGAAAACCTTTTCTTTTCTTGAAACCATACTAAGGATATCTGATTGTCTTCTCTTGCCACACAGACTGCAGTTGCTCAGTTTTTCTAGAGCTGTGGTGCTTTGAGTCATGAGATCATTGCTAAAACATGCAGGTTTACTCCAACATCCACAGTTGTGACCAAAAACCAGGCTCTTAAGAGAGAAAATATATTGCTTTGTATTCTCTCTTGTACCTTTCTTAGGCAACAAGAAAGTCCACCACACATSCACACTGTGCCCCCTGAGTTCATTCAGAGTAGGTCTGTGAATGACTCCCCATGTAAGGACCTCATTTTCCTCTTGTTGGTTACTAATGGGCCTAATTCCAATGAAAATACATCTGTAGACCAGAGTCAACTCATGGGAACCAATGCTAAAGTCTGCCTGAAATCTGGTCTTGTGCCAAAGTCTTAAGCCACACAAGTAGAGAGAAAGTGCACAAATGTGTCAATCTGCATAAGATCCTTGGAAAGGGATCACAAAATCTGTTCCTGTAACTTAATTACAAGGACTAAATAGTTTTGGAATGAATAAAAATATATTTGTTCATGTTATTATAGTAGTGCTAATGAGCCATCCTATTCCAGGGAATTCAATAAATTAGAGGACACAGAACAGAATTTTCCCTTCTTGTAGTCCAAAATTGTGTTGACTAATTTGGGGAAAGCTCCACATACCTTTGAAGCATCAGGTATTGACTGGAATGAGACAGTGAATTACACATCAACTCTATTATGACATTTCCTGTGCAAAAGCACAAAGACCCAAACAGTCACTTGTATGGTTTGTACTAAAGGCTGGTTCGACAGATCTTGTTCTGAGAGACAGACATTATCAGTTCCCTCAAAACCAAAAATGCTGATATTAAAATAAACATTTACAATGGGAACAAACTATTTAAAGTGCCAAAATAAAATCACAGAATTACAGAATCGTTTGGGTTTGAAGGGACCTTAAAAACTGTCTAGTTCCAACCCCCCTGCAGGGACACCTTTCATTAGACCAGGTTGCTCAAAGCCCCAACCAACCTGGCCTTGAACACCTCCAGGGATGAGTGTCAACAGCTTCTGTGAACAACTTGTTTCAGKGCCTCATCACCCTCACAGGAAAGAATTTATTCTTAAAATCTAATCTAAGCCTATCCTCTTTCAGTTTAGGGCCATTCTACCTCATCATATCACATGCCCTTGTAAAAAGTCTCTGTCCTCTTGTASGACCCACTTAGGTACTGGAAGGWTCTATMAGGTCTCCCGAGAGCCTTCTCTTCTCCAGGCTGAATAACCCAAATTTTCTGAGACTGTCTTCATAGAAGAGGTGCTCCAGCCCTCTGATTATCTTGATGGCCCCTCCTCTAGACTCGCTCCAGCAGGTCAACATCTTTGCTGTGCTGGGGCCCCTGGTSAAGTTGACTTTCTGCCTGGAGTGGCTTGAAGTCCTTGGTGCTGCTCCTTCGGGTGTTCTCCACTGACCCGCACACCCTCTCCAGACTCTGGCCATCTCTTTCTGGCTCAGACATCTAACTGGTATGAGTGGGACGGCATGGCATCCCAAATATCTTCAGGTCTCTCTTTTTACAYTTAAAGTGCCATAAATGCCCACAGTAAGTGAGAACAGGACAGGATTTTTTCACTATATTCACAACAATTACTAATCTATCAATCCAGTATGAAAGCCCATTAAGTGTGACACTGAAGAGGCCTCAATCAAATATTTCAAGCCTACAGTAAGTGCCACACTTTCAAAATACTTTTAGTGCCAAAGTACAAATTTTTATTAACTTAATTTCTGAGTAACAATGTATTTAAACAAGGTCTATTACTGTCTTGTTAAAGCACGCATGTGTGCATTCTACATAAATGTCAATCAAGCCCTGGGGATTGCTGAAGTGTTGCTAATTTATGACTTCTGTGCAACTTCTGCATTGCAGTTAGCAAATTCAGTTTATCACATGCCTATGTTTAAAAGGCTGCTSTGTGAGATTGGCACATGCTAAGATTATCACTACTTTTTAAAATTGTAAATAAGCACCAGGTGATTACAGAGTTTTCAAGTAACAGTTAACCTTAACATCCTGCAACGTTCACCATTTAGGTTAAACATCCTATCAAGATAAATTGCATCATTTGAAATCTGTGGAAAGCAAATATTCTAARTGCAATAATTCTATCTCCACCTGCAAGATTACATCATGGGTTCCTGAGAACTTTGCAAATTTTGCCAAATGATCCTGTATTGCGTGGACTTTTTTTTTTTTTTAAATCAAAAGAGTTTAGTTTCTAAAATCATTAATAAGCTTTCTATAATTCTAAAAAACACACTGAACACAAACTCCATTTGAAGTTACAATTGCCATTCACATTATTGAGAGATGTGAGGTATTCCTGAAGAGAAAAGGCATCAGCAACRTTTGTTGATCCAGATACACTGCACCACAGGAACATGTTCAGTTACCATTCTCTGGAAAAAAAAGGAACATTTCAGTACTACTGTATTTTCAAACTCTCTAAATTTGGTTAGCTTCAAGATAGGCACACATTCATGACTGTCTGAAATCCCTCACTTCACTGTCACCACTTAGCTATCTCTTTGGAATCTGAAAGGCAGGGAGCCAGCAGGTGTGCAGCAAAAAAACTCTCTCTTGTGTAGGGAAGAGAGCAAGTTTTACTTATTACAGCACTGGCAACAGTGAAGGCAATCAACAGAGAGAAACCATGAGAGTGGTCTGAGTAGAGTGCAAAMACAAGCTCTCCTCCAAGTCAGAAATCTCAGCCTTTTTCCACACATAAAAAAAAGGCTACCCATTTTAAAAACAAGACTTGGGCAAGTATTTTAGAATCAAAGATGTTCAGCATGTTACTTTGTTTCTTTGTTCAATCATTACAAGGGCTTAATGTGAAAACCATGAGTYATTAGGAACCAATATGCCACTTACTTGACTTTCTGGCCCCCACTGTTGAAAGACTGCGGCTTCGAGTCACCTGCAAGTCAAACAGAAAAGGCAAATTGGGTGTGCTAAAGAACTGTACCCAGGAAAGCCATCTGGGGACCCATCAACATTCAGARAATTTACACGTCTATCAGTATTGTTCTACTGCCACAACAGTTTTCTAGCTTTTTTTTCATAGCCTCACATGCTCAAAAAAGTGATCCTTACTCAAAGCCTCTCACATTTCCAATATTTACATTTTAAGTTGAGGACACTTATGTCCATTTAATAAGATGGGCTAACAAATAGAAAATTATACAYTTTTTTTACAGAAATAATTCAAAATGTTGTGTAACTACACCATATGAGAACTCTGCTAAAGTTTCACATATCTTATTTGTACTACTTCGGTTCTCCCCTTCCTGCTTRCCCTATGCTTATTTTCTGCTCCCATGATGCATTTAGTAAATTAGGAGTAAATTTAGGTTACCAGTTCCAGGAGGCAGGAACTATGGGTTGCATATCTACTGCAAGATGACTAAAACACTTCCAGATGATGCAATTATTAATTTAGAATGGCACTGAAGCAAGGGGAGCAGGGGGAAAGCATTTCAAGAGAYGCAGTTGTTATTTCTGAGAATTTAACTATGATATACCTCTCATATAGTATCTGTACTGATCATCATACCAGGCAATACCTATCTGTCAGTTCAGCTTCACCTCATTTGAGATCTTCAAGCAAAGGCATTTATGCCCAGTGTTAAAATGTACATGTGGCACATCAGCATTTTTAATAGGTTGCCTACATTCCTCGTTAAAATATTTGATGCTGTTAATATTACAAACATTCAGCTGAGGCTTACTTGACCAGGCGCGAGGCGACGGCTACAGCTGCAGCTTCTGCTTCTACTTTTTTTTTTGCGAAAACTCTACAAGAGAAGAGTTTGACAAAACTCTTTTGAGAGAGAGGGTTTAATAGAGACAGACTCTGCAAGCAGACCTGCCATGCTGGAGACAATGTTTGAGGACAGAGAGGAAACACAGTAAGCTTTCTCCTTAGAACARTCTCTGAACAACCATACATCTGCATAATTAATACATCAAGGAAAATGGAACTATTGATCCTAAATGCTGGATGAGGCACTAAAACCTAGTTGATATTTGATATACTACTACACCCATAGAGGGAACAGTTAAACACTTATACTTCCAAATTTTAAAAACAGTGTTGAAATTCATTGAATTCCCTTAACATATTCTGTAACAAARTACGTACCATACTTCTAGTGACTACCTCTCCCTTCACAATTACAACACCATTTTCCATCAGAGGAGGCCAGACGTGATAGGCCACATAGCCAGCTGTGTGATCTGAGTCAGAGCTACGATAGTACCTGTTGAAACATGAAGTACAAGAAATGTCTGTATATAAGTGCCAAAAGATAAAGTATTCTTTAGGTGATCCTGTAAAAGAAATGCACTTGAAAGACAGACTTAGTAGCACATACTGTTTACTTACACTGATAGACATTCCAATAAAGCCATCTCACACTTCAGGCCACTAGTCCTTAATTTTTGCATAAGCTCTACACATAATTTTTGCATAAGCCCTACATAAGCCAGGGCCCCTGTGTTCACCAACAAATTAAGCCCTCTGAGCAGCAATTTGGCAGGCAGTCATCCCCTCTTCCTGAAATATCTTGCTAAAAAGATATTGCAAGCCCCTATAAAGGATATTACAGAAATACTCAATTATAAAGTTACATGCTAGTATCTTACAAGACATGAGGCAACTTGATTAGCAAGATCCTCATTTATTGATAATGAAACACTGACATTTTAGCTATGAAAAATTTATTCAAAASTATGTATACTACCTATGTCTGGAATATTGGCTAAATAACCCATCTGGCTTTATGGATTCAAACTCAKAAAAAATTTCAAATAACAGAAATTTTTCAAAAGAAATGCATCTGCACTTTAATAATGTATTACAATAGCAAGTTACATAAAAATGTGGTAGCCAGAGGCATGAAGCAAGGCATAGGGTACAAAGATGTTTGGTTAGCCCTTTATAGAATGGTATGGCACATAACAMACACAGATATTTTAATTTCTACAAGTTTTGCTCCATCTCTGTGTACCACGTATCCATGCTATATATGTAAACATATACATATGCCTCATTTATCTGGACAGATAGATGGATGCATGTATCTCCCACAGCAGCACACAAAATCGTATTACATGTGTTTCTTTAAGGCCATACACACCAAGCATGTGGAGAAAGCATCCCAAGAATATACCACAGTGTTGCTGCTTCTTAATTTAGCCAACAGCTTTGATTGTCAAAAATTAATTCTCCAGTGTTTAAACAGGATCACTGAGTAGTCTTGTAAGACCCTGCACTCTCCTGTCGAGGGTCCACTTTCATCTTCTGTATTTCTCTCCTTAACTTCTGAAACTCTTCACCACCTGGGTTCTATTCTRTTTTAATTGGTTACTAGAAACATCTTAGTGTTTGAAGATTTTTTTGCTTTTGAGAACAATGTTTTATGACCTATCAATCACATTAGTTTTCTAGAAGCACCCAACAGTTCTCTTCCTGCTAAACAAGCAGCCCAACTCTACAGAAAAAAAGAAAAATAAATGTCATGTTGTGAATTTTTTTAACAAAATTCCCATTTTTAAGAGGCAGTTTTGGTTTTGTTTAGCTCTAAACCAGAAGAGATGGGAGCTTATTAATACTCATATGTTGCACAGCAGCCACAGTCTGGAGGTTGCAGCAAACATGGTCATGATCCTGTAACAGACACCAACTGCCAGATCTCAGCAAACATGATTTTTACAGAACAAGCCAGTAAGGAGGAACAAAGATGCAAATATTTTTTTTTAAATGGCAGATAGACACTAAACAGGGAAAGCAGATGATCATTTTCCCTCTTAAATGATAAATTAAATATACTCTTGAGATTGAAGTTTGTCCAGAAAATTGCTCTGCTGTTCACTAAAAAAAAAATTTTTAACAATTGTCTATGTGCTGGTATTTATACACTATCATAAACCTTAAAGACATACCAAATTCACTACAGGCCAGGGGGTTTTGCCCMAAATTAATGCTTAGCAATCTTAAACTTTCATATTAATTAGGAAACAAGTAGACTATACAACCGGATGAATTTCTTTAATGGTAAGAGTCTGACTGAGTATAAAGACTTCTTACATGGTCCTATTGAAAAGTTCTCCATCAATACCACAAGTAACGTCAAGAGGAGGATCGAGTGTCTGCATTGCAAAAGCCACAGCGCACAATTCTTTAATCAAAGTGGTGATCACAACAAAATCAACTACTGGTGGATATGAAATCTTTGGGTTCATGTCCATGGCGCATATGACTTCCTGAAAATAAACATACATTAATAATTTGCACTTACTAACTATTTCATTCACAAGCAAGTATAGAAATCCCTCCTAAACATGCCTCTCAGCTTTCTACATTTAAAAATCAGTATAAAAAGCTCATAGTAATGTTGYCCTAGACTATTTCAGAAAACAATAGCTTCAGAAAGAATGTGCTGCTATAAAAAATAAAACAAGCTTCACTAAGTCATACATATACTAGTCTTAGCAATATTATTTTGGMAAGTAAACTGCTACAAGACAAAGTCCTACAGTAACTTTTTTATCCTTCAGGTTACAGTGCATTTTTAGTTTACATATTCTGAATTTACTAGCTCCTGAAAGAGATCCCCACATCACTTCCCCACTGTCTTTGACTTACATGGACACTCTCAAAAACATCATACACATCTTTGTGGTAAATTATATAATCCAGGACAGCAACATCAAGTGGCGGAGGTTCCGAGTGAGTCAGAGATAAATTATGTTTTACAGTTGTTTTGATCTTCCAGAAGGCCATCTTTGCTACACGGAAACATTCCTGCAAACATAATGAACATCTAGTTAAATACAGAAGACTGAGATTAATTTTTTATCAGTTATCTGAGAAAAGGAATTTATAACCCACTATCATCATAATAAGGAGAAACATAATACACTGCTGTAAAGGAGAAAGTTAACTCATCTGGAAGAAATTCTGTGATTGAGTTGAGTGTAATTTATTTGCAGAAGACAAGACTGAAAAGTTTTCCACCTAACCTTCTGTATTTGCATAGGATTCCAACACACACACATGATCAATGCAATCAAAGATATCATGAATATGATATATGAATATGCCTAACACATAAGACAGGAAGACCTCTTGTTTGTTGGGAAAAGAGGTTGAACTGGAGAGTGTAAACTGAATGACAGTTGAAAGAAAAAACCTTCAGTAAGTTAAATGTGCTTGGAATCACACACATTAAAAGATGCTGCCTCTTTGACACAGGTATGTGCTGCATCATTTTTATTGAAAAGACGACTCAGGAAAAAATGAAGACTCACAGAAAAATGAAGACAACTTTTTTCAAACTGAGGTCATGGTAAATGTGAGGTATCTAGGTGGTTTCAAGGGACCCAATTAAACTAAAAAAATCACATCACTACAAGCAAAAGGAAAGCACAGTATGGAAAGATTTTTAGCTTTGTAGTGCTGTAGTATTTAATGCAGCATTGCCAAAAGAATTTTTCTAAATAAGGCAGTGTTGATCACTGCAGGCATCATCTACCTATCAGACCAAATCAGTCTTCTTTTAGCACCTGTACGATAAATCACTGATCCTGCTCCAATCTTGGGACATGTCAGTTAGGACACTAAATTGAGAGTTCAGTGTAGAAGTGTGAGGGGAAGAAAGAAAGATGGAAATAAATGAAAGAAGAAAACTTTTCTTCTCTGCACTTGACAGAAATGCTAATTTATCCACAATTTAATCCAATGTAGACATACTATTTCACAAAACACTTCTGGCCTATAAAATAAAAAAATATTATTTCTTTCTTACCAAAGCTGCAATGTATATTATCCTCTGCACCAACTCCATGTCACAGATGAATGTCCTCAGAGTGGCCTCTGCATCCATGCGCTCATGAGCAAAAATGAAGCTATAGCGAGCGATGAGGCAGGCGCGGCGCGAAGAGTTGACCCGCTTGGTTTGGGCAGGGGAGCCGTTCTTCCCTTTGGCAGGGGGGCAGCAGGGCTTGCTGGGCATGGTGCAGCAGCGCTTGGCGGGAGCGGTGCAGCAGCGCTTGGCGGGAGCTGGGCAGCAGGGATTGCACTTGGGAGCACAGTTGCCCGCAGCAAGCCTACAACAGACATGCAAATAATTTTCACTGAGACAGATCTTTTTCATCAATTTATTCTTTACAAGGGTAAGGTGAGCTTTTGAGCCAATGCAATTAAAGAAGGCATTTGCATCAACACATTTTATGGGCTAAAGCCTAAATGGTAAAACAATTCCTAAAGCAGGTGTAGCCAGGCACTTTGTTCCTGGGAAACACATTTTTAATGAGTAATGTTTTGGAGATTTGTTCCTCTTTCAGAGTACTGCTGAAGTCAAAAAAGTGCAAATTGAGCACTGTAGAATTACAAGGCGGAACTTATTATAAGAGGACTCATCAACAAAAGAAAAAAAAAAAAGTCACTCTTTTTATTCCATACAGTTACTCTCAATGTATTTTGTAAAGCTGCCTTATTTGCTGTTTTGTCTGAAACTTAACATAGCTGCTTTAAGATAAAATATTTGGGCACTAGGAGAAATCACCTATGAAATCAGTTTATGTCCCTTCAGAACAAAGGAAAAAAGCTTAGCTTTTGTTTATACCTCAATTTCAAATGAGGAGGAAATTCTTGCTACCTAACATGACCGATTTCTATGATTCAGTGACTTCTCTGAATAAGGACTCTACCTGTTTGCAATTACGGCCTTTCGGGCTTCCAGAAGACAAAGATCATCCCGCAGTGCTTGAATCTTATCCTCATATTCCTTCACTTCCTCTATGTTCCTCAAGGTTTGGCACTCTTCAGCACGGGAAGCACACAGACTTAATCACACAGAATAGTCAGTCACAAGATGACCTTTTATCAATGTAAACTATCAATCAATCCTTATCATCAAACAACTGGAGCAGAAAAAAGAGGAAAATTATGGAGCAAGATCCTTATGCTGAGATACAGGAAAAATCAAGGGGTTTAAAAAAGCATAAAACAAAGCAGACTCTTAAGCTCCCTTTAAAATGTGTAAGTGTATTGTGGCAGGTGAGTGGATACACTACACTCTGTGCTACAGGAAAAATCACTGGTTAACATTTGGCGTCCTTACACTAGCTCAGATGACRAAGATTAAAATAAACTGTCTCTCTTATTTAAGATGTTAACTAAACCAGCTCAGTTTTCTTTCTTACAGAWTAAGAACCTAGGTATTTTGTTCTATCAGATTCTTGGGCTCTTTTTTTTGCTGGAATATATTAGTCAAAGGAGATAACAGATGTTATTCAAGTAATACCAAAAGCTAACAATTCCTCTCCCGCTGCCCCCAAAAGAAGCAGTGTTTCTTAAAGACTGGCAGACAATCRGTGAAACAAGCTTATCTTCTGTCCTACTTAATACTAAAAATTGTCCCAACATCTCTGCTTTCCCTCCAAATACCGCTATTACTTTACTTTCCTCTTACCAAAAGTRGAAGGAAAAAGTAAAAAAATATGTTTTCTATTTATTTTGAAGGTATTCAGTCTGTTCTTCCTTTTCTTTACTGGAGGACCCTGGTGAGATTTTTGAAGATCTTAACCAAAAAGAGCTGTTAGAAAGCTCTAACACTTATTAATTGACAAGATTCTTGTTCCACCTTTTTAAGGAGCAGGCTGACAGAGATAACCACAGGTAATAAGGCCAGCGACAAATGCTAAGAGGAAAGACTTCCCAGCTCCAYGATTATACTTGGAATATCAGGTCCTTCAGGAAGGACTTCTAGCAGAATAGTARTTAAAGAGGGCTAAAGAATTCTACTATGAAGGACAACTGGGAAAGAAAGATAGATTTGGGAAGATGAGTTCTAGAAATAGGCATGGGGAAAATCCAAACTGATATTCTTGGAATCTGAGTTAATAATTTAGTAATTTTAATATTATAGTGTTCCACAAAATATGTTTTATGCAACTAGGCAAAAACTGTTCAGGCCTAGTCACTTATGTGGAAATCCAACTCTCTTCCTCCCTCTTAYGACAGTGACTTTCATCTTCTTGGATATTTATATATCAATTACATACCATAATTAATTGTGACATGTTGCAGATCCTTCAATAAATGTTACACTACAGCTACTGAATTGATTTTTTTATTTAGGGTTTACTCAGCATGCAACATTTCATAGACTGTAACTCCACATGGAACTGTCATGGACTATACAAAAGCTTTTCATTAAAAGCCACTAGAATAGCAGCATGTTTTCCAACACCTCTGCCASATGCAAAACCTACCAAGTCAATTTATGAATGTGGGTGCGGCTGTTTCACTTGTACCCCACTTTGGATACACCCACATGATACAGAGCCTAGGTGCATTTTGAAACCCTGGTTTTAGGCCAGAAATTAAACATTTTGCAAATCTCCATTAGTATTTAGATGTCAAGAGGAAAATGTGGCTTGTTGAAAAATAAAAAGTGAATTAAAGAATTGCAGTTAATTTCCCTACTCTTCTTCCATGTGATGGATCCGCATACGAGTTGCAGCTAGATTGTCCTCCAGCTCTTGGAGTCGACAAGTCTGAGCGTCAGCCAAGTCTTTCAGCTGCAGGAAACAAAGTCACACTGCTTGAATGTTCTACCTTACAGATTCCCCCAGCAATGTACTATAGCATCATTGGCTGACATATTTCTAAATATTTCAGTAACAACCATTTCTAAAGAAACATGAGAACAAAGACAATTGCATTCTTTCTAGAGACACAAGCAATACTTTCAGGCACACCAAACAAAGACTCAATTATATAMAGAAAAATATCCACTTATTTTATACCTCATGATAGAAATTATGGAAGGTCTGCATTTGCAGATTTATTTGTTTGAATCACCAGAACAAAGCATTTTGCARATGTGTTGCACAGTTGTGTTTTTCAGTTAGTCAACTTCTGATTGACTACATCACCAACTCAAGTGAACTTTTTGGGAATCCATGTACACAAAATAATAGAAAAAGTTATTAGAACAGAGGAGACAAGTATTGTCATTCCAGAAAGCACACTACACATGCAGCTGTCTTTAACAACCCATAGAATTGCCTGATTTTACTGGAATTAAATAACTAACTGCAATAGGCTTTTCTTCATATTTTGAATGTCACGTGCTGTGACAAATCTGTAACTGGTATGCCTGGTGTCATTTAACAACATCATTACTTTATATTTTGTGGGATTTTTGGCAGAACCCTTCTCCTTGATTATACTAGAATCTGACTCTGAAGGGATATAACTTTTAATTTGTCCTTATTTTAATTGTGAAAGATTTTGCCAGAGCAGGTGTAAAAAGGAGAAACCAAAAACCATGGAAACATCACWGTCAAACCTTAGGACCTTGAAGATCTTCCCCTAGTCTGAATTAGCCAACACTCTTATTTTCTCTCAGAGTAGAAAGCCACAACAGATCTGTCTTTCCTGCCAAACTGCTAGTATTCCAACCCCTTCAACAAACATCAAATACATACTAACTCCAAATATCACAGCAGGAGCATGATAGTATCATGAAGTGCATGAGCACTTCTTTTTTTAACACTTGAGGAAATAATATGTTAAGATACTCTTAGAGTTTTTCATGGAAAAAAAATTAAAAGGAGCTCACAGATTAATGCATGGTATATATGCACACCTTCAGCTTACACATGAATTTTCACACAGTGTTAGTTYTTTCTAAAAGAGATATAGCATAAATACTTCTATGATGTCTCTGTAAATGCAAACATAGCAAATCTTTACCTAGAAAAGAAAAGTTGTATAATAACATAGACTTCTTATAAAATGCAAATTCTTCCACAATAGCATGGTTGTCTCCATAGGTGTCTCCATGAGCAACTAAGGACATATTTCATTTAGTAAAATCTGAGAGGGAGGYTAATATTCACAGAAAGTCATTAAAGCTCTTCTGCAGGTATAAATTCACATGGCTCTATTCTGTTAAAATAAGTTCCTTACAGAAGTGACAGAGGATTCGCTTTCACAATCTGAATGACAACAGGAATGACAAGTTTCTACTGGCTCATTTGGAGGACAAGTCTCTACTGTCTTGTTTGGCAGGAATCGTTTTCTTAATTTTTCTGCAGCTTCACTCTCAGGATCTAAGAAAATACATACATTAAGAAATGGTGAGAACACTTACAGAAAGAGCCAGAGTTGGAAAAAATATCATATGTGAAACRTATTAGTAATTAGATAAGGCACTGGTTTACCTGCTTTAGATGTTTCATCGAGAATTAAGAAGAGACGCTTTTGAATTGCAGTGTTCAATTCTATTATTTCACAGCATCGGTCCATATTTTCACCACAGCTATTCTTCTGTAAATCAATGTGCATTACTACATTTGTGTGGGCTTTCTTACTTAAAGTTATTCCTGTTACAATCCCAGCATTCCCCCCCCCATAATAATATCTTTCCAACCTTTTCTTACTAGATCCATTAGATCATTTTTTAAGTTTCACATTTTAAATAGGCAAACAAACAAGACATCAGGACTTCTATGACCCAGTTAATTCACTGCTTGAGAAAACATACTCCTTTTCCATCATAAAGAGGCTGCAASCACAAGTGACTCTAAAGGAAGAATCATAGAAATTGTGAATCTGAGCTAAAATCTTTCAACAGTTATAAAAATAATAGTCTAGCAGATTGTTGGATTTAAAAAAAAAGTCTAAAATCTGGTTTTCAATTATACCTGAAATAATACATATAAAGCTCTTAGCTTGTTTTGTCACCAGTCACATAAAGCCTCCATCCAATTTCGCCTGATTTTTAAGAGTTACAAACTGAAACAAATAATACTTAAGAAGGAGCAAAATCCAGCATTATGCCTAGGAAACAGCAAAACAACATCACCTTCTTCAAATGCAATTTTGAAAAGGAGGTGATGGGGTTAATCTGCCCAAGATGCCAGTGCACCTGCCAGGAAAATACACATTTTGTACCTGCTTCCTTAATTTTCATCTGTAACCTGTGCATCACCTTCCACATAGATCACCCTCTAGGTCTTCAGGTTTTAATGATTCCATATGGTTTTTACAAGCTTCCAAAACAGCTGAAATTCCCACCCGGGCCCCCATCGCCTGTATTTTGCTTGCTGAAACATGCCTTCCTCGGGCCTTGGGRAGCACAGTCAACCTGCTCAGCTCCACAGAACACGATTGCAAAGTGCATTTTTCCAGCTCATTACAGCAACAAAACACCCACAGTGCTTCCATCTGCTAGCTCCTCTTTTTCTACAACAGCAGCCTGAAATTGTTCATCTTCATTTCCCAACACCTGAGAGAYTATTCCCAACTCACTTATTACAGAGAGGTCAGCCCTCACCACTGCTCAGTGCTCCCGAGGTTTACCTCCACCATCCATTTGCAAGATTTTAAAATGCATGGCACTGTTCCTCCTCTGGCATCCTCTCTGGTAGCTTTACCAGCTACTCCTAAACTCCTTATTAAAACTGTCCTTTGCCATGAACCCTGCAGAGAGTTACACTGGCTAGATAACTAACTCCTATTCACCATGAAGTAAAAAAAATTTTAAAAAAACCTGACTTCTCCTGAAAACGCTGCATCTCTGCTCAGCACCTTTTCTCATCAACCATAGCACACAGTAGGTGCTTACAGGCCCGTGACCAACTATCCACATCMTGAAGCTACAGAAACATGGCGACACAGGAGTGAAAACTCTGTTAAGATTTTCCACTGAACAAAGTCACAGCTTTCCCTAATTTAACASCTACTCTACTGCTTCCACTGTTTCACCTGCTCAGTTTCCTGTTTCTCCTCCACGGGTACCGCTATTCCCATCTGCAGCCTTCTCCTCACACGCGAAACTCCGCTCACATCCATTTGCCCCGTTCTGAAGCCCTCCGGCGGCCGTGCTGTCTCGCAGCAGCCTCTCAGCTCTAACAGGTTTCCCCACCCAGAAGAGCTGGGATTTGCACTTTCAGCACTTTTCCTCACGTTCTCCTAACAGCTCCTGGGCCACAGCCGATTCCCTCTGAGCACAACCCCGCCCGCGGTCCTTCCACCTGCCGGTCTTTTTACTACAACGCTTTCTTCTGTTCTGAACACAGCTAGTACCGCTCAAAMCTTCCTTTTAACCTCCAACCCTTGTATTCAGGGAAACATGTCGTGGACGAAAAGTCTTTGAGTGCTTAAAAGGTGTTAAAAATGCGGTAASTGGATGCGCGTGCGGGGCAGCGCCCCAAACCGCTCCGTGGAACGCCGGGCGGGGCCGCTGCTCGCTCCGCGTCCCGCCGGCCGCCCCGAGCAGCGGCAGGACCAACCTGGTAGTCCCGATGCCAGGTCTCCAGCTTCTCTTGCATCTCCTTAACGCTCCCCTCTTCCACCAGTTTCCCTAAATCAGTCGCCATGGCCAGATGTCAACTCGCTCCCGAGGGCGCTCCGAGGGCGGCACAGGTGTAACGGAGATGGTACGGCCAGCCCGGCCCCTGCCCTGGGCTGGGCCGCGTCCGAGGTGACGCGAGGGCCGGCGCGGCGGCGGCGGTGCCACGGTAACGCGGCGCGGGGGCGGTGTAGCGCCACCAGGGGGCGCCCGCGGCCCCTGCGCAGCTGCGGCGGCGGCGGGGGAAGATGGCGGCGGCCGCCCCCGAGCAGGTCGGTCCGCGCCGAGACACGGGCACGGGGAGGCGGCGGCGCCGTCCCCGACCGGGCCGGGGGGAGCGGGGCCGCGGAGAGCCACCGGTCCGGCCGGGGGGTGCTGCTCGCGAAGGGGGCGCTCGGGCGGGGGCGCCATTTTCGCCGCCGTGGGCGAGGCGGGCGTAGAGCCGGAGCCCTCCGGCCGGGGAAGGGGCAAACGGCGCTCGGGCGGCSCTTCCCGCCCCGTGCCCGGCGGGGWSCGGGCAGGACGGGTTTGGCCGTGCCGGGGAGAGGCGGCCCGAGCCCGCTGTCCCGGCGGGGCGGCCCCGAGCGGCGCCGTCCTGCCCGCARGCGAGGGTGTGTGACGAACAAAAATACTTTGTGCCTCGGGACTGAGSCGCCTGGCATTTGAGCATTGCAGGGATGCCGCTGCCGCGCGTTTGGCACTGACGGGGCGGCGGGAGGCGGCGGTCGATGCGTGCGGGCCGCGCAGTTCGTGTGGGCTGTGCGGGGTCACGGTGGGTCCTGAGCATCTCTGGGGGAGCGAACCGTCCATAAACTTGTCCAGGTCAAGCACCTTTCTGAGCACCATCTCTTAGTTCTTCAGAAGCAGAAGAAAAACAGGTGTTGTTATTCGTTACATCAGTGTAGACGTGCAAGCGCAGTCACTTAAATTGTAGCGTTAAGAGWCATTTCAGGTGAACAAACTTAATTCCATCGAAAAGATCAAGCTCCATCTTGGAAGATGTGAATCCCTAAATAAAAATATTCCATTTAAGGGAGTCGGAACAAAATTTTGGACAGCTACAAAAATATGTCAAAGGTTTATTTTCACCATGAGTTCTATAAGAGTTTCCTCTACTATTTTGTTACATTAACAGGATATTCCTTACATTCCCATAACTTCACATTATTACATTAAAGCTACACTGGCCAAGTTCCCCATGCCAGGTTTGAAGCCTCACAGTATTTTTCTTAGTTMTGCGCACAAGCAACACGAGTTGAATGCAAACTCTGTGCTATCAAACTGATATAAAAACTGTATCTACCACACTCCTTTTGAATAGTCATTGAGAGTCTACTACACATGAGCATGGAGGGAGCTAAAATTCAGTGTACTGGCAAATGACCTGCTGGATTATGTCCTGTATCATCCCTGAGAGGTAAAAACTTGATGGAAGTTCTTTGCAGCTGGTTTGTTTTACTTTTTTAAAATGCAGCGTTGTAATTAATAATTCCTATGTGTTGTGATAAAAATTAGATGTAAAGCCATATATTGTCTGAAAATATCTGGATTTTAAATTAATCATTGTGTTAGCAGAKATTGCTGTGTTTCTAAGTGCACATTCTGAGTACAGGGTGGCAGACTGAAATCTAATAYTGAACATAATATTCAATATATTCTAGTTAATTCAAAATTGTGTTTTTTGCATATGTATGTGTGTGTCACTGTGGCTAATTGACATGCCTGTTAAAGCTGGCCCATGCTTTGTGTTACAGCAAAGCTCTAATGGCCCGGTGAAGAAGTCTATGCGAGAGAAGGCAGTGGAACGCAGGAATGTTAATAAGGAGCACAACAGTAACTTCAAAGCAGGATACATTCCCATTGATGAAGACCGTCTCCATAAGACAGGGTTACGTGGCAGRAAAGGCAACTTGGCCATATGTGTGATTGTGGTTCTTTTTATTTTGGCTGTCATCAATCTGATTGTGAGTATAATAGCTATAGTGGAAGCAACATTAGGTCATACTTCATTTTGACATTTCGGTAAAAAAACAGAACTTTTCAAGTACAGCTGAGGACTTAGAATGTACTGAAGGAGATTCTCATTTTTATCCTTTATTTTTTTGTTCTTTTATAGTCTGAGCGAGATTAGATTGAATTGTGTAAGATTAGGAAGAATTGTCTAAGTTTAGGCATGATTATTTCCATATACCATATTTCCATTTACCATAGWTGTTATGGTCCTAAGAAGGAACCTACTGTTCACACAAGAAACAATTAGGAACCTTAAAGTGTTACCCCATGAGAAGTGTTATTGGTCCAAAGGCATTCAGGATATACGGCAGGAATATTTTACATAACTGAGATGTATGTGAACATTCAGAATTAACTAGCCACTGCACTTTAAAGCTTCACTGTTCTAATTACCACATTTTTATTGCCTGATCAATGAGAAGTAGTAAATGCTTTTTCATTATTGGGCATCCACCTGTAAGGGTGCTTTCTTGTAGGTCAGTGTTAATTATATACTAAGCCGAAYTGTTCAGGTGATTTGTTTAGTCAGTGATTACCTTAAACAGAGTAAATATTTAGTTATGGACATGATTCAATATGTTATATATATATATATACATAAATCATTTTAGTTACTGTTTCAAATAAGTAAAAAATCATTTTAAATGCTTTTCATAATTAAATGTGTTAATATTGTTTTCAGTAAGAACAGACTAAACTAAACTCACACCTAAAGCTCACTTAAACACCAGCATTAATAAYTGTTTAAATAAAACATCTAATTAATACAATACTTGTGGTAGGAAGATCCAAACAATCAACATAATCTTTGAAAATGTGTTTCTGTTTCAGATTACCCTGGTTATCTGGGCAGTGATAAGAATTGGTCCCAATGGTTGTGACAGTATGGAATTCCATGAGAGTGGCTTGCTGCGGTTTAAGCAAGTGTCTGACATGGGCATTATACATCCCTTATATAAAAGCACTGTAGGGGGGAGACGGAATGAAGACTTGGTCATCACTGGGAATAATCAGCCTGTAAGTTATACCATGAATTGAAAGGTTGTGAGCAACACTAGAGAATTACATTCACATTGCTAATAAATGTTACATTTGGAACATCACTAAGTTCATCAAACTTTGTTTCTGAAGATTGTATTTCAGCAAGGAACAACCAAGCTTAGCGTGGAAAAAGACAAAACTTCTATTACCAGCGATATTGGCATGGAATTTGTTGACCCACGAACACAAAATACTCTGTTCAGCACTGACTATGAAACTCATGAGTTTCATCTGCCAAATGGAGTTAAAATCTTGAATGTACAAAAGGCCTCTACAGAGAGGGTATGTCTCTTTCATTTTTTGTAAGTAATGAYAGTGCAGCCCATTGTCTGTTAGTGTAACAGAAGAGTAGGGTTTGTGGTTTTATAGAGGGTTGACTGTGCCTCAGGAAGCACTGAGCAATCCTGTGGYAGAAGAAACACCAAAACAATAAATTCTTCAGAGGAACAAATTAAGTGAAAAAAGAGGGGTAAATTTGCATAATTTGTCCTAACAGTAARCCTGTATTTGGTGCAAGTGTTAGCTGTGTGTCCCATAAAATTGCCATATGAATTGTTATTTTTATTGCAAACTTAATTTTATATACCTTCCAATACTCAGTGAGCCTGTTTTAAAATGTGAACATGGAAAATAAAGGCAGACACTTCATAGGCRTAATGGCAGAAGGGCAAGAAGTACGTTGAGGTTTTTTATTAAATTGCATAGCACTACTTTTAAGGTAACTAAAGTTACTCAGAAAAACACAAATGGTACATTTTCACTGATCTGTTTTGTTCTTAGATTACCAGCAATGCAACCAGTGATCTAAACATAAAGGTGGATGGCCGTGCCATTGTCCGTGGAAATGAAGGTGTTTTCATCACAGGCAAGACCATTGAGTTTAGAATGGGTGGTAACATGGAACTTAAAGCAGTAAGTATTTCAAATTAAAGCATTTTTTTAATAGCTTCGTTTCAAATTCAGGCTGATAGTAAACTAATACAACTTTATATAGTTTCAAATTTTATATAAATTAGTCACACATAAAAGTTTAGTCAGTATATTTAGCAGGATTCAAAATARGTGGTTTATTTATTTGTTGTTAATTAGCAGTTCAGTAGTTTTCAGGTGACATTGATTTACTACTGTTAAGACACCAAAAACGTACAATGCAGTTARAGCTAGGCAATTGGCTTCTCTACAGAAGTTAATACCAAAGGGAATTAATCTTTTCCTCTGAAAGCATTATCAGGATCAGCAACCTTTGCCAGCCTGTAGTCAGGAGCACTACCTTCTGGGCTGCTGATAAAAGACTCACTAGCATTCCTTTAGGATTTTGGGAGATTAAGATTTGAGTATATCTGGAGTGGTGGAAAAGGCTAAAGAAGGATAAAAATAAAGGTATATGCACTTCCAAGTGTGAATGAATTTAATGAATGAATTCAAACACTGCTTCCCATTTCATATCCATATTTTTATATTTACTTCATTTGCTAATATGTCTGTAAATTGAGAAGTCACCCCTACTGCTTTCTTTCTTAATATCGAGCCATTACTGGAATAGAAAAGTATGTTGCTGACTGAAGTCAAGAAATCCATAGGGAATTATAATTTTCATTTAAAAATTAAACATTTCTAATCATGCCTTTTTTATTATGTTGATTCTGCAACCATCCTAAAGTTGTTATTTATTCATTAAACTACCTTGTTCTCCTCAAAAACAACCTGCCTTATTTACATTAGAAGTTGTACTTTTTTTTTTTTTCTTCTTAATAGGAAAACAGCATTATCCTGAATGGAACTGTGATGGTCAGCCCTTCACGACTGCCAAGTTCTTCTTACGGGGATCAGTTCAATAATGGCAACTGGCTGCGCTTCAAGCTCTGCATGTGTGCGGATGGGACACTGTTCAARGTTCAGGTGACAGGGCACAACATGGGCTGTCAGACTTCTGTCAACCCATGCGGAGCCACACACTGAAACAAACCACTGCTGGAAGAGGCCTCATTTGTGTTTACATATATTTGTATGAAGTAATTGCATGCCTTCAAGGATTTTTTTTACAGCAGTTTATACTAACATTTCTTACATAGTATTTTTAAGGAAAGGCTGTTCTGATCAGCAGTATTATGTTACCATCCTGTAAGCTGCAATAGTGGCACTGAAGCAGTAAACTTTCAGTGTACATGCGTACTGAAGTAGCTTCTTGAATCGGGATTCAGTAGGATATATGTAAAGAACATGATCTTGGTAACAACTCTGCCTTCAGTTGTCTCTAGAGGAGGTTTTTGTCCTACATCCCAAGACCYTGAGGAGTGCTGTGAACGTCACTGTGATCTGAAGTACTTCAAGAGGAATGTAAATTTTTTTGTTGGAAGTAGATCTTCCTAGGATGGCTGAAGTGGCAGACTTCTGTCTTCTTTCTTGTTAGGTACACTGATTTCCTCCAAACTTTGGTGGTTTACCAGATGTGTTCTGAGAGGGGTAATGGCAGATTCACTTTAAAATATCACATTATTTCTGCCATATAGTCTGTTGTTAAAAAAATTTGTTGTCATAAATAATATTTGCAAAGTAATACTGAGTATGGAAACATAACTTGMATTTTGAAGTAGTCTTGCTGTTATTGAAGTGTTGTTTGAGCTTCCATTCTGTCTGTGCAATTAATGCATTCTGCAGTTGCTTAATTTATGTGAAGTACTTACAAAATGTGTTTATATTAGAAGTACATTTTTAAAGATGTACTTATAACTTGCTCACTATCCAAAAATAATGTTTTCCTGGGTGCTCTTATGTGAAGTGTGCAAGTCCATTACTCAACAGGTAATAATCTAAAGCGTAACTGTTGCAGCAGTGTCTGAGATCARATCTGTCTTTCCCAATAAACGTCARTACTGATGCATTACTGRGAACCTCAGAATTAAATTCTGAAGTTAAACATTAGGTCTGTAATTTTAGATGTGATGGTAGGACATCAGGGTAAATATATGTGCATCAGAGCTTGTCAACAGTGATACTCTGGTGAACTGGGGCCTGTTACAGTCTTAMAACTGCTTTTGCAGCAGTGAGGTGTTTTGTGCTAAAAATAGACCAGCTATTTATAAGATTCCTCCCTTCCCCACCCCATGTATTTCTTCAGTTTAAAATAGCTTTGTTTTGCAGTAGCATCAAATAAGCTTAATACTGGAGACCWCAAAGTGGCTTTGCAACAGCTTTTTGACACATTTTTTGATAAGCACACACTTCTTTTCCTAAAAGTTGTGCAAATTTTACACATTAACTTCAGAATTGGTCATTTGTTACAGGAAGATAAACTGTCTTTGTTTTGTAGTGCTTAAAGTACATAGGATTCCATAAAATAGAAATCAGCTCCTGCTGKAAACAAATTCACATCTAAGGTCCCAATTTCTGGAAGGGTGGAAGCCCTCATGCAGAATGTGTATGGCTGGAAGCGATTTCTGGAGGGGTATTCATAAGACAGGCATTATAGCACAGGGGGGAGGTCAAAAGAGTCATATTTCCCTCACTGCTCAAAGGTAAAGCCAGAYTTTAAACAACAGTGGAGCTCTTCTGACAAAATCAAAATAAGCAGAATATAATGTAGCAAAAAGCATTGAGTTCTCACTTTAAAGAATATGGGAAAGTACTAACACTTTGCATACTGCCTTCATGAATCTCATAGTAATAGTTACTGAACATTTTAACACACATTTTGCTGAAAACACACCCATCTTTGCTACTAAACAGCACCTCAGTTAGTTTCTGTTACACTTAGGAGGAAATAAACTGACATTTTTAGAATTTTCACGCTCATGCTAATGGAAGTTTGTCACTTTATGAAAGTGTATAGACATGCACACGTATTGAAAAATATAAAGAGYAGTATCCTCAAAGCTGAAATACATYTGGAAAATTATTGATATTGCCTGGTCAAATAGGTTACACATGTATTAAAGCTCTTCTCTGATTAATACTGACATGCCTATATGCTAGTATTGGAATCTTGTAATTATTAAAAGTTCTTTTTAAAATACTGTGTGCAATGTACACCTGAAAGATTTGTCACAAAGATACTCGTAAATCAAGATCTGCAGAATTGTTTTTGAAGTGTGGATTTTTTTTTGTCAAAATGTAGCAAAATCATAAAAACAAATGAAATAAATTATCAAATTTGCTAGCCACTCTCTGTGTATTGTTAATGTATTTTATATTTGTATTACACAGTTAGAGAAACATTTCCACCACACAGGCCTTCTGTTGAGCATTTACTACTTGTTTATCTTCTGCCTAAGGTACATTTTTCTGTATGTATTTAAAACATTGAGTGGGACACKATTTATTTCAGTCCCACAAATACACTTAAGATTCTGTGTGTATAAAGGACATTTTACATGCCTCTGTAAAATGCCATACTGGGTACACTGAAACAATTTGCATGTGAAGAGTTCTCACCAGCTATAAATGTGGTTGTTCCAATGGGTGAAAAGACAATTGAATTCAAACAATAAATTCTAAGATGCATCTGCAGTTCAGCAGTGTTATTTGTGAGAATACAGTTTTTCATTAACAATACACTGTTGTTATTGATAGGGAAACTGGTATTTTATTAACTCTAAGTATGAAAATTGTTCCACACCTGTTTGTCATGGATTGTATGTGGTGGACTTTGCTCAGTGTAATTGTGTGCAATAGCTGAAGCAGAGTTCAAAAGTCTCCAYTGTTGTTAGATCTCAAGCTCCCAAGAAGTTGTGTTTCTCAACCAAAGGGCTGGAAAAGGAAAAAAAGGTTCTAATTTTTTTGGGGGATAGATGGAGGGAGGGGGGAGGTTACTAGTTTATGAATGTTCCTCTTGAAAAATAAGACTCCAAAACTGAATGGTTAAGGCAGAATGTTGGTCATGTTGTGGTTATTTGGTGTTGATTTTTTTAAATGTCAAACTATTTTCACTTTCTATTTAATTCTTTCTGTGCTGAACTTAATTAACCTTAATTYTACATTTTACACATAGATACTATGGATAACCTTCACTTGCACATCATTGCTATGGTCCTTTACTTTAATCTTCCTGGATCTGTGGGAACGAAGTCACGGTGGATTCTTCCTGCTACACATCACCATTCAGAGTGCCGGTGGGATGGGCTGTTCTTACTGAATTGCTCTTTTACCAGARTAGCTACTATTCCAGAAGATATATCACAAATAGCAGTAACAGCTGATTTTAGTTACAATAATATTAAAACTTTTCCGTGCTCTGATGGAAGAAACGAAGAATGGATGCTGAAACACCTGAACCTCAGTAACAACCTGATTTCTGAACTTACCTTAACTACTTGTACAGATTTACGCAATTTAGAAACTCTCAACCTCAGTGATAATGCCATCCACACCCTCACACTGGACATGGGTAAAATATACAGAACTGTTGATCATCTCCTGCCCGCTTTGAAAGTATTGTCAATTGAAAGAAATAATCTTAATACAGTTCCAAGAGGTAAGCATTTCAAAAATCTTTTAAGGACTTGACTCCCAAGGGGTAAGTTGGTTTTGGATATAATTCATACATCTTATTGAATCTAGAATGTGACTTTCTCATTTTATTATACTTAAGGTGAGGGTAAGTTCCACCTGCAAATACAGAAGCAGAAGTAAATTAGTTGTTTCAGTTTACCTTGTTAAAGGGTTTTCTTTATACAGTCTTAGCAACCGTRCTGCCTTAAAATCAGTCAAATATAACCAAATTTATCCTCTAAGAACCCAAACAGTATTCTTGCTTTTTGTATAGAGAAGGGGAATGAGGCTTATCCACTTGTGAACCTTAAGGTCAAAAAAATTATAGATCATGAATGCTATCCTTCAGAAGAAAGTCAACACTCAAAACTTGCTGCAATTTCAGTATTTCACAAAGACTGGAAAATATATTTTGTTCAGTCTAAACAATTTTGCTCAGTGCTATTTAATACTCAACTGCAATGACACCTTGGTGTTACAGGAGAGGGCTGTATAGTTTTGAGAGACTTTGATAAAGGTTTTGCTGATCACTGAACTGTGCTGGGCCCCTTAGCCTTTATTCCAGGGATGATTCACAGTGGGCAAACTGTTTAAATTAAGCAGAAACTGCCGTATGAGCAATGCGGCACACTATACAGTATGTTGAATTTACTCATCTCCATCAGATTCATTAGTTTGAAAGTGGGAGAACAAAGTCAGACAAAAATAATCTATATATTTGCCTCCTCACGGGGTCATGAAAGTTCTCTTTTTCCCCTTTTATGATATTAAATAATTCTCTTGCATGCAGGAAAGCAATTTCATGTAATGACTTTGTAGTGTCTGCAAGGTATCTGTATAGACAGTATAGAAAAGCTTACATTATAAAATATATTGAAGATTTGATTAGTTTTGATAGATAAATATSACTGCCCATTATAGGATGCCTTAGAGGGTCAGACAGATCAATCCTCTTCTGTAAGAGACTCAATTTTCAGATGTTAAAGTTAAAATTACTGTGCACAGGACCACTATACTTCAAGTTATACTTAAATCCTATATTCATTTAAATACATGTTCAGAACCTTATTTTTGTTGTCCAAAATACTTCACTAAAATTCTGGGGTTTAAGCTCYGGTTAGAAAACACAAACTGCCGTTCTAAAGCAGGGGTTTCCCACAGAGAAACCCTTCTCCAGCCACCGCCCAAGGAGTCAGGCTGCTGTCCACCGCTGCCATACCAGTGAATATTTTTGGCACAAGCTTAGATTCAGAGAAATATCCACAGTACAAATCTGCATGCAGGTACACTGAGGAATTTATGAACTGCCCGAACCTCTGGAATGCCTTTCCTATCACCTACCTCTAGTTTTACAGCAGGAATGAATTATTCCCTCTTTTTCACAATAAATCCAAAGATCAATTACTCAGCAAACAGAACTGCTAGCTGAGAAAAGAGGCTTATGGTGAAAAAGATGACATCAAGGGCAAAAGTTTTAAGAACTAGTAGCTTCTTAACAATGCTGTAGAATCAAAAATCACTCCAGAGTGACATTGTGGTGTTGAGCTGATCACCACCATCAGTGGTGATGCTGAGTGTCCAAGTGCCTGCCTTCCCACTGGAACTTGTAGGCTGGGGCTTCAGGGGCTGCCTAGACAGCACCTCAGAAAAATGAGGTGTCTCCAGAAGTCGAGTATTCCTTATGCAAGGTGCATGTTACTGTAACTAGGATACTCTGAAGAATATACTGTCATGCTTCAGAATTCACTGGCAGACAGGCATGTTTTTGTTTTCATTCAGTTTTACATCCTATGAATAGTTCAAATTCATTCCACATATGAAAAACTCCCATGAAACTGTGYATGGCAATGGATAGGAGATACTATATCACTTTTTACATCTCCATTTTACTTAAAATTCTTACATTTGAACCTTGTAAGCTCAGTTTATTCCATCTTTTTCACACTCCTTTCCAACCTCCAGTTCTCCAAAGAAGCTTGCTCAAAGTACAGAGATCACAGAATATTTTTGACAGCACAAAGAAATGTTAGTGCTTTTGTGGAAGTGTCAATTTTTAAGATATTCATCGCCTGTGAATGTTTTAGTGTGCCAGCTGTTGATGCTATGCAACTTTTAGAATGGGACAACCCCTGACTAGGGAAGGCATAATAACACAAAGGCTGCAGCCACTCATTGCAATAGAGAGGAATGGAAAGAATTTTGTTGCAAAGAATTTTACAGACACTTGATACAACTGGGGAAACAAGAATATTAAATGTAAAATAGTTTTTTTTTTCTTCCTAGGACTAGGCTTCCTGCAATCTTTACAAACTGTCCATATGTCATCCAATGCCATACAACAGATTGACTCAAAGGATTTTCAAAACTGTTCACAGCTGAAGGATATTGACCTACGAAACAACAAGATAACTAAAATTCATCCAGATGCCTTCAGACATCTCAATAAATTACAGGTTGTAAAGCAATATTTTATGTTAATCATCATTAAAGATTTAATTACCAACTATTCACCATTATTACAACGCTTTGATTATAATATTAGTATACAACTATAAAAACTAGAGCAAATGGTGAAAATAATATTTTTATATATTTGCTTTTTATATGTAGAAAAGCACACATGCTGAAATGTACAAGCTATAACCATAAATTCAGAATTTGCCTATGCCACAAACCAATCCATTACTGCCTTAAACACACATCCCTTTCTATCCCCATCCCTTCCATGGCAAGAGCCCTGCAGCTCCCTGTCCACACAGAGGTAAGTCTACAATGGGAGAATTCTAAACRTACCACAATTTCAATGTTTCATGTACATTAAAAAGCTTAGAACATTATTGAAATCCTAAACCCATGTATTGTTTGTATAACTACAGAAGTTTGTATACTTAAACACTGTTTTAAGATGTTGCAATAAGGATTCCATTGTAAGCCTCATCAAATTAATTCTGAATTATTTCCAAATAGGTCGTGGATCTCCGTGAAAATGCACTGACAATCCCTCTACCACAGATAATTATCAGTTTGAACTTTTTTCAGTTRGAAGTATATTTGTCAAAGAATGCCTGGATATTTAACTGCAGGCTAAATGCTTTTAAACATTTATTTCATTTTCTTTTTGACTCCACGGAGAGAAAATGGAGCCTTTCATACAATAAATCTGCCAACAACTCCCAGAAACCTCAGCTGTATCTTTCAAGTTTCCATTTAAACTGCAGGGACGGTGTTTTGCTCAAAAGGGCTACAATACCAACAGGAAACACATCAGTGCTGACCTGTAACTTGGACAACATAAGGGGTATGTACATCAGGCACTCCATCCAAATGCTGCTAAAATTCAAATGAACGCAGAATGATCAAATAAATCTGGTTTTAAAAGTAGATTCCTCAAGACACTGTTTAAAAAYGACTGAATAACAATTTAATGTGCAAAAAATATTTCATTCAAAAGTATTATTCCACTTGGAATATTTTGAAGTTATGTTTCCCAAAAAAATCTTCATCTCCTTCCTTATAGTAAACAAATAATTAATGTCAAATTATACACGAACAAATTTCAGTAACTAATGCATTGCAAATGTATCAGTTCATTTCGGACTGAAACAAATGACCAAATAGCGGTAGTTGGTGCTTCTGGGACATGTAGAAAACTGAGAAGGATACGATAGTTTTCTTTATTCAGAAAGAAAATAAAGGTTTAGTTGCAGGGGAAAAGATTTCTATTTCTTCTGAAAAGGTACAGCTACTGTAGCACACTCTTCACTTACATTTACAATTAATAGAGAACACTGAAAGTTTAAGCAACAAAACCTTTAGAGCTAAGACTTACCAYAGAGATGGAAAACTAAGATCTAACTAAGAGCAGAAGGAGTATTTGTCATGTGCCGTAAGGCAGAATGGTTTAACTAATGGACTAATCGTACATGGAGGTCATAAGGCTTTCCCCTATAAATACATCATCCGCAAATGAAAATATGCTGGGCCTATCAGAAAAAGTCACCTGCTTTGTCTATTTACAAGAAAAGTCTTTTAATCCAAGAATCTTGGATTAAAATTAACACACTGAATTGCACCAAAACTCAAATGGGAACTAAAGCRGATCCAAAGAAAAAGCTGAAAATTCGAAACAAACTGTTAAAAGCCAACAGCCAGCCATGGCCCATACTAGCTCAAGTTTGGAATAACTGCTCAATCAGTACAAATATCCTTGATTTACAGAGGGTTTTTTTTTTTTCTTTTGCTGCAGTCCAATCAGTAACCACAGAAAAATCTCAGTGGCTGAAATACTGRCAGTTAAGAGGTGATGTTTTATCCCACATCTGCATGTGACCATGGCCAGGCTGTAGAGCAGCTGGCTACAGATATGTCTCTTCCACAAGGAAGATCAGCAGGTGTTYGTAGTACAACCCTGAACATGCTTAAATGGTATCAGTGACCTCCTCCCTCACAATATAATTTTTCTTGTGAAGAATGCTATTAAGACCCCACATGTTCCATTTTTAACTGGGAGGAGGGGTAGGGAGGCGTGTGCAATATGGTGTTACAGACTTCATACCATGTACAATGACTTGGGACAGATAAAAAGAAAATGGGGTTTATAATAGACTGTTAAAATTATCAAAGATAGTCCAGAGTATGTTCTTAGAGACATAACTGGACTTGCAAACCAAGTATACTATGCTTTTAACAAAGACTGAGTTTGTATTTTCTTTTATTTTAGGTAATGGAGTCTCTTGGTGGACACCTGAAGGCAGAATTTCAAAAAATCACAGTCTTCCTCATATGACACTGGATAAAATGAATAATTTAGTGATAYACAATGCTGGGAAAACTGCTGAAGGATTATATTTGTGTCTTTTTAATACAACAAAGGAGGAATATCTCATTTACAATATACAGGTGAAAGAAGGAGTTTCAGCATTTTTGGTTAGAAAAGGCCAGGACATTAACACTGGTTTTAGACAGAAAGAAACAGAGCCAAATTTTGCACTGGCTGTCTCCCTCTCTGTGCTCATTACATTTGTTTGTGCTTTTTGTTTGGGTGCTTTCGCTAGACCCTACCTGRTGAACCTGTGGAGACTCATGCACAGGAATAAAAATTCAGGTTCAGAACATACGTATTGTAATCAAGCTTTTTCAGACGAAACCTTGAGCACAGAGTCTTCTGCAAGCAAGCCAACAAATATGCAGGGTAATGTGTTATTTTGTGGTAAGAATTCTTTGAGAAACACAGACATTTTTCCTACAGAAAGTTCTACTTTGTATGAAAATGTCACTGATAGTGGTGCACATCCACCAAATCCCGAAGCAGAGTACCAGAAACAAAGCAATACTGAGATCAACATGAAGAAAACACCAGAAGTCCAAACTAGTACTGACAATAATGAAAGCGTACATGTTTATGATAATGGACTATTTTCTGTCCATTACCACAACAGCARTGAATTAACACCAAACAGCCAAGTAAGCAACAACTCTGGTCTGCTGCAGTCTGACATCACAAAGGCAACATCAGTTTCTCCAGAAAGTAAAGGTATTGTTTCACATAATGAACCCAGGCACACTACAAAATTTATGCAGGGAAGTCAAATCTGTGAAGAACAACTTGGTCTAAATGGCAACAAAAACAGACCTAGCGATGCTGGAGATTTTGTTTCACCTAGTAGCTCCAGARGAGATGCAGATATTGAAAATTTAAGCATCCATGAAACAGAAAACTCTCCCCTTACAGAGCATGAYTGTAAAAGGATACATTCAGCTGAAAAAGATGCTTCAGCCGATATATTTGGTGACAGTTCTTCAGCTGAAGGAACTCCATTCACAATGAGTGACTGTAGTTCTTTAGCAGACTCTGAACTGGAACAACCTTATGTTAGTGACAACCTGCCCATCTGTCAGTCATCACTGGAAGACGCCAATATAAACAGTGGAACTGAGAAGCTCTTGATATTGCCAGAGTCCCCAGATGTTACTGCTGAACTTCAGCAGATTGGGAAAAATGAAGATGGGAACAGTGCCTATTTTGAAACCACTATTAATTATGGCTCAGATAGCACCATGCATGAAACARCATCCCCTTACACTGATAAATGCAGTGGCCATGTAAGCACATYAGACCCAGATACAGTTAGTTCTTCAAGTCAAGCAGTTCCAAATACATTTGATTATTTTACTAATGCAGAGTCACCAGTACAAAACTCTATTTCTGATTCTCTCCATGGTGAAAGTACAGATTTGGGTAACACAGTACTCAAGTTAAAACATTCTCCCACGTATGACACAGAGAACATTTGTGAAGAGGCTGAGCTGCAGCCTTCTCTGCTTCCCAATGAACCACAACATTCCCTCAACTTCAGTCACACTGAAAAGAAAGAAAATGCACCAGAGAGAAGTACAGATGAGCACATAGCCAGGAACAACCCTGAAAAGAATCATGGTGAAGCAGACATTACATTAAGAAAAAACATGAGTACATCTGAGGACAATGGYTTTATTTTTGCTCCCATTGATACTGGCTTGAATGAAGTTGTGAAAAGAACATCACTGCTGCATTCCAGCAAAGAATCATCTCTTCAACTGCTGCCTGAACACACAGCTGAAAACCTTTTTATGTTTATTACACAGCAAGATGACTTGCTACCACAGGGGAAGCAGACTTGTGCAGATCAAATAAAAGGAGATTCTGATGAGAAAAATTCTGATGGATGCACAGAATTACAGGATGCCAGCAAGTGCAGTCTGCCYGAAGAAACACAGTCTTGTAATCTTACAGCAGATCTGCTGCATCTTCTTAGTTCTGGGAAAACAGAGTCAGATTTCACAACAGATTATCACTTCCAACTGGATCAGAGTGATGAGGATGCATATTCCTTCTCAGTCCCACGAGGTTTCTTCAGTGAAACCACACAAAACAGTTCATGTTCCTTGCCACAAAAGCCTACAGGAAATACAATCTCTGAAAGCACTGATTCCAGCAAGATGGTGTATCACACTACTTTGACAGAACTGGAGAACCATTCTACAACAGCTGTAGAACATCTCCAAAATTCCAGTGAAAATCTCAGTCAAGAAAGTCAGACAAATTTAGGACAGGAGCAGTTTTTTATTAAGAAGAAAAGAGCATTTGATGGATTTGCTAATATTTTGCAAAGCAGGAGAACAAACTTCAATAGTTAAAACACTAAATGGTAATACTAAGCTCCCCGATTGTTCATTTCATTRCAGCAGGTGAAAAAATGATTTTCAGAGCGAAATGACCTCTGTTTAGAAGGGTACTTGTAAAAAAAAAAAAAAAAACAGTAACAGATTTTATAAAAGCTACTCCAGAGTATTAATATTTAGTTTCTCATTATTGGTAGTTGATACTAATTTATTATTTCACTTGGAATTTGTTTCAGATGTGCACTTGTTTTGTGTCTAAAATAAATGTAACACTGAAATTTACATTGTAACTATGATTGTGTTTTCTTATGGGACTCACCCCTATACAGTGAAATAGTACATCTGTTTTCTGCTTTTTGAGCTAGATTTGTGGATTGTCTCTGAATTCCCAGTTTTGCAAAAGTAAATAAAGTCCAAGCAGTATTCAATTACATTTAAAAAACCACTTTTTAACTTGGCTAGAGAGAGAAAGAATAGCTCCTTTCTCAAAGAAACAGAACAGAATTCAATTCTTGAGGAAACACCAGTTGTAGGTATGATGGGACATCACCTATAGTGTGCAGATGTGATGACACAGGCAGGGTAATTTTAAAAAAGAGAAAGGATGCTATAYCCACTTCAGAATTTTCTTAAGAGGGGAAAATCAAGAGCAGTTCAAAACTGCTATTTTAGAACACCAGCAGCCCAAAGACAGCTAATGTAAGGTAAAATTACCTCTGGATACAGCCCAAGGCCCTTCCCAACAGACTCAGTACCACTGATGCAGTCCTGGGAGGGAAATGTCATCATGAAGGGGAGCAGACCCAGTTCAGGGAAAATGCAGGAAGCTGGCTACAACTCAGGGGTAACTCATGAAGACAAAATTAGCTCCTAAAAACTCCGAACAGAAGGAACAGAATTCTATCACATGAGGAGCAAGTCTAATGGCACACTACATCATTGAAAATACCTTTAAAGAAAAAACTAAGAACAAAGAGCTACTGCCAGCTTCCAGCAAAGTTCATTATCCACACAAGTTCTTTGTGGCCAAAAAAAACTTYAAAATGCAACGCCTGAAAAAAGCACTTCCTTGCTCTTTTTGGTATCTGAGTCTTCAAACACTGTTGACACCTCACCAAGGCCTGTCACCTTTTGGCTGTAGCAGATGCAGTATGTTAAGAAATCTAACTATATAAGCAAGGCAATTTTGTGAATCATGGGAAAAAAAAAAAAAACATTTGAGTACTCTATTGGTTTCTCATATACTGAAATGTTTTGCCATTTCATTGTGCAATAGTCCAACAGGATTTCAGAACATATACTGGAAAATTATTTTCTCATCTTTTTTTCTGACCATGAGAATGCTGCAGTGGCAATGAGGAGCGTACACTACTCGTGAGAATCTGCAAGATTTCCAAGACCCTCTTCATGCTATAAAGTCACTTYGTCACACAAAGTAAATTCGTTCCTTTATCAAAGGATTTTATACGCAGCAACGTATTCATTCTACTATCAAAATATTGTTTATGGTTCATCTCAAACTTACCTTCATATTTCTGCCTAATCTGGCCACTGTCCTCTGCTACTCATCTCTCCCCTCTTATCATTTTTTCATTCAAATCCACTCAGCTACTTCTTCATATTAGTTTTTCATTCCTGTAGCAACAGCTCTGTAATACAAAACCTTTGTATTTTCTGTGACTTCTACACAGTACTCATCATACTCTGCTCCTCTTTAYCCACCCCATGTTACCATGCCCACGTGTATGCAGATCTGTCCACACACACTGACCCCAAGATTGCATCCTCACTTTTCTTCACATTTCATCAACTGTACCTTGTTCACACTGAAAACTTAATTCAGCTTATTTGGCCACTGAGAATTTTCTAGGATACCTATACTAACAGAAAGCCAGTTGCTGTTATTATCCCAGTTGACTGCAGGTAATCAAAGACACAGAAAAAGCTTGATAAAAAGCTGCCTGAGCGTATACTGTATGAACTTGTAAATGAAGCATGAGGAGTCAGCTAGGAGGATGCTGGCAATAGTCTGGACACATCCTTCTCACAGGGCAATGGCATGCTGAGCTTCACAATTGACAGGACACAGAATCCTTCATACAGTGAAACGGAACAGGAAAAAATACTGAAGTTTTAAAAGCACATCAGAAATTTCAAATAGAGTAGTCAGAATGAAACCAAACTCTTGTTTTCAAACACATACTTATGACAGTTTGATAATTAACAACTTATTTGCTGTAGGTACAAAGCATTTCAGTCTTTCCTGAGAATGCTGAAAATTGTGCTGGAAATATAAGGGGAAGACATGCACATTTAACCTACACATAACCAACATGAGAAATTTTTTTGACAGTAGTATAAAGTTTTTCATGGTAGAGAAGACTGTGACTCACCCACTCTCATAAATACAAGCAACAACCTACTTGCTGAGAATTGGCAAAGCCAATCCCAGCCTTTATCAGAAACATGAATGCAATAAAAGAATTCTTCAGGATTGGTTCAACATTACATTATTCTACTTGCAATATAAATATTTTCAAGTAATATTTTAAAGTCAAGGTTAAATATAGCAATTATTGCAATAAATAAGCAATATCTGGAGGTCACCTAGTCCAATGATCCTGATCAAGCAGGGGCACTTAGAGCCATTTGCCCAGGACCATGTTCAGATGGCTTTTCAGCATCTCTGAGGATAGACAACGTAACAGTGCATGGCCACATACACAGTAAAAGAGAACAGTTCCTGATATCCAGATGGAGCCTCCTATGYTTCAGTTTATGAGCACTGCCTCTAGTCCTGTCACTGGGCACTGCCTGGAGAGTCTTTTCTTCTTCACACCCTCCCTTCAGATACTTAAATACTGTAGTAAGAATTCCAAAAGCATTGGCTCTTCTCCAGTCTAAACAGATGTGCATCCTATGAGCATTTCCTCATAGGAGAGAAGCTCCCATGCCTTCATTATCTTCATGGCCCTTTACTGGACCCCCTCCACTATGTCATAGTGTCCCTGGTACTGGGAAGCCCAGACGTGGACACTGTGCTCAGGTGTGGACTCAGTACTGAGYGGAGGGAATAAGCCACTCAGTCTGCTGGCAATACTTTGTTTAAAACAGACCAGGATACCACTCACCTTCTTCACAGCAAGGACTTGTTGCTGGCTCATTTCCTTCTCAGTGCCCACTAGGACCCCCAGTCCCTTTTCTGCCAAGCTGCYTTTCCAGCTGGGTGGCCCTCAGTGTATACTGGTGCAGGGGTTGCATGACTTTGCACTTAACCCTGGCTGAAGCTCAAGTTCCTGCCAGCCCATTTTTCAAGCTTGTTGGGGTCCCTTTGGATGGCAGCATGATCCTCTGGCTTATCATCTTTACTTCCAGCTCTGTGTCATCAGCAGACTGCCCCATCATCCAGGTCATTAGTGAAGATGTTGAACAGGATTGGATGCAGCTCTGACACTGGGGGTACAGAACTAGTTACTGGTCTCCAAATAAACTTTGCTCTGCACACCACCACTCTCTGGGTTCTACAATTTTCTATTTTCAGTCCACCTATCTGCTCATCCAGTCCATACATCAAAAGCTTTTCTATGAGGACCTTGCGGGTCACAAGGCTRGACCAAAATGAGTGGATAATGATTATGCTTCTGAAAAAATTTATCTTGAGACATTTGTGCTCAAATTGACTTACTGTAGAAAATGTCTGTATTTCAGTACTGTTTTACACTCATAAACTCCATTTCAAACAACCTTTTTGAAGCACCTACCTTTTCCCAACAGTTTCAAATACYGATTTGCTCTACTATTAGAAACAAGGGTGACAAGATCCTACACACAAGTTCTCTGCTAATACTATAAAGGTTTCCTGCTGATGAATGTTCAGATATGAGAATTTCCAAAGCATGAATCACAGAAAAATCTGAAGTCAGTTGCTGAAACCAACACAAATACTGTGTTTATTTGTGAGATGCTATTTTACATCRACACCATCAAAAGACCTAAAAATCAATCGGATTAACTCATGTTAGGTGGCATAAGAGTATTTTCATCATATTGTAACTCACAGGAGTTCAGCACACCTTACTTATGTAACATCCAAATAACTAAGACATAAACCATTCACAGTCACAGATTAACTGCTGTTCGTGCAACAAGTGTCAGTAGGTGCTATTTTGACACACGTACACATGCACACACACCGTGGGGGAGCAGGTGAGGAATTAAAAAATAGAAACAACAAAAAAATCTGAATTTTGGTCTCAACTACAGGAAACAAACTACAGTTTGTGGATGGATTCTAGACACTTTTACAACAATATGAAAAGACAAAATATAAGGCATAGAAAGAGGTATGTTAGCAGCTATAATTAAAACCAGGGCACAAGCTAACCTTTAAAACTGTCTACATGAATTCCAAGATTATCAAACAATTTGTTAGACTTGTGACCAAGGGTCAACAGARATCTGGGATAACCTTAATACCACTGTCCATTTCTTGTCCCTCAAAAGAGTAACTTGGGATCATTAACCAAATAGCAATAAACTGTAATTAACTTGATTGTGTGAGCACATTTGTGATTAAATAAAATGCATATGTTCATCGTAAAATGGGAAAAGCCTCTACAGTATTAGAAATGGCTACACAAAGATAACCCAATATTTATAGTAGCTYCAAGACAACCTTGAAGAGGTTTTAACTGAAAATTCAAGTCCATAAACAATTTCARTGAATTCCATGCTCTTCAGCTTGCTTTCCTTGGAAAAGATAAAAAGTAAAAAAACCAACAGTAATACACAATTATATTAATATTTTAAATACTTAATATCACATAGCTTTAGAAGGAAATTTAATTCAATGAATGCTTTGATTACTAATATTAATATAATCATTTAGGCTGAAAAATATTCTTAGGATTATTAAGTCCAAGGAGCGCCAAATGTTTGTCATCTATCAAATAATGTCAACTGCTATAGTCTCTGGATACTGTTTTCCTTTCACTGTCTTTTCAATTTACGTCTCCCAAATACCAAAAATTAACTGTACATTGATTATCAAGTTTCTTTTAACAGTTCAGTAATAGTAAACCAGAAGTATTAGCACAAGACCCACAGCTGACCTCTCAGTGTCTTGTCCCAGAAATCACCATATTCTGTACATTACTTTTCAAAAAGCGGGGCAGAGGGAAGAAAGCCCACAATCAAAAAAACCGTTTACATCAGCTGTTTGTTGGCAAAATAAACAAAAAAGCAAATGCCATACTTGTACTAAATACAAGATTAACTGAGTTAAGTTTCCATAACTATTAAAAATTTCTCCAATATAGAGRAGCAGGCAGTGTTAGAATCTTCTGCTAATCAGCACACATAAAAAAACCTGTAGGATATAAAACCTGCAAAACCAGCAGGATGGATAGCACAGGGAAGCTCATCAAGCCACACAAGCCCATTTGAGTCCATTTGTTCACTAAAAATGTCAGTAAAGCTGTCTCAACTAGCTGTAATTGAATCCGTGGTTTACTTTATGAAGATGCATGTTTATAAACTTGCTGATAGCTACAGATTCATCCTGTTTCAAATGGAAGAAAAAACTTGCAGCATCCAATTCATTTCCAAACACATTCTTCCTTTCCATCACTCCCCATTATTTTTGTCCAAATTTTAAAAAAAGTTTGTTCGCTTGCACAGTGAGGTTTTTTTTTTTTTCTGAGGTTACTTTTCCCCTGTTTTCTTTGTTTTTAATTAAATTTTGTTTCTGAAGAACAGAAAAACTGCCARCACCTGGCTGAACTAAACAGATTTCTGTCAACCCTGTTATATGAAAGCTATACCTGTAACAGTAATAGACTGAAAGTGTCTTTGGCTCTTGCTTCCATTATTGGAAGCTGTTATTTGTGACATACAAAATYTTTTATGCTATTTCTTGCAGGATTCATGCCAATTTTTGCTGAACAGTTTCCTAGAGTTAACATCTAATGTTTTAAGAACAATTACACCTATTTCACTTAAAATCCTGGCAATCACAATTTGGCCTAATGTTAAAAGTTATATTGCTTCTCAGTTCATTCTTTTAAGAACTAAACCAGCAGTTCTACTGGTAGTTCATTACAGTAATACTATTGTAATATACACATTTACATCGGAAGTCTTAATAAAATGTATGTTTTCTTAAGAGGCTTATTGTAAACATTAAATATCACACTCCCCTCAATTTCTTGTGCAAACTGGCATCAAACATAGAATTAAGGTTATGTGTATTAGTACATGAGAAAGCACTGACTATGTATATTTTACCACTACTAACTTCTGTTTAGTGTCATGGAAATCAAAATGTAGCTATTTCAAAGGAAAGGTAGTATTTTCTTCTTAGCATCATGAAATTCTAGGGCTTGTATATGCACACATATTGTATATTTATGTATATACAAATATACACAGACACAAACAATTTTTGTCTTTGGCAGCTGAGCTTGAAAAACAAAAACCAACGACAACAACAAACAGATCAGAACACAACTGACCACCTGTAGCACCACAATTACAACCTCCTGGTCCAGGGCAGCAAACGAATGTGCTTTTGCCAAACTAGGCTTAATTCTGAAAGAAGTCAAGTCAATGACAGTTGCTCTTGACTTGATGGCAAGGATAGAACCTTCAGCACAGATGAAAATTTCACTTTCAAGATAAATGCTTTCCTCTCATTCTCCTGGACTGCATTCTAGGGAAATAACAAAACTGCCAGTAACTTGAAAAATATTTCTACAGAGAATTAATGCTGTCATTCCAAAACATCCACTGGCCCTTTGTTGCTAAATGCTCCATGAATYGATAACATTTTAATAAATCCTTAGGGATCAAAGTTTAATAGCACCGGATACTTCAAGGACCTATTCATAAATATCAACACTAACATTACTTAACAAAGAAGGGTAAGGCAAAGACAAYATGACAAAATTACAGAACTTAAACATTATTCCATTCACTTGTTTTTCCCAAAATAATCACTTGAACCATCTTACACAGATAAAGAAATGAGTGMAACAGGCAGTGGTCCCTACTAAAAAGTACTGTCATTTAATGCTGGTGTTTTACATGCCCATTGCCTGCAATGGACATTCTGCCAGGAAACTTTAATCCCCAACAGGAAAGAAAAAGTAATGTTTTGACTATTCAAGATCATATTTTTCCAGTATYATATTTTTAAATAGTTAGAAACACAAAGCTGGAGGCCCTTGGAAAGACAAAAAAAATCCCCAAAAATTTTACTACATATKTGCTAGGAGTGAACATGCCTTATTCCCCAAACCACCAATTTCAGCTAGAACTTTCAATGTCATTGGGTCGCTAGATCACAACATAGACCAAACACTCTTGGTACACCAAAAATTAAAAGGAGTATGCCAAAGGCAATTTACAAAAGTCTAAAACCCATTTTTAAAAGGTACTTTAATTTATCCATTTGTACCTGTAATGACTACTGCAGTTTTAACATTAAAAAGTCAGTACTTTTTTCTTCAAATGGAAATAATCTGTGGCATGTACAACTATTACAGTGTTTTAATATTTTTATACATATATATATATTTTTTTTCAAGACACCAATGTTTCATTCCTATAAAGCATTAGGTCAYGTTTGGCAAATTCTGATGAAGGAAGTCACAGCATCTCTCCTCAGAAATTGGCATCTCAAATAGGAACAATGAAACTGACACCAGTTCTTCACATAACTATGTCCAGGAAGGCTGAAATTTTACATTTGAGACCAAATGAAAAACAAAAGTAAAGTTTCAACAGACATGTAAGTGATGATTAGAAATATGCCACAAAATTATTTTTACAATACATTTCTGCAGAAATAATCCCTAGGTGAAGCCTTTTTTATACACATATACAAAATTTAGACAGCAATATACACATAATCACAGTGAAGACTCTGGCAAGTTCACCAATTCATAGTGGAAATACAAAATGCAAAGCAGCCTTCAAAGAGAACAATGCTAAACAGCAAGCATAGCTAGCTTGTTAAATAGCAAACATCAAAAGTTCCCTGCCAAAGGGATGCAGTGCAAGAAAAGCAGCATGCACTTTGATACAAATAGCAGTTTATGGCTAATGGTTGACRTAACTGTGGTAACAGTGACTCTTGAGTGGCTGTGCATAGTTAAACTCCTATGTCATCTGTTTTCCTTTATACCATTCCACAAACTCATCCAACAACACTGGCCCTGTAGAGAGATCAAATAACTGTGTTTTACAAAATTTTGTAAAGGGACACTAAATTATTAAGCTCAGAGAAACAAAATTTATTTTAAAACATCAACACATGGTAGTACTTACAGGCTCCATCTTCATCATAGTTGCTGAGGTCAAGGTTAATTGTTCTGCTGAATTCAAGAACATTACACCATTGGTCCTTATTGATAACTTTGTATTTTGATTGCTGGTTGAGGCAAGAAACAGAAATTACTAAAACATATTTTCAACTGTCTCAAACTCAGATTTTCTTACAGAAAATTTAAACTTTTTGATGCATTATTATTTTAATCTGTCTGCTATCTAAAACTAAAACGAATTAAACTAGCAAGCATTCAAACTAGTACTGAATCAYGTTTCTGATTAAGCCATCTTTTAGCGGGCAAACATACAGCAATAATATAAAGTCTAAAAGCAAATAAGTAACATTACATACTTTGTTCTGCATTGCACAAACCTTAACAGCACTGAAATTTGGGAAAAAGTAAGAAAGAAAAGGTAACTAATTGCATGTGCTGCTTTGGTGTTTATTATATCCTAAATCAGAACACAGAATACTTAGCTCTTGATTCTACCTCCAGTTAAAAGTATAAGTGAAGACAGATTAAAAAAAAAAAAAAAACCCTGTCATTTTGTTTCCAATTCCATACCTCTAGAAACTGGTGAAATACTGGAAAAAGGGACCATGCTTTTCCTAAAAGAAGGCCCAACATACACTTGGCAGTATTGATATCTAGGCTGCGCTGGTCCTTTTCCTGCATGAAAAGATCAAAAAGGGAAAAAAAGCAAAATTTCAGGATTCTTCACTTCCCATCCCCATGCACAAAATAAATTAACAAATAAATAATATATAGCAATGTTTTTTAATAAAAGTGTTTTTTAACTAACAGTGTTTTTTTACTAAYAGTGTTTTTTAATAAAACACAACTTCCCAGTAAAATTTCCTTCCTTGAGGGTAATGASTTGTTACATGGAGATGCTGTTTTCCATAGATGTTCCCAAAAAGCCATCCCTGTTAAGGCAGATGAGGCATAAGGTCGTTTGTGACTTCAGCCCTCCCTAGGACACAACGGTCATCAGATCCACAGCCACGTTTGCACGTACTCTGCACAGCCATAGCTCTTAGAACTGCAGTGCTGTACCCATTTTCTGCCGTACCATTACAGCTACAGGGACTAACAGTTACCACTACTTGGCAGCTCCTCAACTATGCAAGAGTGAACCAAGAGGATCTTTCTTATTTTTCCAACTGATTACATGAAACTCAGATTATATTATTAAATGAGCACAAAGAACATAACACAGTAGCACATCGAGACTCCTCCCTGTATTGTCCAGTTTTAGTTCAATGAAACAGTAGTGCATTAAGGTTTAAGGGTTGATTCTTTTTGTTTMTGCTAAGTAAAAGCAGCAGCATCTGTACCCAGAAAGTGTGCTAATGAGTGGCAAAGTTAATATATTTAGTAACATAACTTCTGCACGTCTCWAAGTAAGATGTGTATAATTCCATTTTATTAAATAGTTTATCCATCTACCTTTGTTGTCACAAAATTAAACAAAATTAAGAATTTTGCTGAGAGATGAGGCATAAACACTCACACTTTTATGCCTTGGTTATAGCACTGAGATACAAATTCACAAGTTCATGAAATCACAAAAAATTAATTTCCGTATTAACTAATGTAGACCTTGTTCTCTGTATGTACTCATGACTGCAGACTGCAAAGTCTAAATTAAGAAAATATAGGGTATCAGAGAATCATGGCATGGGTAAGTGGAAGGGACCACAGTGGGACATCAGGTCCAACACCCCTGCTCAAGCAGGGTCATCCTAGAGCACAGGGCACAGAATTGTATCCAGGTGGTTCTTCAATTATCTCCAGTGAGGGAGCTTCCACAACCCCTCTGGACAACCTGTTCCAGTGCTGTCACCTGCACAGCAAAGAAGTTTTTCCTCATATTCAGATGGAAGYTCCTGTGCCTCAGTTTCTGCCCACTGCCTTTTTCCTGTTGCTTGGTACCACTGAGAAGCGCCTGGATCCATTCTCTGAMATCCTCCCTGCAGATACTGATAAGACATTAGTAAGCTTTATCCTTTAACCATCCTCACTGCCCTCCACTGGACCWTCTCCAGAAGCTCCATGCCTCTCTTGTACTGAAGAGCCCAGAACTGGACCCAGCTCTCCTGATGTGGCCTAACCAGTGCTGAGTAGAGGGGGCGAACCACCCCCCTTAACCTGCTGGTAATGYTCTTCCTAACTGCACTCCAAGAWATCACTGATCTTCTTGGCCACAAGAGCACACTGCTGACTCATGGACAGCTTGTTCTCCAACAGGAAATATCCCTTATAGGGCTATTCTGGATACAGGGAGTKTCTAACAGAACACTGCAAGACAGATAGCTGCCCAAAACAAAGGGAGTTGAGTCCTATGCCTCACCTGTACAAATGCAGTTCTATGCATTACAGAATACACGTCTTTATTAAAAAGAACCATGCTCAAATCATAACTACACTGTCTTCTATCATACAGGAAGGATGTGACAGAGTAAGATGCCAGTTCTCAGACAGCAACTGAATGCCTTATGCTCATTTCATACAAAACATTCCTCAATTTTATAATTGTGTAGTCACAATTTAATGCAGATTTGTTTTGAAAGAGAAGTGGGGAGACCAGCAACACTGAAAACATCAGAAGTTTTGTATTCTGGACAGTAATTCAAGAGGGATTTAGAGAAAAAAAAAGTAAATTCTATGGTGAACAAAGCTTTTCAATTAGTAATGAAGATGAAAAAGAAACCTGCAAAGGCATTCTTGTACTAGTAAGTCTTCCATGTATTTCCAACACCAAAAAGTTCTAAAAACTACTTCTCTTTCCAAAGGCCATCTACACTTCTGTCACAAACACCTTTAAGCAGAATCACACTGCTGTCAGAATACATTTTATTTTACATACTGTTTATACTCTGAATTCTTCCCACTCACTGAAGCATTTATGAAACCAGGCTCTATTGCCTTTACTTTGGTCACACTGGCTTTTTATGCCTTATATTGTTATGTTTCTACATTCTCTCTCTCTGACTACTGATCAGAACAAGTTGTTCAGATGAGAACTTTCTACCCACCTCCAACTGCCTAACAGCACCTGTGCCATGACAAAGGAACGAATTTCATTCTTAGCATACATTCCAGCCACTTATATTCTCTTTCCTGAATACAGAAGGAATATATTAACAAACTGTTAAACCTGAGTATTTGTTTTACACCGACGACAGTCTTCCCGGGGCTTTTTACCCTTAATATTTCAATTAAAGATCTATTTAAGCCATATAATACATGCATCTGTATGTTCTCAAACTTGGCAATGACAAGGGCAAACATGGATTGAGGAATGTATTTGTGCTTAATATCAACATATGGTRTCTTAAATTATTTCCTCAAATCTCTGCTGACCTAAATTGCGCACACAACAGGAAACAMTGATGATACATTTTTATTCACAAACTAACTTCAAATGCCAAATCAACAGACTCTTTCAAATAAAATTCTCTTAAAACTTMAGAAATTTAGACAAGTGTTTTTTTGCCATGAAACACTTCCCTGAAGGAATTATCCTTAGGGCAGAAATTATACATAATCTCTTGAATCTGAAACCATCAGCTTTTTTCTATCAATGACTTCAATGATCCTGGAGAAACATATGCCCAGATTAACTTGGCATTTATAAATATGTGCACCTTTGTCAGTGTTCTTTTCTATTCTTACTGGACGCCATTCTTCCACACTTTCCCCAAGTCTGTAGCAYCGAAAGTTCAAAAATCAAATTAGCCTAATATTGTTTTGGTAATTCCCCTCTGATTTGAAGTTCTATAACTTGCAGGGTTCTTTTGTCACAAATTAAGTCACAGCACTTGTGTCTCAATGTTTAAATTCTTTTTCAAGACCACCATTTATCACATCAGTTTGGTACTTCTTGAAAAGAACCCACACACTATCCACCTCTGAATTTTTTGCACTTACTTTTGACAGGCCATCAGCTGGCACAGGTTTGCTCTCTATTCCAAATATTTCACCAGTATCTTGAACTTCTTAAGCAATGCCTTTGCATTTTACACTGAGCAAAATGAGCAGAATAGACTTTCAAACAGCAAACGAGGAATTAAGAGGTTGATACAGCGGTTTTTTTTCCTCTCATACTAACTAATCCCATGCATTTTTGTTATATTCAGTTGCAAGTTTCGTTGTTTGAAAGTGAATTACCATAAATCTCTGCATGCTGAGACACAGAAAGCCCTGAGGTACGAAAAATGAGCTGCTAATGAGACACTATCAGAACTGCTATCAGTTCAATTTCTTCTTATTTTTCTTATTTTCTCATGCTACTTTTGTTGCAAATTTTCTAAGTATTTTTAGTTCTCTTGCACAGAAATCTGAGGTTCAGTTTTACCTTTTTATGTTACATCTTCTGTACACTCCATCACATTAGAAAAACAGATGTTCAAATTCTATTTCAAAATGCTATTTCAGAAAATATTTACCTTATTACTCCCTCCAAGTAGSAATAGTCTTATGTACATTATGGGTTAAATTACAGATAAAATTTCATCAAAGCATGTTTTATAGCAGGAAGACTGATATCAGGATATTGTTCAATAAAAACTGAAAACATCATTAAAGTCATTCCAACAATCTTCTGAATCATTATTTATATCATATCCAACTTTTATCATGTTACCCATTTTTACCAGATACTGAAATGTGTGAAATGTCTTCGCGTTTTAAGTATGTTTATGATCATAAAATTCAGAGTAAGAAAAAACACAGTAATTATAAAGTCAGAGGAACTCAGTGGTAAAGCTCCAGTATACAACTGAACGGGGTCTAAATTATTTCCTTGAAGYCATAAAATCACTTAAGGCAGAGATGTAACAAAACACGTCATTAAACCACTAAATGTTACATATCCTATATACTTTTCCAGTTTTGACAACTTGCATATACCATTTTGAAACACAAATGGTTCCATTTGTTGAAAGCAATCTTGAGTGGTACCTTAAGAGAACAAACTCAGAAATATACAGTCTTCCAGTTATTATTTAAGACAGCAAAGTTTTTAATTTCAAATGCACAGTACTTACCCGTGCAAAGTCAAAGGCATATCTATAAATAAGTTTAAAATTGGTAGGCTCATTTAATAAAGATCTCAAGTAATCCAGAGAATTTCTCAATTTTTCTGTAGTATCACACCTACAAAACAAGCACAAAGTGAGTTTAGAGTCTGCATTCTTATAGAGATTCTGATATTCTAGGAAAGAATCTCTAACATGTATCACTGTTCTGAACATTAACCTGTTTAAAATGCATCACTCTGTACAGAGGCATGTTTATGAGTCTGTCTGCATAAAATGCCTTATCAATCCCACAGTGTGACAYGAAACAAACTTAGATAAAGCAGCAAAGTCTTGCACTGGGACTGACTGGCTTTGTGAAAAATGCATTCTCCAACAGATTAAACTAAAAGTTTGTCCATGAATAGCAAACAACCAGCAAACCAAAGCAGTGAAAAATATTTCTAAAGTCCTGCTGAAACTACAGAACTTCCTACACAGCTTTAGTAATTCTCTTCTAGAAGTTAAGTCAAAACACAGTGCTTTCTTTCTCCAACTCTCTATGAAATGTGATTATTCAACTATATTTATGTTAATTCTGCCATAAAAATAAGGTCTTAACCGGAAAAAGCAACTMTTAGAAAGAACAATGCAGATTTACCGTTTATATTATTTGTATTATTTAGCATTTTAAACCACTCTAACTATACCTGTTAACTATAACTGTTATATATACCAATATCTAACAGATGAGTGCAATCCAGCAACAAAGACAGATGTCCTTGGGGACAGAAAGTGTGTAAAACCTCACCACATTTTTAYTGAAACTGCAGACATTTTAATCCAACTGTATTTATATGCGCAACTGTCAAGTTTCAAGTTGTCTCTAAGTGACCRTATCATCATAAATCAGACCAAAAACTTATGACTTCTACTCCATGGTAGAGCTCTCTGCTTTAGGTGTTATGAGTCAAAACACTCGAGTGTGTTTTTTCTGAAAAGCTGTGTTTACTGTAATAAACTTCAGAGAATTTTCAAAGCACTTACTGTAGTGATGTCATTCCTTTCAACCATTCTTGTAACGTAAAATAGCCCATGTTTTGTGCATCCAACTTCCATGCTAGYACAAGCATAACTACCTGTTTTAAAGAGAAAAAACATGGAGAATAAAGAGTTAACAAAATGATCCATGTCTTTTTCAAATAACCAGTTTAGGAGGATACAAATGCTTTTACTTGTATAAGTGGGAGTTCAGAACTTTGCTACATTGTAAGTCCCCGTGAGTGACAAACCTGTACACAATCGAAATGAAAAAAAGGTAACAGTGTAAATAAAGAGAGTGAACGTCCACCTGAGTTATCAGTAGGTACTTCAAGGGAGTTTGTGCAGTCATCTCATGAGCAACACAATGAGGAAGATGAGTTGGTACAAAAGCTACAGAAAAGGTTCCCCAACCTAACAAAAAAATTTCAATACCAGTTTGACAAGTATATCTAACATTTGTTAAACCCCCATCTCAATAAAYATCAGTTGTAATCCATGAAATGATCTGAAGCTAACAATGATCCCACAATTGAAGCAGATGTTAAGTAAAGCTAGATGAACTAACATTAACACACACTGAAACAGAGGCTGATACATAAACACTCCAGTTTTGCTCAAAAGGAAAGTGTCTTTGTCACATCTCACACAGAAGAMCAAAGCAATAAATAATTTAGATAAAGCAATACCTTAAGATTATCATCTTATTCATGAATATAAGAAATCACTTTTGACAAATATATKACTGAAAAGCTTGCAGAAAAAAAATAACCAAGTCAATTAAATTTACAACTCCATTAACAGCAACCATTAACTAGCTGATGTTAGTGCAGCTCTGTACAATTTTTAATGGGAAATCAGAGTACCTGCTTATATATCCAAATGTCAGCATAAATTACAACACTTATTATTCTTATAAACTCTGAAATTAGCAAATTACATGCCATTTTTTACAGCACATCTTTCCCAGCCACAATCCTCATTTACTTAGATGACGCTCCATGACTTCTGCAAAAGACAGGACTTGCAAATGCATTTAAAGAACAAAAATTAGGCACTAAGAAAAAGCCTGTACAAGGCATAATTGTTTTTTAAATCTTATTCATTTTWTATATATATATATAYACACACACACACACATGTATATAATATGGATCTTCAAATACATTTCTATTCCTTATTTGTTTTTTGAAATGGTATAATGGCAGTATCACTAATGCCCACAATATTTGAAATCCCTTTCTCTCCTAGAAAACCCAGAGGAAATACTACTCGTTAGGTAGTTGCTATATTAAATCTTGAATGTTATCTCATTGTTTCAGAAAGGACAACCATCAGGCTTTTTTTATTTTTTTTCTTTAAGATCTCTCCTTTTCTATGGAGACTGAACGTTGGTGCTAAAGTGAAAGAGAAGCAGTGGCAGCAGACATGAGTTTTTAAAGGTTGACAGTCTGGGGTTTAAAATAACAGCAAGTTGTTCCCCAATGTGTTTCAAAAGCTCCCTGGTTCATATTTCTTAATTTTTTTTTTAACTCCCAATAATTTTTTAAATTTTTCGTGAAAAAACAAGAGCTGTAAAGACTGGCTCAWGTACACCATAGCAGACTAGGCACTTTTAAAATGGATTCTAAACTTACATTTTCTGGTTCAACTCCAATGTCTTCACAAAATTTCTCCATACCTTCTGGCCCTACAATGTCATCTGGGCCTGCAAACAAAATACATTTTACTGATCTCTAAAAATTAAAACAGCCTGCCCTTTTCAGCACAAAGGAAGAACAATCACACAGTACAACCTTTCATACAGTTTCTTTTGACATGAAATAAGTATTTTCACACATACTATCAGACTTGGATACACTTAAATCTTTATCTCACCTGAAAACAGAAACTGCAAAACAACTTYTCTTCCCTGCCAATTTTTCTACTCATTTACTGAGGTAATCTTGGAAGTGTAAATTAACAAGATTTTTAAGAATACATTTAAGACTAACAGAACACCCACATAGTATTACTTGACTTAGATGAGTGGACAATAGTTAATGAAACTCATTCCTTAGTTCAAATCTCTACTGTTACCGTAAAATCAAATCACATAAAAACATGATGTATAGCTAWACAGGATACAAGACATTATCATTTCCAAGATCTCATTCCTCATTATTGTCTCATATACTATCTTTATATAAAAATGTTCTCCTGCTTATTCATATTGCTACACCACRGCCATACATCATCCAAACAACAGTAACTGCAATGGGAAGAAAATAATGAATTACAGTTATTTCTTCGTCTACTTAAAAGGAAAAAGATTCAAAATACAAATGCTATTAAAATGCACTACTAATAAAACGTGGTCTTAAATCAAGATATTTGCAATCTCTATAATACTCCTGAAAAACTTATTGAGGAATTAAGAATTGTACTRTGCAACTCTATTTTTAAATACACTTTAAGTATTTGAACTATTTTGACAGAATTATTTTACTCATGTTTCAAAGGGCTCATTTGAAAAAAAACACAGGCTTAAGTGCCTACTTTCCTCCAATATAAAAACCACATGTGAAAGAAGGCTAGGGTTTATAAACAGAAGATCAATCTGTATTTTATTATTAGGTAATCTTTCCTAGAAATAACAAGGTTTAATGATGTCTTTTCCCATCTTCTCGTGATAGCGTCTCCATTCTCTGAATGTATGCAATGGCCTTTAAAAAGATTTATTCTTAATGCAAAAACACACCAAGGAAGGGAAAAAAAAACCAAATGCAGTGTCAACTGTCTGCATACATAAAGAAGCCTTATGAAGCAAGAACATCAGAGATTATTCCTTGAAAATTCAATTTTCAGAATGTTACTCAATACTCAACACTCAAACAGAATTGTACTCTCCACTTTTCTCTGTTTTATCTTGGTGTGTGCATCCAGTGGAAACACCAAAGCTCTTTCACAAACAGCCTTCCTTTCATCGTTTCTTTCCATTAAAGTCTTGACAAAAATGAGTCATGCCTGTTGCTAGAGCAAAAAATAAATCAGGCTGGTCAGAAAGGCAGAGAATCTAACAGGTTAGATTTAGCTTGACTTTGTCTGAATCTCCTCTCACAGTGCCACAGACAAGCAAGACCTCAAAGTATTTAATTTTATTTATATAATTTTATTAGAGAAAAAAAATGTTTATTACATCAAAATAAGCCATTCTTCATTATGTTTAAAAACTAGGCAAAACAGAACAAGCTGGGAGACATGTTATCCAGAAAACTGCAAGATGACAGTAAACAACTGTAAAACAATTMAATTTCTTTTTGGTTTTTACAATCATGAGATCATTTTTCCCCATACATCAAATTCTTCCTTTCAGAAAAACACATGTAGGAAAATAAATACAACAACCAACTTCACTATTAAAGGATCATTTTTTGTGACTGCAGACCATAATTAACAATCCTAGAAGTAAYAGCAGAAAAAAGTTCTCAAACACAAGGGCAATAATTAATAATACAGGCAACCTTCCCTATACCTTGTGAAGAAAAACTATCTGATAAAACTAGTATAGGATACTTGAATTCATACAATTCTCTGCTTGAAACCTTAAGCACCAGATTCAGCAGGAACAAAACTAATTTTACTAGCTCCCTCACTTTTTGGCTTTTTTTAAAGACACACCACTTCTCCTGAGGCTAATTCTGTACTATCCAACACTAACATGGTAGATCACAGAGAGGTAACAACATTTCCAACCAAAGTACAGTTTTAACTGTGTTTTGAATAGTAAAGTATTCATGTTCCAAAACATTTTAAGTTGCACACCTTCTGTATTCTTTTTATAGGAAATAGACAAAGCCAAAATTCAACCTCAAACTCTTCATCTTCACACTACACAGAATATAAGGAAAGTTTAAGACTTTTAYAAAAAATCCTTTATATTCAGTCTTTCGAAAGCCGAGTTAATGCAGTTTTCATATTCCAATATAAAATAAATTGGTAGGAAATAAAATTTGTAGGAACAAAATTATTGATAGGAAATAGGCATTTCACACTTACCTGCATATTCATAGAACCATTCTAAGCATCTCTTACTTGAAAAGACTTCTTCCTCTGCTTTTATTCTAGTTGAATCGTATTTTCTATACATACTTAGAAAAAAAGAAAGAGAAATAAGTAATTAATTCATCAATGTTGTTTAAAAGCAATCTCTTAGTCAACAGCCACTCTTAGCAGAAACATTATTCCTTTTAGTTTACCCAACATTCTGTCCTCATGTCCAGTCATCTGGAACGCTATTAAGAATCACTGAAGCTAAATACTTTGCTCACTCTGCCATACTTCCACTGATTCATAATCATTACCCATGTAAATGCCCTTTCCCGAAAACGAATACAGGTTAGTTCAAATTCAAGCTCAAACTGTCCTAAGTTCACAGTAAGGCCTGTGCCTTACACCACCAGCTATCACAATCAACTCATCAGATGCAATCTGGCTGTGGATCTAAGGCCAGAGTAATTCCACATCACAGTCAATACAGGTTCCACCTCTAGCTGTGCACGTACTTTGGGCACTTTGAATTATTAACTAAAGAGAACTGCAAATACTCTTTTTGCCACCCCAAAAAAATCGTACAAAAGGCATAAAGGCCAAAACAGCCATGACCTACACTTGTATTATTATAAAGCCAGTAAGCTGATAACACGAAAGAACCACAGAGAAAATGTTTTAAGTCCTAATCAATAATAACTCAAGGAACGTCATTCATCATGGAACCACCTGAAAAGCCGGATTCTTCCCCCAGGGATTACCAGCAGGGTAATGCTCTTCTCCTTCGACACAAAGTGTAAAGAATTTAAACTACACTAAAGAAATAAGTTTAGTATCTGAAACACCTATAGTACAGAAGACATGGCAGAAGTTGAAGGGTTACTCCACCCTGGTTAGACTTTCTGAAATAGGGTCAAAATCATTTGTGCTTTCTAGAAGAAAGACTAAGTCCAACTAGCTGTCCACTGCTGCATATGCATTCTTTGATCCATTTCCACCACTCTGCATTAGCCTGAGCTTATAAAGGCTGAAAAAAGCAACAAATATATGGTTTAGTCTAGAGAAGATAGCCAAGAACAGCTCAGTCAAGTGTTCCAAGCATGCACAGCTTCCTCTTACAATGTCAAATCCTGCTGGGGGAGGACAATGAAGCAGCGAACTGGTTCAAGGACGATTTTGAAACAATCTGAATGATGAAAATAATTTGGAGTTAATTTCACCACTGTTTTGTCCTTCTGGAAAGACATGTACAAGACACCTAGATTTATGAGTTTAGAGTACACTGATCCCACCATCCTCCACTCAGCTCAGCTATCAGCTAGGAGGAACTGTAGCTAGAAGCTAATGGCACACAGATCATTCTGACAGGAATTCAAAGAAATATTTCATGTTTACTGTCATAGTTCCTTTAAGGCAGCTAACCTTTAGAAAAGTAATACTAGTCAGAACAAAATGATAAATTACTAATTGGAAGGCAAATACAAATGAGGCTCTTAAGAAAAATTGACACTGCACTGAAACACACTGATCTGCAAAAAACTAGAACACTGCATAGAAATGTCAGCCACACATGTTACAAATACATACTCATATACCCACAATATTAGTTTTGGKKTTTTTTTCATTTTGAAAACACTTTTTTCCTATTTGAATTACCTATTTTGCATAAGCTTTACAGCAGTTGCAAAGGAGAATGCTGACGGCACTGCTCAGTAAGTAAAGAGCTAATCCAGAAGCTCTGAGTTGGAACAATTTAYTTTTTTTTAGTAGGTCTAATAACACTTTCATAATTGCAGAATGAACTGTGATTATGAAAGACCTATCCAGTATTTTTTAAGCTATTCTAAATTCAGAGCAATCAAGACAAAGAAAGGAGGCATTCTGTCACTTGGGCAAAAGTCTTAATTATTCAGTATCGTCTTCTTTGTCACAAACAAACGTGACAAGCAACAAGTAGAATACCAAGTTGGAAACTGTACCAGGAGCTAGTCAACATCTTTATTCTATGCTCTTTATTTAAGAAGCCTGTAAGAGTACCGCTGGGACCAAGGACATGGCAAAGCCAATGTGGTTCACAAAGAAAGATATTTATCACAAGACTCAATGCTTTTTCTTACAAAGGGATGATAACCAATTGTCCTGCCCTGCTTGTTCATGTAACTCATCAACACATTAAGCTGTCAGTATGCCAACAGTGGATTTAAGAAGGAGCCCTCAAGAAACAGATTTATTGACAGAGTTATAAGTCATCTGGTATTTCAGGAAAAAACTGGTTTCAGGAAAAAACTGGTTTCCTGCATCTACAAATGGCAGAGCTAAATACTGCAGCCTGGAACAAGACATCAGTGACAGCAGTATGTGTAACAGGAATGGCAAGCAAGAACAGAAAAAAACGGCCCTCAGGTCCATGTGCCCAACATACAGCCAAGTAACTCCAACAAAAATGCTCTAGCCTCAAACTTAGGATTGKTCAAAAAGCTCCATATCTCACTACTGGAGTTTGATATTTGAGAAACCAGAACTGATTACACAAGATATTCCAGCTTGTGCCAGTTCATAAGTTCAGAAAATAAAGTCAGAAGGGATATAATCTTGAGCTATCCCCCTCTCTGCTACAAGCTAAGTAGTCACACATTCTTTAACAGTGCAGGTGAAACTGTATCGTATTTATAATGAAAAGAGACTATGCACAGCCASAACTATAAAATCATGCAACAAAAACAGCTGATGAATCTCAGATATCTTGGATGCCTCAAGCTAAAGAACTAATAGCAGATTATCTATTCTGMAAGACAAGATCACTTTAAAAAAGTATGACAAAAATGAGTAACACTAACACCAACCCAGAATTAGTGATCTCTATGTACAAAGATGAACCYTTTTTTCTCTCTGCCTACTCCAACTATTAAACGAGTTTCTCACTCTAGTCTAGCCAAATCAGCTATTTCTACTAGCAAGAGACTCCTGATCTCTGAAGTGCCTACTGAAGCAAGATGAGCAGAGAGATGCAAACAAGTAAGCAGACAAGTATCTAAGTTYACTCAGCCTAGGACAACTTGGTTCAATCTGGCAGCAAAGAGTGAAGGTGTTTTTAAGGACTACATCCACTGAACTATCATTAACATGGATTTGATTATCTAAAGAACCATATTTACAGAGGAGAAAAACACAAACTGCCAGAACATCTGGCATCTATTTTGTATTTTGCAATACTCCTCATCTCTTTGGAATTTCTCAGTACATACTGCAAGCTGATGGAACTTGTCTTTGTTCTAATGACAGCATCTCTCGCTATGCAGAAAAATACAGACTGCTAAAGTGCACAGGTATCTTAATACTTTGGGAGTACCAAACATCCACTGAACAATTGTAAGGTTCAAACAACAAGTCCTCAATAGCTCACAGCTTCCTCAATATGACCAGCACCAGTACTTTCCAATAGATGCACAGCCATTATGCCAACTAAGTTCTGCTTGGTAATTTGCTTCTGTATGAGGAAACTGCAGCGTCAGTCACAMCCCAGAGGAGAAAGAACACACTGCTCCAAAACAAAAAAAAAAAACAAAAAAAAAAAAAAGGGGGGGCAGACCAAGCCGCAGGGAAAAAGTAAAAAACTCAGAAAGATGCCTTCCATAAAGGAAGGACGAATGAATATACCCGGTACTTTTGGTACCAGAATTTGTACCACAGTCAAAGAATGCTTACACTGAAACAGGGYTGCTAATGGGCATTTTCTCCATCATCAGTCAGAAAGGTGCATGCACAATTTTTCCCACGGTGTCTGCTATACCTGTCACTACCAGACAATACCAAAATCAGAAACTTTGCTTTTAGAATTACTCTTCTGAACCATGGCATGATAYGCATAAGGAACAGCAAGAAAAAAAGAATATTTCCTATATTACCTATATGCAAGAAGTATGTATTTGCCTCTCAGATGAAATCCATATAACTCAGAAAAATCTTCGCTTGGAAAGTAGTATTTTTTRTTAGTTTAGGATGACACTCTTTTAGGACAGTGACAGTAATACAGAAGTTATTGATAACAAATATCCCCATAAGGAGTATTAAGGTTTTTTATTATCTCTTTCTAACAGCCATTTTGTCAGCTAGAGAGAGGAAACAATGKGGGACAGGGCAGGGCAAAAGCAACATGAGGTAACCTATCTAAATTTTGTAAAAGTGACATCAATTACTTAAGCCMATCTAAATGAAGTAATTTTCTCAGAAATGCTGGCACCTGCATCATGACCTAATAGCTGACTCATAACATCCATGTTTAAACCTGCATTTGAAAGACTCATGTGAGCTAGGGAATTATAACATACCTGCAATAAAGGTAAGACAGTCTGGAAGTGAAAGTGCTATAGGCCAACATCCACAAAAAAAAAATTAAACTGAGTGTCTAAGCATTTCATGCTTCTTTGTCATTCATATCTTTTCCAGATTACTTTTTTCCCCTTTGTAACTAATTTGGTGGGAAAGGAACAGCATGAAAATTCATCCAGCTATTATGGGGTGACAAGGCAAGTCATTATAAGAGTCGATGGTTGCTGTCAGCAAAAGAACAAGGTAAGGGAAATTCTCTTCAACCCACTGCAGTCTTCAAAGCTGGGTTAGCTACTGCTCTGAGCATGTTTCACCTGTACCGGAGTTGGTTAAAGTTCCACCCACAGCCCCTCCCACTGCAGCAACTCTCGGTTGTGTAGTTCCAGAACACTCAAGAGATCTGTGAAAACATGGAGCTTAGGTCACACAAAACAATCTCTCAATGGTGGAAACTAGTAATAACTCATTGAGGAGGAAAAGAAAAAAGGAAGTAAAAAAAAAAAGATATATTTTATTATAATAAGTCAAAAGTTAACCTCTAGTGAAGATTTGCAGCCTGGTTATTTCAGATGATCAGTGCTTACTGAACGAAGACACCAAGAAACTCACAAGAGAAGCTTTATTTCTAAGCAACCAGAACTTACTCAAAACCTTGACTAGATTTTGCTTTAGCTTCCAACTGAGTAACTAAATGCTTTCAGATTGTTTCTATTTTGAAATATGCAAACTTTTAATTGAAGAAGGTGCCACATACTACTTCCATTAATTCTAATTAATTTAAAATTTTGGCTGTGAATTTTTATCAATGTAGTACAATGAAAATATTTTAAGAAAGCCTTATCTATTCATTCAATTATGATTCTAGCAATAGTTTCATAAAAACTGTAGTAAAAGCAGAAGGGTAGAAGAAGAGATGTTCTGCAATTTGCAAAACATGACAAAAAAACCATTTAAAGCACCCTTCAGGACTACCTTACTTGACTGTTACGTTTTATGGATGAATATGCCCTATCTCTTCCTGTTTAAAGACCTAGAATCATATGCAAACTGTTAAATGTTTGGAACTTCATCCAGCTTACTTGATGAGAAGTATGCGTAACGACACACATGCTGTTAGCCACATGCTCAGTTTAATTGAAGCTCACTGAAAAGCTACAGAAAAAGGAAAAATCATACTTGTGTGTACTTGAAAATCCCTACTTCAAGGAAAAAGACATTTATGACAGCTGGGAACACAGGTGGTCTGCRTGGGGCAAGACCAAACTAGTTAGCAAACAACAAAACAAAACCCAAACTAACATTCAACACTGAAGTTTTTGAAAAYTTTGAAGGTTAGCATACCCCATGTTAATGACACTGTGCTTTCAAAAATTACATTTGTCCACTACAGAGTGTGGAGTGGACAAATAATAGAGAAAATCTATTTTTCATTTTAGTGGGCCCTTATGTGGTTCCTACACACATAGGAGTATATTGATTGAAAACATTTTCTGTTTGAAAACAAATTTCAGGGAGGCAGATAAATATTCCTAGTTTTCATYCTCCTAATGTGACAATATCCAATAYWGCAAGATTTTTGTGCGATTCCAGAATAAGAAGTAGAACTGTTTAAATGAGACTGTCAAAAAAACAAGACATTATATTATATAGCTCGTTCTTCCCTAAGGAAAAAGAGTAATATTTGACTAGACAATGTGTAACAGATACACAGCAGTAGACAATAACACAGTGCAGACTATATTTGTACTCATCAAGTATCTTTACATGAATCCTGCTTTACCTTTCTGAATATGCTTAACAGTATCAGAAGAGCAATGTAGAGAAAATGTAATTTTAATTCCAAATTGAGAATACTCTATACTGTAACAGTTTTAAGTACAATAAAGTTAAGGCTGTGATACTATATGAATGAAAACACAAAACAAGTCTTCAAGTCATTATGGTCAGGCTAGCACATGCTAAACTGTTCACTTCCAACAGTTATGCTTTAAGGCAAGATAAATCTTAATGTGATCTATAAATTAAAGCAGAGTTCTTTCTATTACACATAGGCTGGTAAAAAAATTCCCTCCCACTGAAGCACTGCATTCATGCGTGGTTCAACGTGATGCTATGAACATTAATTAAGAGAATTTAAGCTCTTATTATATAAAGATGTAAGGAACATGTTTGGAATCTTCCATGATCAGTCTATACACTAGATCAGCATTTCTAAATAGCTTCACAAAAACTAAATTTGTTCCTATAAATGTTTTTGTTCAATTGCCTGTGTTACTATTTCATTAATGCTTCCAAGATGAGGCTGTATTCCTAACAGGCTGGATTTAAGGGTGTAAGATATGTTTAAGTTTATGACTTTTAGAGTCTTTAGGAACTATCTTCTTTTTCAGCATTGAGATCTGCCGAAAGAAACTTTCTGGAAAGAATGCATATCTAAAAATATCACTATCAGATTTGAAGAGATTATAGGAATTAATTTAAAATAGTGAGGACTGAAAATATCATCTAATAAAACACTCCAGGTAAGGATAAAAAAAAAAATACATGGACAAACCAGGAGAAATTATCAACACTCAGTCTCAGCTGTGGTAATACCATTAATGATGACATCCTTTGAAAATCTTCGGACTACTACCTACCTAGTATTTTCACACTGAGAACAAAGAGGAGACTTGCAATTACTCAATTTTTGATGTTGACCCTGTAAGTATGCCACTCTAACTGAGAAACATACAAAAATTTATAACATTCAACTAAGTATTTGAGGTGACAAAGATGACAAATCACCTCTGTTACAAAACAGAGTCTCTTCCGGAGGACAAAGAGTAGTCTTCCAGACACTGACYGCCTTTCTTCACTTAATGCAGAATCCACACTGACTAATGACCATTGAAAGCTTATCCTGAATTACTAGAATGCAACTTCTGTGAAGTCTGTTTCTAAAACAGAAGCAATGGGTAAAAGACTGGGCCTAGGAGTCCCTTATTCCAAACTTCAATTCCATTATCCACTATTTTTACTGTATATAGCATTCTCTGCATACAACATAAGCAGAACCAGCTTTGCAAATATCTAGGTCTGCTACAACAGACTGCTGTAGAGCTTCCTGATTTCAGACAAGACTTCTGCTTGACTGAGATGTATAATCTAAAAACCAAACTCAACAGGTATGAACTTCAACAAAACAAGAATGGAAGTCTAACCTGTTCACAGAAGGACACAGGGGCAAAAATCCATCCTAGAAAGAAAATAGAGCTTCAAGACCAAGCTGAATGTCCAGCAATTAATTTCATACTGCCATTCATGCTGAATTATAAAAAATGGTTTTCTTGATGGCCAAAACAAAAGAAACACTCTGGGACGCAGAGAAAGCCCAAAAACCTTTAGAGGAAGGAAGTAAAATAAAACTGGAACCACATCAGAGGATATTACCCCATGGTTCATGACTAGCAGATCTGGTTTCTCCTCCAATTCTAAAAGCAGGCTGAGGTCTTCCTTTTAAAGACTTACAAGGCTGTAAAATGAAGACTAGTTCCATTAGTTACAAACTGAGAGGCAGATATAAAAAAAATCCTTCAAATTATGTTTTCAACAAGCTCTTAAAGACTATTAAATATTTAGTACTGATAGAGCAAAAAAGTCAGGTTTTTGTAATTTTCTTATGCAATTACAYAAATCAGTATTTCTTACTTAGAGACAAGCTTACTATTTAGGGGGTTGCTTTTTTCTATGAGTATCTTGGCTAAGGTAGGTAGAGTTCAGTTTTGCAAACCTCTATATTCTAGAAATATTMTATCCTCGCATTGCTTCCATATTGTATGCTTATCTTTGAATAAACTGTAATGTCCTCTATCAACTGTTTAGCTTTTATACTTCATTATTTTTGAAAAGCAACAACAAAATTATAAACATGAAGTACTTTTTTAGTTAGTGTTACAAAGCAATGAAAGGGAGAATTGAAGTGTCTTTCTTCTGCATCAACAGATCATTTAACACATTCCAGTGCAGTTACAGTTGTGGAACCCAATTAAAACACAATGGAGTTACAGGGGCATAACCAGAGGCTTAATTTGTCTACCAACATTTTTCTTACTCTGGCTAAAGTATAAAAAAGAGAGTACCAAGCCTGATTTCAGGCTAACAGTTGGGAGGAAAATGCATCTTTTAACCTCCCTAAAGGTACTTGTCATGGAAGAGAGACATCAGTAACACATGAAAGTAATAAAGCTCAAATTCCACCAAGTGATGCAGTGGCAAGCAAACTTTCTAATTGCATAAGCCACTTTTCAACACTAGAACAATCCTGCACCTACCATCTGTACTCCCTCAAGTTCTGAATACAGTCCACACAAATAATGATTCTTGCACACAAGGAGCACATTCAATGGTTTCTGAATGACTCATTGAACATACTACACATAYTGGAAATGCACCACTTGCAGAGGGCTCAGCTATCCAACACTTATGACAAAAGAATACCCTGCTCATGCACAYAGCCACAACCTACTTGGCTTCTATTGTTCAGTGAGGAGCTGTGCATCACCACCTGAATAACCACTGAACCACTGGCTATCACCTTACCTGGGCAATTTCCCCTTACATGATCAGTATCAAATCACAACATAACAGGGAGAGACTAGCACRATTTCAAGAGCTGAGCGGACTATAACTACATTCATTTTTTTTGACAGGCTGGATACTGTTAATGCCCAATCCAGATCTTATGCATGCATATGGGAAGATATTACTGTATCTCTCAAAAGTTGTTTTTGAACCAACAAGKATGTATTTTGACATCTGGCAACTAGAGCAAGGAGAAGGTCCCTACATGGTTCTTGTACAACTAGAAAAGGTGAGATGCAAACTGAACCTGTGTGTACTTACAATATCCCACAGTTTAATCACCAGCTATGGTTCCACATAGAGAAACCAAGCAAATTTCAACATAATTTCCATTAGTATTTAAACACATGATACATCAGCTACCCAACTTTAGATATTCCATCAGTCTTAGCTCATGGTAAGATGACATACCCATCATGTCTACTTTTCTTAGCAGATAAATCATCTCCTGCTGCAGGTCTCCTCTTTTTCCTTGGAGGCATCACTTTACTAAAGCAGTCTGATGAACTGCAAGACCGAAGACTTCCTACAGAGGGAATTAAAAACACCAGTACAAAGAAATGAAACTGTTGCAGACCAGTTAAACTGCATCCTCTAATAGGCATATTACAAGGGGAAGGAAAGGGAAGGAAGTTAGTGGATTTTAAAATTACAAAAGACAAGGTCTCCTTTCAATAGCAAAATCCATCTCACTTTTACATGGTATTCTATGATCAGATTGCCATTAAGGTCAAAAATACTATACCAAAATGTACAGTAGCACTACTATTACTTCAGTCTAACAGCAGTCAAGAACTAAAACGATACTGAAGAAGTTTTTAAGTCCTCAAAAAGTCATCATTATCTTCAGTAATTTATTCAAATCAGAACTTCTCAGACTTGATCTTTGTTTTTTTAAATACAGATGTGACTCAATAAGTACAGCACCTACCTCTAAAAAACAGAACCCTTTCTTTTCAAGCCCCAAGCTTTTTGTGGCTTGAAGCAAAGAGAGAGCAAGAGGTAGGAAAGGCTTTGTTTGCTCTTTGGTGAGAGGTTTTCAGGTTTTTCTGGGAGGTTTTTTTTTTTTTGTTTTGCAGGGACAGGAAGAGACATTTAGCAACCACCAGGGAAAAAATAAGTGGCTGACTATATTATTTGGACTGAATCGTTCTCAAAGAATGAGGGTCCCCAAGCAGGAACCAGCCAATTCAAGACACTGATGTCAACCAAATGGCAGTCTTTCCATCCCCTTCTCTCAGCTACATACTCCTATGTCTTTGGTAACTCTTCAGTGTGCCAATCCAGCTCACCAAACCTGTAGATCATTAACCAAACAAAAAAAGAATAACAACTTGCTGTACATTAGCACAAGAAAGAGCACAGGACCAGCCCTTTTGACCACAGCAAGTCATTAAATTGCTTTTGCTGTCTCATGAAAACAGYAGGCTAGCACTCCAGGCAAAATTCTGTCCTACTTTCATATGCTGAAGACCACAAAGACACCTGAGAAAGGTGYGTATAAGAGCGGCTCCAAGAGCTATCAAAGCTCTAAGTGTTATACACAGAATTTTAAAAGGAAAGAAAGAGAGAAGTGAGATATAAAAATCCAGACACAAAGCGATGCCAAAGAAATTTGCAAGAAAATATTAAGAACTCCAGCATTCCTTCGCTACCTTCTCTTTGCTACAACAGCATCCACRTTTAGCTAAGCTCAGTTAAGATGCCCACAAAATCTTCTCTTACATCACAGCACAGAAGCAAGCAATAAAATTTTGACTACTTTTTGACACCAAGGGAACAGACTGGAATCAGAGGCCCAATTCACAACAAACACTAACAGCAATCTTTTGCTTACCTATTCTTCGAATCTTTGAAAGGCTCTCTCCTGTTATAGGAGAAACACATGTAAGGAACCTTACAGCCTCACAGGCTTTGCTACATGTATGTTATTTCAAACATGCACGGAAACTTATTCACAAGAAAGTACAGATTTTTCTAGTATTATGTGAGATGTTCAATTTTTACGTARAGATCAACTAATCAGGTTTCAACTAATAAAGCTTTTGCACTAAATATGCCTTCTTTCATCTTATTTTTTATATTCATTTCTATTGAGAAGAAAATTAATCTCTCCAGCTCAAGAAATCCTTTCCAATTCAAAAATTCTTTCTATATATTCCTTTTTTTACTTTAACCCTAAAGCTCCCTCCCCAGCATTCTCCCAGGAAAGTATGGCCATATACTATCTCTTTGAAAGAGAACTAAGAGCACTGTAAATTCAAATTACAATTTAACTAGTCATCAAAAAAATATGCAATAAACTATTACCACATGAAAATATCATAATGGCTGTGTCAGAAAAACATACTTTTAGAAGTGCTAAAATGCAGACCAGAATGCATTACATTCAGAAGTACCAGAATGCATTACAGAAGGAAATCAACAACAATAATATTTCTTTTCTTCTCACCAATAGCAGATATATTTGAAACAGATAAGCCAGAGACCATAACACACTCACAGTACATCCAATGCATTTTACTACAAATTAAACAAACTAAGGAACCTGAYCCATTGAATGTCATTTGTTCCATCTGATTATGCCTGCATATTAATGATACTGAAAAACTGTATTCTCATAAGTTATTGGGCCTATGATATCTTATCGCTTTTTAGATCAAACTTCTGAAGACTCTACCTGTAAGCGTTTTTGAAAGCCTATACACAGACTAAAAACACTTAAGATGACAACAACTTAAAAGACAGCTTGAAAAAGCCAACGGACTTAAGACATACACTGAACTTAATAAATGAAAACACGTGAGGCTGTGTGTTGTGACAGTCAACACCTTATTTTGGAAAGCATTTATATATTAGAGTACAACCTGTAGCTACCTCATTCCTTTGAGAGCAAATGGATTGGTTTTAAGTGCCTTTTATTTAAAAAGTAAAAATCCCTTTGTGATGGCCACATGCACTGGATGCTGGTAAAATGCAAGGAGCAACACCACCACCCCCCAAGTTTGTGCAGTTTACTGGTCATTTGATTGTGAAAAGAAATATGCAAGGCCTCTGTGAAAAGAAAAGCATAGCAAAAAAAAATAAAATAAATAAAAGTTATAGAACAGAGGAATCATTTTGTCAGACCTGCAACCCCATACAAACCAGAGAACTGAACTCAAGAATTCCTGATTGGATTCTGCCTCCTTAAATGATAGGATATTTTTAAGAAGACTGGTGAACTTGTTTTAAAGGTTTTAACTCAAAAAAGTTAAAGATAACAGAATTCACTACAACCCAATTTCTCCAATGACTCCTATGAAAATCTTGTACCCTTTCTTGGTTTGAATGTATCTAGTTGCAGCTCTCAAACTGACAGAAAAGGGAAGAAAAGAGACAGAAATTGCTAAGTAGCTACTAAATGCACACACGCTCTGCCCTCACGCACTGATGGAACACAGACACCAGATGGACAAACATACTGTACATGCTTTCAGAGATAATATCTTTAAAAATGAGATGTGGACCAAGTCTTCATTAGGCTTTAGCTGTTGAAAAATCCCTAAACTACTTAAAAACACAGTGCAAGAATTTTACTTTCCAAGTATTTCCTTTTGATACTAAAATAGGTGTATTAAATTTGAGGGGCAGTTATAATTTCTCTGTAATAAACTCTGAAACTGAAACCAGCAGAATATTTCTATCTTTCATTTTCATATAAAGCAAAAGATTACCAGTTTGGGTTTTTTCAATTTGAACACTTGCAATTTCTTAATTTACAGTATGGCTCACTAAGTAGCAGCAATATTAACCTTTCCTTCACAGAGCTTTCTAATTCTAAATGTCATTTCTAGGTTCTAGAACTGCACACCTAATTTCACTTTCCAAAGGTCTGACCATCTGCAAACAAACATGCAGCTACCTCTGACTACCTGCAAAGTTTGACAGAATTTTACTTACCAAGTGCAGCTCCRCTGATGTGATTATCTTCAAAGTTTCTCACTCCTGGGTCTCAACTCAAGACTGGCAGAACCCTCCTAGTTCTCACTGGTTTTTTTTGACACTTGAAGCTAGCATTTGCAAGGCAGAGCCTCCAAATGGCTGCTGAATAGGCCACCACCAGCCAAAAGCCTGCCAAGTTTAAATGCTGTTTGCCAAACATCMTATTCAGTACTTSCAAATTTCCAGGAAAAAAAGCTTCCAAAGGAAAGTATCAACTCAAGAGCTAAAACTCACCCTAGGAAATTTAAAACAATATACAAAATAAAACCCACAAGGGAGGGACAGTCCTAGAATAACAACAAACCCAGAATAAACAAATTTCAATAACAAAGAACTCAACTGTGCTCCTTACCGGAATGGTTTACAGGCATATAATTTTCACCTTCACTCTAGATAAAGCCTGTGAGTAATCTTGCTCTTCTGATGCTTCAGTAGAAGGATACTTCAAAGGAAATATAATTAAAAACTGCGAATGCTGAAGCAATTGGGAAGATATAGCTGCTCACTCAATAATGCAACAAGACCATCACAAGCACAGTTAACAATCATCGATTTTCAAACACGAGAGGAGAARACTAAGATACTCATCAAAACATTAAACAACTTGCAGTCCTGTTGTAAAAGGAAAAATCATCTTCTCTTTCTTTATTCCACCCTACAAAATGGCATTGGACTCAAGAGGGGTTTCTTCTCTAATACAACAAAAGAGAAAAGCAGTAGAGGGAAAAAAGCAATTTCTCCCCCTCCAGAGCTTCAACAACAGCAATGAAGCCTTGCTTTTCTTGAAGACATTACCTCACTGTTTTGAAAAAGCCAGGTGACAACAGGAAGAATACTTTTAAAGACTTTTTAATCTGGATAAGAAAGCCACAATTTAATTATCAAATCATGACTTGAAGCTATTAACAAGCTGCTAGATTTGTAGTTATGACATAACAACTATTATTTCAAATGTGGGTTTCCAAGTTAATGCATATACATACCAAAAGAAAAAGAAATTGTTTACAGAATCTGAATGCCTGCTGTCCTTACATCTACGAACAGGTGAAAAGGCAAAGGCCCTGACACATTTCAAGCCTATGTTATTTTTCAGACAGATATGCATACTGCATAACAGCACATGAGACTGACATCATTGTAGTTGACTGGAATTTTGAAACAAGATCCATCTTAGCTCTCAAATCACTAAAGGGATTTTGAAACTGCCACTTCCCTGTGTGGGAACTTTTGATGTTTTAAGGCCTCATTCTAGAAAGGAAATCTGGCTAATACTTAGAGAAGATACAATTTGTTTGAAATAATTTAGATGCCCAATACATTTATTGTCAGCTTAGAAACAACTGCTTTGAAGTAAGTGTAATATGATTGAAAAGTTAATATTATTATTAATAAATATTAACCTAAAACTAAGGTTTATTTTAATAGCTTTTAGAAATCTCAACCAAATTTAGATATGCATTCATTRTGTCATCCCAATGACAATAACCATGGTAATTATGTAAGAAAATGAAGAGCAATCTCTAAGAATACGGCCTGAGCCAGAAGATTTAGTGTTAAAATAATCTCAAAACTCTAAAAAACCCTTTAGATGGGTTTGGCAACACTCAAACCTTTTGCAACACTTCTTAATTTGACTTTCAAATGAAGTCTAGACACAGAATCTCAAATTCACAGCACCTATGCAGTTCTATAAATTGCATAACAAAATTAACAGGTCTTGACAACTTCTTACTGGGGAACAGAAGTCCCAAAGGTTTAGGCACATTGAAATCAAACAATTTGCAAAAATAATTCTTTATAGATTTACGTAAATCCAAGTAAAATGTTTCAGAAGTGTCAAGTCCCATGCAAAACAGAACCAGGAGACCTCACTGTACTACACTCACAATGGCCAAAGAGCTCCTTCCATGCGCTTGTGCTCATATGAGTCAAATCAAGCATACATTTCAACTGAACATGCCTGGAACCTATGCAAACATTTGGGCTCTTTCTACCAGGAGACATAAAATATGGCAGAAGCATAAGAAATTGTAGAAATAAAATCTGAAGAAGAGGAGGGAACCTGGCATTATCAATGTCATCTTTTGGTTCTCATTTCATATTTCTTTCTGGTTTGAAAGAACAACTTTTACAACTATTGCAAAAAATTATACTCTTTAGTGGGATTTTGTGGCCCAACTCGTTCAAYAGGCACCTTTAAACTTTTGAAACTGCTTTATTCAAACAATACAATGCAGCCAATAGGATACCATCAGTGTCAGTATGAAACTGTTCAAAGCCAGTTATGTGCTCAAACTTCTTCTAATAGAGGTAATGAGAGTATCAAGGCTAATGTCTTATACTTCATGACAGAAGTGCTAGGCAAGAGATAAGACAAATTSCAAATACCTCAACTACATCAGCACTTACTGATTAGTGACAGAAGGGGACTATCTCAATGCTTCACAAGGTCTTGGTGATCAAAAGTAAGCAAATATTATAGAACACATTTTCACACATGAAATTAGTATGTAGCTGTCTAGTTTAGAGCACCTGGATCACATAGGAGACAATTCCAAGTCTCCACCATGAGATGGGAGAGGACATCAGTTTTAAAATGTGAACATTAAAATCTCTTAACTGTCTTGAACTACCTGTCACAACCTCTTTTGCAGAGGCTTTTCATTTACATGATCAGCTAATTTCAACAATCAAATCACTAACCACACTGAATGAAAGTATTTCAGAGAAGCCTTCTGTGGCTAGGGTAAGAGTTCAAGTATGGAGCAAAGTCACCTGATACTGTACAGAGGAGGATAGATAATCCCTAAATGAGCTCTGTCCAATCTCAAGCAATGCAGTCCTGWGCATCTCTTCTCACTGCTCTAGGCAAAGAGTGTGCTGGATTTCTAAGTGTGTGCACACAAAGCTCCAGGAGGAGCTGACAGCGCTCTCCACTTTCTTAAATGCTCACAGTGGCATCAGCAAATATAGCCATCACCTCAGGATAGTGAAAAAGCTCTTAGTCAGCTGGTAGGACAGATATGGTCAGTTCTAAAGAGCAGCTCTGCTGAGTGAGTGATCAGGGCTTGAAGCCAGTAAGTTATTTCCCTCCCTCCTCAGGTATTATGCCTGGAATACAGAAAGGAAGGAAGAAAGAAATCAAGGGAAGTGCCAGCTTAGAACTAAAAAGTGAGAAAGGAGGGAACAAYTCTTGCAAAACATCAAGTCACAAAGCTCAAATGCTGACAAGTCAAGAATGACAGGAAGCTGCTACCAGGCACCTGAGATGAAGGCCTTGAAAAATGATGACATTCCATTGAACAAAAGAGATATGAGCTAATAGATACTCCTCAGACACTGACTGAAAATTTGCACAAGAAACAGGAAGAACCTGCATCAAAACCACTCGAGAAAAAAGCTAGTTCTTCGGAGCACAGCATTTATACTTGGTCACAAGCACTACAACAGGCAGAAGAGGACYTGCTTTTTCTCTGCTCTCACTAATACTCTTTCAAGAGTCTAAACAMTGTAAGAACATGGATATTCTGGCCCAATGGGTTGAGTCCCAGGAGTGAGAGAAATTTYTCATTAAGTCTTCTAGGCTAAGAAGTAGTAAAATTACAGATACTGCTGAAACCTGCTCAAATCCTTCATAATTGGATAAACTAAAACATCTATAAAAAAAAAAAAAAAAAACTAAGAAAGCCTGGCACTCGTTTCCTAAAATTACTTTAGCCTTCTAACACGTCATTTTCAGTTATGTTAGAGAGACTTCCTTGATAAGGTGTTTAAATTATTTCAATCTATTTTTACTCCATCCCTATTAAATACCTGTCTGGTGATCGTCTTGACCAACGTCCTCTGTCAGATTCTGCAAGAGAACAGGAATAATACAGTTAAACAAGATGGTGATCTTCATTCTTCTGTACTCTTTTTAGCTTTTACTTGATATTCATCTTAATTACTTAAGGATCATCTAACTAAGACTGTAGTTTTTGTCTTTTCAGCTCATRTTTACCTAAAAAATTACCCTTCCAAACTTATCTATAAAGTTCAAGTAAACTGAATTTGAAAAATATTTTTGAGTTTTTTAATCAAAAACTTATCAAATTATTTCAAAAGTGGAAATAACTCCCCATTAGACGGGGAAATGGCATTATTGTATTGACCAAGTCCACCAATAAATGCAGCATCAGAAAGACTGAATTTACCATTAAGCACAGAAATGGCTATGTTTAAGGATAAACACACACATGTGTTCTAAAGAAAACTGATTAAAAACCAACTGTGATCTTGGAAACTAGTTAACACCTTCTGCAGGCAGGGTCTTTTCCACTAAATTTGCAGTGTACACACGGAAGCCATATCACTGCTTCCAGCAAAGGTTGCAATAAAACAAATGTAAATACACAACGAATAAGCAAAAAGAGTCTTTAAAAAGAGTCTTTTAAACCCTTGTTTCACTTTTTGCATGGATGTAAGAGGATAGCTTGCTCATTCAATATGTTTTGCACAAGAACTGTAGGAAACTGGATAACTGTGATGATTGCCATCATTTGATGTGTCTAAGAAAGCTTCTCGTATGAAGGCAACATCTAAATCCAACATTCAAAGAAAGCTCAAACTCCACTGTGACCTCTGGAGTATAATCTTTCACTTTTTACTAATACTGCTTATCTCTTAACCAATAMAAACCCAACAGCCTTTCATACAACAAGGCAGTTATAATTTTTAGAACTGTAATCACTTAATAATTTTAATCATGAAATATTCTGGACCAAAGCCCTAGCTATTCTAACAGAAAATGGCAAGTCATTACCAGCCTATTGAGGGTGTGGTAAATCTTGTGAATATTTGCCAGTGTTGATAGATGAGAATTCAGTTGAAAATCTAGAGGGGAGAAAAAAAAAACGGTTTTAAACTTCAGGTTTCCAGATGCAGCAGTCAAAATCATCTTATGTTCTTGGTTATTTAATAAAATCATCAYGAAGTTGTAAAATAAAAGTCATCAACACTTTTTCAGCACTCACATTTTCAACACTGAGTAGAAGAATTGAAATCTTAAGAAAGATAACACACATATACATTTTTCTTAAGGAAGAGATGACCCTCAGCAGAACTACAGCTAACTATAGAAGAATGGAAAAAAAAATTTTACTTTTTTTTTCCTTTACACTGGGAATCATTATAACTTCCATGTCACCCAGTCCTTCTGCTCCATCTACTCCAAAACCATGTTAAGTACCATGCAACATTCTAAAATCATTACCAAAAATCCTGGTTTTAAAAAAAGCTAATTTTATTAATACACATGTGCTTGCCTTTAAACTAATTTCCTTGCAAAACTAAGTGACTAGAATACACTTACACAGTTGAGACATGGCTTTTTAAAACAAACCAAAGGTCACAAATGAGGTAGCTGTTAAGATGAGAGCCAATAAAACTGATAATAAAATATTCTGACACTTCTTGGAAGAATCCATAGCACAGATGCTAACTGTGCTTCCATGCTCCAAATAGAAAACACTTGAGTTTGTTTCAGTCATTAAAGAGCAACAAAATTTTTCTCTAGGAATTCCCTATTTTTGCAAGGAATATGTCAAGGACAAAACTGGAAAATAAGTAATTTATGAAAGATCAGCAGAGATACAGTCAGCAGGCAAACCAAGAAGAATCTCAGAAGCTGGACACAAACCAGCTAAAGGGGATTAAAGACAGCCAACTACTATAGAGTGTTTCCATTTAAACGAAAAATAAATTAGCTACCCCATTAGAAGTCATGTGCCAAAACACTCTAAAGCAATGTACTGTATGACAAGCAAAGTATTTCAAGCAAACTGCTTCTGTATGTGAAGAGCTCAATGTGCCTAGTGTCACCACCCAGATAATGAACTAAAGCATTTCTAATATGAGACATTTCATTTGCTTTTCCCAGTAGCTGATTCAAGATGCAACTAAGGTCAAAAACATAATTCCCTTATTTCCATCCAGAGCATTTCAAAGGAATGCTCTCAAGATACATTTAAGATGACCTAGATAAACAAGAGACATCATTAAACATCCAACTGCCAAGTCAGTGAACCACACTGCTATGAAGTTAAGTGRAACTGAAGAAACTGCCTGCTCTAAGTATACTTGTTACACACATCACTATGGACTTCTCTTGTCACAGCGAATTTTAAAAAGAAATCAAAAGATACTTTTAGCAATCATACATTTCAYCCGTTATGTTAGCTAGAGCATCATTTAATTGCTGCCTATTTTTTAACACATTGTCCCCAATCCACCACCACAGCAACACACCTGCTCCAAGGCAGAAGTACCAGAGATGGAATTTCCAGCTTTRGCCAACCTTACCTATATGAAGTCAAACACAATCCAGATCTTCTTACCAAGCCACAACAGGAAGGTCTTGAACCTTGAACAGGGTGCTAGAATTTTTCCTACATTAAGTGCTCATAAAGTTCCATTTTTGCTAGTCAAACAACACTAAGCAGAACCATTCTGCAAAAAGAAAATAATCCTGAGTTTCTTAGTCAACCCTCAATTGAATATAAAGCAATGACAAAAAACAAAAGGAGAGGGGGCAAATAGGGACGAGGACAAGAGGGAACACAGAAGCCATTCTGAGGCAGGCAAGATTAACTGGCAGATCAGACTAAGCTTCCTGGAATATGAATTTTACAGTTTCCCTTGCTGCTTAGCCTAAAATCTATGAAGAACATGAGTTGTTYGAGAAACCAGTTATATCTGAAGGTAACAAGCTGACAACACCAAGCAAATACTATATTTATTTATTTATTCTAATCTAATATTAATTATGGCAAGTACTCTTGAAAGTGGTTGAAAAAATATTCTAAAATTAGGATTATATATATTAGGCATCATCTTTGAAACAAAGCATTCCTAGGCTCTTCAAAACATACAGTTTCATGCCAGTATGTTATACATGTCTACTGGAAATATCCGTACCATTTTAAGCTGCTGCTTCAGAAATAGGTTACATAATTACCATGGACTTAGCAGGGTTATACAAACATATTTTCCAATTCTCATACAAGAAACATCACACCATTCACCATACGAATATAGAGGACCCCAATTCAAAATTTTCTTTCTTTCACAGAAGATAGTGAAGTGTAGGGATATTATATAAAACTGAAAACAGGTTTCTTTTAGAGTTATAAAAGCAAATGCAAGCAGCACCCATTAAAAYAGGGAATCACAGCTCAGGTGGTAAGTGTTTGCTTTATCTGTATTTCAGGAAAGATACACAAAGTATCCTATGCCACTGTGAAAAGCCTATTTTGAAAAAAAATGGTTTTTAAGAAACAAAATCCAAAAACTAACACCTCCATGCTCAAATAGCACTATCTGGGAAATTAGGAAGAGACAACGACCAGCAATGTTCAAGATGGCATGCAAAGCAAAGTGATTGGCACAGCAAGCTGCAACTGTATTCTTCAGGAACACGCTCTCTCCCCTCCACCTCCTGAACTTCCGCACATGCTTACACAGCCTCCAAGTCATCCCTTTGGTCAGCCCACTACACTTGGAATCTTAGCCACAAAATAAATAAACCCTGCCAGCYCAATGCTCTGAATCAGATCACCAATGAGCTGCAACATCAGCTATGCTAAAGTAAGAAACAGGAAAGGTCTTCTGAAGTGGGAGCAGAACAACTCTTGTGGCAGCAGCAGTGTCCATCCAAGCCCCACTACAAGAGGAGCAATACATGAAGCTACTCACTCAACAGCTGGTATGAGCKACACATGAAGAATGCCATCATGTGTGAAGCTATTTTTCACCTGAATATAAGAGTTTCAAAGCACATTAATTAGTCTGCATTCTTTTCCTACAGAAACAGCATCCAGCTCTGGGGTCCTCAGCACAGGAAAGAAATGAACCTGTTGGAGAAAGGCCACAAAGCTGGAGGAATGGAACACCTCTGCTCTGAAGAAAGGCTAAGAGCTATGGTTGTTCAGTGTGGAGAACAGAAGATTCCAGGGAGATCTTACTGCACTTTAAATGCACTTATAGTATTCTAAGGGGACTTACAAGAAGCTGGAAAGGGACTTATCAGAAAAGCACATAGTGACAGGACAAGGGGGAATGGCTTCAAACTGACAGTACATTTAGACTAGATATTAGAAAGAAATTCTTGACAGTGAGGGTGATGAGATCCTGGCACAGGTTGTCCAAAGAAGGAGTGGATGCCCCAAGCCTGAAGTGTGARGTTGGATGGGGCTCTGAGCAACCTGGTCTTGGTGGAAGGTGTCTGTGCCCATGGCAGGGGGGTTGGAAGGAGATTATCTTTCAGGTCCCTTTCAATTAAAGCCATTCTAAGATTCTGATGTACCATACAGTTAATTGACCTCATACCAGAAGAAGGAAACCTGCCTKCTTTGTAAATACTGAAAGATGATGCGCTGCAACGTTTGCTATGACTTTTAAAAGGTGTACGTCAAACAAGCAAATGAGTTTTATTGATTAAATTGTTTTTCATGCAGAAGTTAGCTGATCTTCAGTGAGGACTGAAGCAAWGAAAATTCCAAATGGTATTAAATACTTTGCAGTAATTACAAAGGCAATGGCAAAAAACTCCCAAACTACTRAGTAAAATAATTGCAAATCCAGAACCCAGAATGGAAAGAAATGCCAGAGCCAACCTAGTTTCATGGAATTTAAACCTTGTCTCAAGTTGTCATTAACACTTAACATTAAGTGTTAAAGGCTGGGTTAGTCAATTAGTCACAATCATACACAATTTAAAAGTAAAAAGAAAACAGTTGAAAAATAACTTTTAGAGTATTATAGATGAAAGTTTGAACTGTGGTCCTGAGAGTTACAAAGAGGAAAAAGAAGCAAGAGCTAGCTGGGCTTGCTTCCATAACAAACTAGAAAAAGAACATTCTATACCATTTCTAATTAACACACACATGAAATACAATAAATAAAACCAAAAAAACTCAGTGTGTCTTAAATATAAGCAAAGTGTATAGGTAATCTGAACTCAAATACTCTACTTTCTTATCTGAAATGAAAAAACCTTTAAAGATCAAGTCCTAATTTTTTATCAGAAGGAGCAATGTGTTACCAATCCATTTACATTAAAACACAAATAAATAGGAAAAAAAAAAAGGTACCTGCCTGAACAAAACCTTTAACTTAGTTCCTGCTGTCAAAATTAGCACTTTAAAGCTTGGTCAAAACACAGTTACAGGATGCAGTACAATCTATTAAAAACCTAATAAAAAATTAACAATAGTAGTAAACAAGATCAGCACCAGACTTCAACATTTCCTTAAAAGCTTCCCATTTCTTTAGGCAAAYAGAAAATCTATACAAGCCCCCACTTTAACAGTAGGTCTAAAAATAGCTGTCCTTGATAGATATGCCATGTAAATCCTATAGACACAATATTAAAATTTAAATATAGAAATAGCTGTAGTAGTAGCATAGTAGTAAATCTTATTGTAGCGAAGATATATCTGTAAACTTCTCAAAAAAAAATTAGACACAAAGCACATACCAGGCACACTCACTGCTAAAATTTAAAATAGAATGCTTAGGCTTTTACTTTTGCTTAATTGCTTTGTTTGGTTTCAAACAAAAAAACCTGCAGTGGTACTGGSAGTTATAGTTCGAAGTTCTGTTGCCTTGGTTACCTTTAAATAAACTTCACTTATTAAAAAAAGAAACATTTCATCTTCTACAAAATACACCACTATATGTTCTGTAGTCTACTTACAGTATTATCCTAACAGCAATACAATTTATAYTGATGAATCATTAATTGATTAATAAGTTTAGAAGTTTAGATCTGAAACCTGCATCTGGTAAAAGCCCTCAGMATTTATGTTCAGGAAGCAGAATTTCTATATTCATTACTAAACACAGAAGGCAAAACATCACAAAAACATCACAACACACCTAATGACTAAGAATACCAAACTACAGTACAGAGAAGCTAGAAGCTGACTCTGCATTCCTGTCAAAGACAGGATTAAGAACATATTTCCAATGTGTCTGTAGCCATATCCTTGCAGACAGTGACACTTTATAACTTGGCCAGCCTGCAGAAGAGACCTTTCTCCCAGTCTGTGATGCAAGAGCAAGCCCTGGGTCAAGGGAGGCAGAGACCAGGCTTGAAAAGTAAGATCTCCCTTGATTTGGTGTGGTCAAAAAGAGGGCATGATTTAGAAACGAAGGAAAACAGAAATTAATTCCAGCTTGGAAAGTAAGGACATGCAATTAAATGGGATTTTCCAACCTATCCCGAGGAGCAACAGGACCTAACCATTAAAGTTAARGACAAGATGGTGCAGAATGTTTCTCCTGCCCACGTGCACCCAGAGCTGCACAAGCTYAGCGCTACTGCTGACACCAGCAGTATCCCAAACCCACAGCTGCAAATTTGTGAACGTTTTCCAAACAAAACAGCCTAAAATGTTCTGAAGCAAAACACAGACTGACTTAAGCTAGTAAATAAAAAACCCTACAGAAAACCCAAACCCAAGCAACAAAATGGGGTAGGACTTGCTACACTTATCATTTAATAACAAACATTCATATTCAACTCTTAACATTTGGTATTACAYTCAGAATGGCTTATTGCAAAAAAATATTTTAAGATCACTGCATCATACATAGCCAGGAAAAAGCATAATTCTTTTTTTCCCCTATAGGAACAAATCATTATTCTGCCTAGGTATTTTCAGAGTACCCTAGTCTGAAGGCTTGCTWATAAAAACAGCTACCACAGTTTAAAGTTCATTGAGAATTTTAGAGCAATTTTAGCAGTGCAAAATTTGTGTAACTGCTCCTTTASTCTGAATACATTTCCATTTACCTTAAATTGACTCAACAATAAGAGCTAGGCTAATTCTCCTATACTAACATATMAGATAAAATACTCTGCTCAAGGGGCTCACGGTGGCATTAAGGTTCCCTTTGGAGGGGGTGGGTTTRGTTGGGTGTTTTGTGCTATATAGCAAAGACTTAATGCTTTATGGGTTTCTGGTGCAAAACATCTGCTTCTGCTSATGAAAAGTGTTCATCCAGTCTAACGCTTACTCCACCATCAGATTAACTCAAACAAGTGTCAGTGAGCTAGTTTTGCATTACTGGGTGCCACGACATGAGAGCTGTTTGCAAGCATTACTCTTGACTTAATGCCAGGTGTCATCTGGCATCCTACAAAGGACATAAAGCTAACACAAACCCTGTCAAGCACACACTACCAGGGTATCCAATACCATGCAGATCTGGCATGCACCACGATGGAACTGCAACAGCCTAGGAATCCCCAGTCAAAAGCATTACTGCCCCAGCTGCTTGCTTTTTCCTCCCTGCCAAAATTTACTGACCCCGCAGCTCTGCCAGCAGCACAGGCCATGGCTACATTCCCTAACCCGCTTCAGGCAAAAAATCAACCCTGTCAGTTCAGACAATTAAAATAAGTGGCAGGAGCTAGCCCAAGTACATTTGACTGAGTGGATTAGAAAGTGCTCCTACAAACCACTTTTACCACCAGAGCAAGGGCAGCAGTAATCTACAGCTAATGGGCAGTAATGAGCAGCTGCAGCAGACTGAGTCCCAAAGTCTACACATCTGCATCAAGTGTGTCACACTTGTTCTCCAGGACAAGCTAAAGCCTTGCAGCTCTAACTATATATGCATATATATATATATATATATATATACACACACACAACTATCTATATATACACAATTTTATATATATATACAAACACATACACCACTGAATGAACGGGTAGTTGTTTCTATCTCTTTATGAGCCAAAACTGAAAACCTAATTGGACAGTATGACAATAATGCTGGTACATTTAAATTAAGCGTTCTGCTCCAAGCCCCTGTTAGTAGTCTTGTGTACTAGGAATAACCACATTATTACATGCTCTAATACTTAAATTGGATACAAGAGTTGAACACTTTCACAGGATGTACTGTACTTCCTAGTGCTAKGCTTTTTGGCAAGCACAAGACAGACAAATTAAGCAAGCTATCTTCTGCTTGAAGACACAAACAAAACTAGGAGTTAATGCTTTGAAAAAGCCCAAAGTCTTTGCTTTCAATACCTGCAAAGCAAGGGGGGGAGGGGGGAGAGGAATTAAAGAAAACACAGGATTAATAATTTACTTAAGAGCATAAAAAGTACTCAGACAAAAATAAATTCAAATTCATGCTGCAATTACACAAATAAGAGCTCACCCTGACACAACAGAATGAAGAGAAGCAGTTAAAAAACTGCCTAATTCAACTTACTGCATGGTCTTATACAGAAAAGGCATTTTCAATTATTTACAGGAGCTGAAAGAAACTTTTAAGCAAACATCTTCAATAGAAAAAAGTTGGTTTCCTTATATAATGGGAAAGGTATGTRTTCAGAAAGTAAAACTGAGACAAAAAAATGTATTAATGGAGTTTATATTGTAAGAACATGTAAGAATATAAGAAGGATCAAAAAGGTGGCTCAAATTAAACATCCAGTCAAGAGACGATCATAACCCAGCTTCTGAATGTGCAAAGCTACGCTATGAACAAATCTTGCTTCAAGCATTTAGAGCAATGAAAAAAATCCAACCTCTATGAAGCTAGAGCTAATGAAGTTAGCTAATTAAGGAGAACATTCCTATTTAAAATAACATATATACAAGCCCATACACAAGCAAAAAAAAAAAATTGAGGCATAAGATTCAATCACTCTAAGGCATATTTTTAATGAAAAAACAGTAACAACTGAAGGCTGAGGAACAATACTCTTCCTATTTTATGCGGACAACTTAAAATTKAAAAAAATTAAAAATCACTATGTAGTCTTACATAAAGGAGCCCTGGAATATTTGCAACTGTATCTTACTTGAGTATAATGAGGACCTGCATCTTTTTCTGGACAGGGCACACAACAAAAGACACTGAACAGAAGGCATTTTCTAGAATAATCACCCTTCCATTTCCAATATGAGGCMGTTATTTGTGCTTTAATGGCAGCCTTCACCACCAACACCTAATGATACCTAAACACAAAAGTAAAATAAACCAGAACCACTAAAGAAATTACACAACCTTATGAATTAGAGCCTTTACCTGTCTGCCCCTGTCCGACATCTCTTTTTGAGAGACACAGGATTCAAGAAAATCCAGGCATTATGCAGCATTTCTTTCCACAAGTGCTTTCAGRACTTTTTGCAAGAGTCAGACCATCATTCATTAACACATGATCAAAGCTCCAATTTTCATTATCATTCCCGCAACCAAGTTCTACAGTAATAAAGCATCTCAGAGCTGCMACTCCTCGCACAGTGAGAACACGTTCTTGGGATATTTCACAGGAACGTCGTTCAGCCAGGATAGGTTTGTCCTTGGGATGCCAGCCTGGTCTCTCCTACGAACGGTGCCTATCCCTGAACCACACGGCCACGCAGGTGTGCGACCCCCCTGCGCCATGCAACCCGCCTACACCATGTGGTCCCCGCTGCTCTGAACGCACAGCCAAAAACTACTGCGCAGACAAAGCCCTCGCTACGCTGCTCCAAAAAGGCGGCGTGCTCCCCCCGTGCTCCCCGGGGCGGGGGGGGGACGGCGGGTCCGGCCGAGGGTCCGTGGGGCGGGGGCAGCGCGCCGCGCCGCCGCAGGGCCCGCTGGGAGTTGTAGTCCTCCGCGCCGCCTCCCGCCACCCCGGCGCGTGGGGCCGCCGCCGCAGGGACTCCACCTCCCACCGTGCGCCGCGGCTCCGGTCCCCTGCACACACAGCCCGGTTCTCCCGCACCGGCCCGGCGGAACCCGCTGAATTCACCCCCGCCCGTCTTCCCCCGCACACGCAGCTCCGCAGCCCACGCCCCCCCTCCCCTCGGCAGTCCCTGCTCTCTCGCAGCTGACCACGAGGGTTGGCCGCAGCCTCACCCATTCGCCAGCTGGGTCGGGCAAACTGCGTCACACCCTCCGAGCGCCCCCGGCCCTCTCCGGTGCGGCTGCCCCCGCCCGCTCTCGCCCCCGCATGGGCCGCCCCCGCCTACCGGGGGAGCCCSCCGAGGGCTGCGAGGCTGCCCCTGTCCCCGCGGGGCCCCCGCCGCCAGGCACACACACACACCGCCCCGCTCCGCGCCAGTCCCGCACCCGCGGGCCTCAGCCCTTCCCCGGCATCGGAAGCCCCGGTGGCGCGTTCGGCCAAGCCTCACGGGTCAGGGACAAGAGAAGCCGCCCCCAGCCAGACGGTTCTTTCGGCCGGGCGGCGGTGCGGGGCGGCAGGCCCGGCCCCGGCGCTACTCACTGACAGCGGCGGCATCCGAGTGCATTTTCGAGCGGCGCTGCACACGCTGCCGGCCCGGCCCGGCTCCTGCCCCGCTCCCAACCCAGAGCCCGGGCACGGACACCTCCGCCCCGCCCACCGCCCGCGCCCATTGGTCCGGGCTGCTGGGAGAGGCTGTGAGTCCCGCCCTCTTACTGGATGAAGCTCCTGCCACTCTCCCTCCGCCTTCCCCCCACCACCTCCCYGACCTCTCATTGGGCAAAACGCCGAGCCGGCCACGCCTTCCCCCGCTCTGATTGGGCTCTGGTGCTGCCAGTTTCCCCCGGCCTTTAAAGCGCGTGCAAAGAACACCACTTTGTGTCATCCGCAGCGCTGATTGGCTACGGGGGCCAAGGGCCACGCCCACGGGCGGATATGATTGGGTGTGCGGAAAAGGGGGCGTGGCCGGCGGGGCTGACCCGCCCCTCAGGGGCCGCGGGCGGGCGGGCGGGCGGGGAGTGCCGCGGGGTGGGGGGTGGACTGCGGCAGTTCGCTGTTACTCCGTGATCCCCGTGCCGTGTGGCCAAGGCACCGGCTGGTCTAGAAAGATTTCCTTATTCCTCTCATCTCCCGCTTCCAAAGGAGAACAAATGGCAGGCTGCCAACGCCAGCCGAATGCACACAAGTGTCGGGTCAGTGTTACAGCAGCGGCAGGATGGGCGGTGGGGACACCTGGGGCCAAGACTGGTGTCATCCCTTGCGGGATGATGACACCGGTTCATGCCCCTAAATGTTGTTCCCGATCCTAGAAATCCCGCGCGTGGAGCCACCCTCCTTTCCCCCTGCTTGCACTAAGAGCTTGCCATCCCTGAGCCGGAGGAGGAAGACACCTTGCGGGTCACTGCTGCTTAGCATGCGAGCTCAGCATCCCGTGTCCTTCCAGAGATAAATGCCGTCCCTGGCGCTACTCAGTGAAACACAAATGAGAAGAGACTGCTAGAGGAGCGTCTGTGCACAGTGGAGGATTATAAAGACAGATCTGAGTCATGAAAAAAAAAATCTTCCGCTAAGAGGTTAATTTAAAAGAAAGTCAAGGATTATGAAACTGAAGTAGTGCTAGATTTAAAGTAATTGTCCCTTTGGAGTAATGCATTAACATACAATCCTGAATGAACTGATCACAGGCCTGTTTGGATTTCTTTGGGGTTTTTTTTAAGCTCTGCCTTACTCAGTGAACCAGTCAGAATGTGCAAGTGCAGATGTTTTATTTTGCTGAACTACATCGTATGTTGTCAACTGCCTGTTTTACAGAGAAGAGGATGGAGTCCACAAGAAAATGAATCTGCTTTTCAAAAGTCATGTACTCAAAACTGTGTCAGAGCAATGAAAGATCTCATTATTTCAAATTCTTACTTATTCACTAACTCCTTGAAATTATTTCTATAGAACTTCCTGCCACCATCTCAGATATTTTCCTATTTTCACYATCTTTTCTTTAGCTCAGTTGGTCAGAGCATGGAGTTAATAACACCAAGGTTGGAGTTCAGTCCCCACATTGGCTATTTACTTAAGAGCTGGATCCTTGTRAGTCCCTTCCAATTCAGAATATTCTGTGAAACATCTGCAAATAATAATAATTATAAAGCAATACATGCTAGGTTTCAGTTCTTGGGTAGTTCTATAACATCCCACATGCCAGACATTCACATCAGCATGTGTCATCCCAAGTTGTTATACCCAATAGGGGCACCACTGAGTTGCAGTTCATGTGATCTAATTCTGGTTTAAGAGGAACAATCCCTTTAGGGATGTCTGTTTGTTCAATTGACCATAAAAAGCACTCAGGCTGCTAGTTCAGAATAAAAACATACTCACCAAGAAAACTTCTTCCGTGCCTTACTAAGTTGTAAATTGATAAAGATGTAAAGAAAAGTGACATCGAAAAACCCTATTTGGTTGTATCTGAAGACAGAAAGGTTTGTACTTTCCTCCCATTTATATTGGTCTAAAATGAAAGATACTACTTGGCCTTAGAAATATTTCATTAGACTTGAGCTTCTGTAACTACTTCCATTCTAAACTGTAAAGCAAATAGACTCGACAAGCAAAACTTCAATATATTTTTGAATGCACAAGTATAATCCCTGACCCTTAAAAACTAGATCTGCAAAGAAATCCATAGGGAAACATAAAAGAGATTTTGTTTTCTGCTTCTGCCTGCTAAACAGAGAATTCATGCATCAGCCAGAAAATGCCTGCCCCATGAGAACAAGGCCTATTAAAACGTGCACCTTCATTCCACCCTCATAAAGGTATATATAATCCCCTTTGTTACCACTAGCTGTAAACTACTATGTAGGTCTCCGGGCCAACAGATGTTACAAAATCAGGTCTGTCTCTCCTTTCTAAAGSCAGAGTTTACAAAATGCACAAATACTTCATTTTACATAGAGCAGATCAATCAGGTAATGGCTGATCAATCAAACCCAATTATATTGGGTTGCGTGGCTGGATTCTGACAGCAGAAGAACTACAGGAGTGGCTTCTGTGAGAAGCTGCTAGAAACTTCCCTTATGCCTGACAGAGCCAAGGCCAGACAGCTCCAAGACAGACAAATCAGTGCTGGGGGTGGTGCCTCTGTGGTAACATATAATAAGGGAAAAATAAGTTATGCAAATGTAATCGTGGCCAGAGAAGAGAGGAGTGARAAAATGTGAGAGAAACAGCTCTGCAGACCCCAAGGTCAGTGAAGGAACAGGAGGAGTTTCTCCAGGCGGCAGAGCTGACATTCCCCTGCAGTCTGTGGTRAAGCCCATGGAGCTCCATGGAGTTGCAGCGATCCACCTGCACAGCCTGTGGAATACCCCACACTGCAGCAGGATAATGCTCAAAAGAAAGCTGTAGCTCCTGGGGAAGCCCACCCTGAAGCAGGCTCTTAACAGGACTTGTGGCTCCAGATCAATGCCAACAGATGTTGGCATTGTTACTTGTGGCTCCAGATCAATGCTGGAACAACCTGTTCCTGAAGGACTGCACCCCTGTGGAACAATGGCTCACACTGGAGTAGTTTGTGCAGAACTGTAACTCATGGGTAGGACTCAGGTTGGAGAAGTTTGTGTAGGAATGTCTCCTGTGGGAGGGGCTCTGTGCTGGAGCAGCAGGAGGACTCCTCTCCCTAAGAAGGAAGAAGCAGCAGAAACAACACATGATGAGCTGACCATAACCCCCCTTCCCCATCTCCCTGAGCTGCTGGGTGGCAGGAGGTAGAAAATTGGGGGAAAAGCCCAAAAAAGGAGGGAGGGGCAGGGGAAAGGTGCTCCTAAAATATTTTTTTTATACTTCTCATTGTCCTGCTCTGCTTTTGATTTACAGTAAATACAATAATTTCCCTGAGTCAAGTCTGTTTTGCCCATGACAGTAACTGGTGAGTGATCTCTCCCTRTTCTGATCTCAACCCATAAGCCTTTCATTATATTTTTTCTCCCCTGCCCAGTTGCACAGGGAARTGATAGAGAGGCTTTGGTGGGCAAGTGGCATCCAGCCAGGGTGGAACCACCACATGAACAGAGACAGCTTAAGCAGTTCCACCATTAGTGTTTTAATACTAGCCCTTCTGGCATCCTTTTTTTTTTTTTGTGCCAGTGCAACCACTTGGACAGCTAAATAGCAAGGTAGGTCAAAGAGCAAAACCATCCCTAATGCTCCCAAAAAGCAAAAAAATTGCAAACCAAACCAAACCCCTTCAGCACTTCTTTTGGTTTTGTTTATTTGTTCGTTTGTTTTCCCAGATAGCTGAATATCCTGATCTGGCACAGTACACATATCTGCAAGTGCTCCCATCAATGCACAGGAGAGGAATAACAAACCAYGAAGTGGAGAGTGGCAGTAAATGCATCAGGCAGTTTACACACTGTTAGATCAAACCTGAAACTGCAGACTTTTTTTCTGAAGAAACACTACCATTGTTTGCTTTTTTTCTAATTGATAGCTAAAATGGCAACCACATTAAAAAAACTCAGTTGTAGACTGTGAAAAATGCTGGATAACACGAGAAAGAAGAGCCATTTATATAGCTGTATCTTCTTAACAATCAGAAACATAGTGTAGATGTTTCTTTGAGAAAGAATTTCCAAAAGGAAACTCTTTCCCTCTGTTTCCAAAGGATACCGCATTCCAAATTGCTAAAGCCACTGTATCACTTGAATACCTTCGTTCATCTTGTTTTGCTTAGAAACAAGCTTGAAAGTTAATTTTAGGCTCCAGAATCACAAGCCATGAAGTGTTTTAAAAGTCAGAGGGGGAAGAGAATTGTATTGAAAATAGAGGTATTACCAAAGAAGAATTTGCCTAACATTAAGAAAGCAGATAAATCACAGTACAGGGTATTGTGAGAAAATAAACAAACTACAGGAAGCCTACAGGAAGCTGAGCAATCACAGTTCTAAATATTTTGCMGATACGAAGAAGCAAATGATCAACAGCTTTGTGTAATGCTTCAGAAAAGATTTTTCAACCTCAGTTACAGTGAAACACCTAACACCTGTGAGTTATTCCTGCTAGGCATGAGCAAACTGTACTAATTAGGATAAAAGACGACCTCAAGTGGCAAAAAATCGAAGCTGCAGATTATACGAAGTGCTTCCAAGTATTCCTCATTGAAGGTCATTTTAATCTCCCTGTCCCATGGACTCGCACTGTATTCCCCATTGAAGTGAAAAGGTCTGTTCTCTAACACTTGCTCCACGGGCATATTACTTTGGCCCCAAAGGTCCTTTTGTAAGGACACTCTGCAAACAAATGTCATTTTACATACATGAGAAAAAAAAAAACCACATGTTTCCGGACTGTTGATAGCTGATACTTAAATTCTTACATTCTATTTATAGGGGTTTTTCCAGATTCAGTTTAAAATTTTAAATTCTCTTCATTCTTCACCAGGCAGGTCTAAGCAGCCAAGCTTGGGAGCAGCTCAGAATTTCTTCCTGAACCCTGGAGGTGCACTAAAACAGCCAGCACCTTCCTCTGGGGCACAAAGCTCCCTCACTGTCAGCAGAGGACCCTGAMCATTCTCAGTGTTCCGTTCCAATGAGACAGGTGGGAACTGGTTACGTGCACACTTAATCTGCAACAACTTGTTTCAATAACATCAACTCTGGTTCAAAACCAAAGGGTGTGTCCAACTTTTGCTCAGCTTGTAGCTGCAACACCGTTTTAGGAAATGGGAAATAACACTTTCAGGTCTTTCTTAGCCCAAGAGGTTTGGACTGCAACTCCCATGTTTTGAAGAGCTCAGTGACAACACCAAAGTCATCGCTCCTGAAGCTAAGCTTACATTACACATAGAAATGCCTGAGTCAAGCAGGAATACATATGAGACTTGAGTCTCCACCCTGCTGAAGAATCCAGTACAATTACTCTCAGAAGTTGCTCTCAAATGTTTCACCTTGAATTCTTTTTTATTCCAAGATACACACTGGTAGGCTCCTGATGTACTGCTGTCTCCTCAAATTCCTACAGACTCCAACTGACCTGCACAGAATGTCAGAGGATGGACTTTGGAGTACAACAGAATCATATTATTTAGAAGTCTAGACCTTTTGCCACCTGCAAAAGTTCAAACCTTTAGTAAATATTGTTTGTTTTATACATTTTTTCTTTGCATGCCATCTCTGAATGYGTAAAGATATCCACAAACCTTTTCTTTCATAACATACTTTCTTATGAAAGTTGAGATGAAGAGAGTATGATTAGAAAACTAAAAGATTAGTCACACACCCCTGCAGCAGGACCTGTTCTAGCACATTTCTGTCATAGTTTGAAACAGTGATTGTGACTGAGATATATAATGCACATTTTTCTAAATCCTTGTGAGATACAAGGGATTAGATCAATGTGTAGATGTAAGCACAAAWAAAGTTTAGTTTTAGATTCCCAATTCTAACTGCAGTAATAGAAGTATTCAAACAGTTTGTGGTCATGTTTTTCTTAATCATTCTGATAGAATAATGCAAATGTCAACAAATGCTTACTACTAATTACATTTGCATGTAGTGTTTCCTGATATTAGGCATCATGAGATATGGATACACCAACATTAAACTGCACAAGCAACTTAGAAAAAGAGRATATTCAAACTTTAAATTTTGTCACTGTCCACATGAACATGTCTAATGGGGTGTACATGTCTAAACCCTGTAAAAATCCATCAAAGCATGTTCATAGACTTCGAAGATTACACACAGATATAAATTATAATCTGATCTGTTATGCAAGTCACGTTATGCTRTCTGACTTCTTGAAAAATATCCTCATCCTGTCTTTTACGTGTTAAAAAATTAGGAGCTTTCAAGCTTTTTGTACTTTTGTATATAATTTCTTGCATTTCACATTAATAAACTGCTCACATTGAAAGGTATTTGCAGAGTCAGCCTGTGGAGAATGTTAAGTAATGTTGTAAGATATTATTATGCTTTCTGCAGACTATGAAAAGGCAAACCTGTGGCTGGATGTGTGTCAGAGCTACCACGGAAGCATGCTGAAAATAAATGAGGATACTCAGAGTGCTGTGCAATGTTTGGTGCCAGTGGCAGCTGCTTTTGCAGGCTGGGAGGAAGGACAGACAAGGGCTACTGGTGTTTGCAGAAGAAAACTGCTAAAAGTTCAAGGAAATCACCTTGGTCACTCTGAAATGTAATTTATCCTGTCATGCTGGAAAGTCACACAGAGAACAAGTTCACAGGGCTTGTAAAGACAAACAGCACTCATAGGTGAGAAATTAGTTCAACAATGGCTGGTAAATTGTCAGTTAAATCTGAGATRATGAACACAAAACCACTGAAACTTTTAAATGCCTTTCAGATATCCTCTGTCCACAAAGATTAAATGAACAGCTTCACTCTCAGAAACACAGTTCTAAAAACAWGGGGGCAAAATGATACGTGACCAGAATAAAGTGACAAGTTTGATGCTGGTAGCAATTACCTGACTCCATAGAAAAAGAAAGCTGGGTAAAAATGCATCCTGTATTTGCTCACATAGCGAAACAATAAAACTGAGTATGCTCAAGCTGTTCTCAAAGGCATATGGTGAAAAATTAGACAGAGAAAAAAAAATTCATCCTCTTTCCTGCAACATATCYTATTCCTTTCAGTTATGATATGCTTAGGTATTACTAGAAAAACACATAATACTAAATAACCAACATCACAAATTTGGTTTCCAAATTCAGTGGGTCACTTAAATTATCTAATATGTTTCTCAAAAGCAGGAAGCATGCTTTGGACAACACTGAACATGTCCTCATTGTTTAAGGGAAGCTCTGCACTTATACTGAAGGATCAGGAGCTAAATATAAAAGATGTTGCCAAGAGACCCAAGAAGACACAACATTTTACATTGTGTCACACGTACATTACATAATAGGGAATTCACTGCCTAGGTAAAAAAAAAAGACTTAATTACTTAGGGCTAATAAAGTGTAATGCTAGCAAAGGAACAAAGCTGCTATTTTTTTTTCTTTATTACAGTTCATTTTAAATAAAAGTTACAACCAACTTTTCTCCCTTCTCAGAAATCTTGTTATGTTGAGCATGATTGTTTTTAACTCTTCAGCAGTGTGTTCATGGAAGTGTCTCATAACCATAACTCTTCAGAGGCACTCTACTCTTCCCTTCATAAAAGCATTGCAGTGTCTAATGTCCAGTTAATAAAAGGAAGTCTGTAAAAGTCACCTCTTTTTCTCCAGTGCTGTGAACATCAATCATCTGCAAATTGTTCTAATAAAACTCATTTAAGAATAAAATGTACAATAGCAGCAGATTTAAAATACTGTTTGAGTTGAAAATGCACACACTTCAAACACATACTTAGTGCGTATCTCTCAGTTAAAAAATACACTAGTTCCACTCCTATTTTGAAAAACCTGAGGCCTAGATTTTTATTGCAACAGCAGCAGATCTGCAAAGTGCAGCAAATATCAACAGGTTACCTGCAATACCACATTATTTTGCTTTCCCTCAGTCATCAAAAAAGTGGGAGTCTGCTGAAATTTCTTAYTCATAATAGTTCAAATAACTCATAAAAGAGGAAAGGGGTCATATCTTGACCCTTAGAAAAAGGTACATAGACACATTCAACTCAGAAACAGCACCATGCATGATACCTCCACAAAAGCTGAAGAAGTTGTTACCAAAGCAAGTTCCCACCTTTGCTTTGCTGCATATAAAGCAGGTATCTGGCCAAGATAGATACCAGTTTATCAAAATGCATGCTCTTCCCTCCTCACAGTGATGGCAGCTCATTAAAGAAGAGARTCACCAACTATTACACAGACATTCACAGTGTTTTGCAGCATGGGATTTGCTCATCCTTAAACAAGGTAGTCTTTTGGCTGCCAATTCCRTTTCAAGCAACAAACCTTTCTTGTTGATCCCAAAAATATTTTATTTTCTTGCTCTAATTTGTCCGCTTAAAATATTTAGGAGTGCTCATATGAAAGTGATGAATAGGCACATAATTATGTCCATCTTTATAAGATCCAAACCTAAGAAAAATATTCAATAAAGCAATACTATTACAACATTATTTAACTCTTGCTATTAAATCATTTAATTACTTACCTACGTCTGAATGTTCTAGGCAGTTTATTTCAGAAACTGGCCCCAAAACTCTACTTCAATGTAAATCAGCTTCTATGTACCCTCTCTTACTAAAGATCTTTGAGTATAATGGAGACAATTAATTACATTGATTCCACTGATGCAATAGGCAGTCTATAGAACTCTGTCTGACAAATGTGAATGTTGCATTTATATACTTACATTCCAATTTCTCAAAGTTTTTTGTCCTGATTTCAGTAGAGGACTAATTTAAACATCCATAGTATCAAAACAGTAAATCCTGTTGTTAATATTGTACATCTTATTTTTGAAAATTAGGGTGAAAATTATAATTTGTCATGCCATATTTAAACATGAAAGTTTTGACAACTGACTACTATGGTAGACAGACTTACAAAAGTAAAATGGAGTACTTTTTTCAAAATATCAGAGCTAATTAACATTTAATAGCAGTGCCATTGTATTTCTAAAGAAGCAAAGTTAATCAGAAAAAGTTAAATTTATTCCAATAGGGTGTACATTTTCTGAATACAAGCAGACAAAAGAAATTAGGACAAGATTCTGTGCTGAAATCAACTAAGAAAAAATCTGAATGTGAATGGTAACTGTAGGCAAATTCCATCATGTGGAAAAGTCTGGGCAAACTCCGGCTTAGGCAGGAAGCCATTGGCTGAGTGGTACATAAAAAATAAATACACTCAACCRTAGGGTGTAGGTGAGAAAGTTATATATTCTCCATTATACATGTTGGGAGTAGCAAACATGGCATTACTGGAAATGTCTCTCTGTGGCAACATCTATCACAAACATCACAACTCTTTCATTGATATTAATTTTAGAATAAATATCTTTCTCCATATTTCTCTTCCTTATGCAGTWTCAGTGGGAAAACAACAGCATTTTAGTAACAAATCACCCTTTAAAATTACACCTAGTCTTTTTTTTTTCCCTTCTTGAAACGTGTAAGATACTGTCTCAGGCATTCTYTTTAATTTTTGCTCCAATTATACGGTATGTTTTAAATTCCCACGAAAAAAKTATTTAACATATACATTGTATTTGGTATTCTAAGTAACAGTATATTAAGACCCCAATCTCCAAAATGCTGAGAAACATGGGAGATCTTTCATTATGTATAAAATGAGTCACCACACCAATTGGCAAATATCCCTATCAAACAATCTCAGAACTTAATCATCTGGGTGAAATGAGCATTATTTGCAATTTATGCTGTGACACAGCAGACTGATTTTCCCAAGGTACATGCCAAATCAATACCAAAAATGGAATTACAAATCAGAAGCTCTTGACTCCTAATCTTTTGCTCAGTTGGGTACTGATCAGTGTCTCCCACCTTAAAATAATTTTGTCCCTAGACTTCTCTTTTACAAGATGTCAGGCATATCACCCCTTTAATTTCTTATGAGATGCACTGACCTGGGATTGAAATGGATGTCTTCAGGAACTTGGCTGGGATCAGTGACAATTCTGTCATTGTCAACATAACTATCCACGTGATCSGGGATTCTAAATTTGGCCATCTGGACTTCTGAATCACTTAAACCAGCGTGAGATATGCGGGCATAACCCAGCCTATCAAAAACAAGAAGAGTTAGTTTGAAGAAATAACTCAAGGCAATTTCACGACATTCTTAATGAATGTCTCTTTTTCCCAAGAGTTGTGCTTTCAGTTATCAACACAATTTTTCATTTCTGTGAATCTCACCTTCAAAAAACTGGAAGTGCTCCATAAAMAGGATCATAATACCATGTTATGAGTATAAAAACTGAAAAACCATAAGTGTTTGACAGTAAAAATAAGTTTTATGTCTAAAAACCTTTTTTTTTAAATTACAGCTTTAGAATATGAGTGCTGGTATAAGCTCACAACATTTTTACTGAAGAGATTTCAATATTCAAGAAAGAAACTCAAGCATCAATTGAATGAATAATGAGAAAAAATAAAATTGCAGATGGAGTTTTAGCTGGGATTTTTTACTTGCCTTTTTTYCTGTTTTACTCAATACTGTTAAGACAACTATCAACTTTGCAGGTTTTACYCCAGTGAACACTGCAGAATTTGCATAGTTTATTCAGAATAAGATGAATKCCATTCTGGTACATACATCACCAASAGAATGATGTACAAGCAATTTGGTATTGGAAGATATGGAGCACATAGGTCTCGTGCCTCAATATGGACTTACACAGTTCAAGTTTCCACTAAATCCAGCATAAAGATTGTCTGGATTAAATCAGCATTTTACTTTAACAAATCCTAAGATCRTAGTTCAAAATTTGTATACTCTGTGTTRCATACAAATTAGGGCTTAGCCTTCACTTTTTAGAATGAAGTTGCAAAGACAAAGCTTTGGAAAAATGTAGTTTTATGCTACCGAAGTGCTAGATCTGAAGGATTTTGACACAGAATTATGAAACCTGTAATATTGTCTTTGCAAATTATATGCAGAAATACACCTGTTTTTGTGATCCTGAGATCGAGTGTTTCACATTATTTTATGCTAGATCCAACTGTCCATAATAATTGTTTAGGGATATAGTCTATTGTTTAGGGACTCTTCCACAATCACTTACAAAAGATTATAAAACTGATAACCATAAAGATACTTAAACCAAATAAGTGACCCACTTTAACATACCTTATTACTCCACGATACATAATATAGCTACACCATCTGTCACGATCTGTATTGTCAATATCCTAGAAGTGAAAGGGAAAAAAAGTCAAACAAATAAGGTAAGTGTTCATCTGGGTAGGCTTTAAATCAGTAACAGGACCACTGTGTAAACTTACTGTAGAAAATGTTCTGCCTAAAGCATTGTAATAAAGTGGAAAGAAACAAAAACGCACTCCAAGACATGGACAAATCAGACAACTTTTTGACACCTTTTAACGTGGAGCTCAGTTTTGAAACAAAAGTATCACAGAATCAGAGGCTTTCTGGAGGTCTACTCCTAACCCTGCTCAAACTTCAAGGCTCCTCAAGGCCTTATGCAGCAAACTTTTGAGTATCTCCAAGGATCAGGGTTTCACGACTTTACCCCACCCCTGTTCTAGTGCACGACAACCTGTGACTTTTTTTTCTTCTAACTGACAATTTGTGACAACTGCTGTCCATTGCCTCTTGTTCTTTCACAGTGTAACTTCATCTTTTCTGCAAGATATCATGAGGTGGCTAAAAACTATATTTGAAAATGCGTATGTATTTTCTTCTGTGTCTATATTTAAGCTATTAATTTGAAATACTAAGCTGAATGTTTCCAGCATATATTGTCTCAAAAGGTGCAGCATTTTTGTATTACCTGGACATTTCCATTTTGTATTAATTCAGTATAGTCTCTGGATCCAGGAGCTGAAGTGATGTAACCTAGAAATACAACTTGCTTAGAACTAGTTTTCAATAGATTTGAAACAGCTATTGCTTGGAGTTTTCTGTCCAGATCCTCTCTGAAAGAAATTGAAAAGACTTTGACACACACACRCTTTAGCTTAGTCTTTGTGCTATGGCATAGTAAACCAGCAGCAATCTGGTACCATTTTTATTGCTCAGTATTAGAGAGTAGGAAAGTTCACAAAAAACTCTTTAATTCAAAATTATCATTACATTTGATAAAAGCCACATGGTCATGGTAGATGTAATTCCCATTCTCTTTTTATCCATTACAGGAACAACATTTTCTATTACTTAGTTTTGTTTTTAAAAATTATCTCATCACTAGGAATTATGAATGTTACTGTTTTGGTTATCTGAGTCTTTGTCTCTGCTTGGACTTTAAAATTAAACTGTGTTACCACAATGTGGTGCATAAAAAAGAACTTATATGCTAACGAAACTTTTATGATGGACAGATCACGGTAAATACAGTCTTAAAGTCTGGGTTCCATAATTTATGAAATGCAATTTACCTCATCCCATTTGCATTACTTAATTACATTTGGCATGTTCTCTACATCTCTTTAATAAGATTTACACAATAGTTCCAACATGACCAAAAGTGATAGCATAAGTGGAGCCTAGTAAAATACTTCATTGGATCCCATTCCCTGTCCTTGGATTTGTCATAAAATAATGCAAAAGTAGTTATATTTCTGTGATTCTTCATGTTAATGATTTGAAACAGTTGTGTAAATCATGATCTCTTCTAGATTTTGGTAGTCTGGACTAAATAACATTGACAGAGAGAACTGATTTTGGAATCTGTAAACCCAAGAGAAGACAACAATTTAAGTGCAGCTATGCTTTCTAAATAGTGGTACTTCTGACTGCAGACAGGAGACCAAAAAAAAAAAACCCAAGCATTTAAATAAAAACCTGACCTAAGTGTATGTGAAGTTGCCAGCTCGCTGCTCTKTCCAGAATTACACTTCTCCAGAAGATGGGATTTTTAAAAGCACAGGAATAGTTATATTCCTGCATTTTGAAAGTCATATTTAAAAACCACCCTAGTTATCCAGTATTCTATAGTCTATGTCAACCTAAGCAGCAGAACAGAATATTAAAAATGAGCAGTCATGTGCAGTATTTAGTTACAAATTCATTCCCCTCTAAAACACAATCTAATTTGCACTCATTTCCCTTGTGTCTCCTCATATTTTCTCCCTCATCTTTATCTCATTTCTCTGCAAGAGAGAATACAGKGTTATTTTCTTCTGCTTTGACAAACAGTTTCTCAGACAGGCAAGTCTAATCATCTGTGTGAGGCACAGAATTAAATTTCCTTCTAGAGTTAAAAATGGGGGGTGCTTTCTGACAACTATATTAGTTTAGTAAATGGGAAATCTATAAACAATTTGCAGGTTTGGTGCTGTTTCTACATAGGGGAAGGAAATGGGACACAGGGAATTCTTATGGCTTTCTGAGCAGCTTCTTTATAATACTGTGCACCCTATCCATAAATTGGCTTCTTCAGGAATTAGAAAAAAATTTTTTTAAAAAAATTCCAAATCTTACTATATAACCACAAACACACTAGAAAACACATCAAATGTAACAGAAATTACAGCTACAGGGAGCATTCACAAAGCTATCTCTTATTAATATTCATTGCACACAAGTAATTAAAACATTGTTTTCAAGAACTGAAATATATACATTATTCTTTTCCATCACTTCTTTGAGTTACTGGTATCATTTTGCTTTTCTGAATTCAGAGATCAGACTTCATATTTCCACTTGCATAGTCTCAGAAGGACACTGATGAATATTTTCAGTGCTATTTCAACACTGTTCTTTCTTGGGGCTTTCAGATTTATTACTTTTTATTTTAAATAAATAGTGTTTTTCCATTAATGCTATCTATCTCTAACTGTACCATCTGCACTCACTGTGGAATGTATGAGATCTATTCTACATGCAAAAAGTCAGAAGGATGCTATCCTGAACTCAGATGAATCTGTAACCTATCATTTGCTGTGACTTTGTAGAACTACATCTTTAAATCTCTARTAATTCAGATAGTAGGTTCAGCTGAGTTTTGCATGATGCATTTGTCCTACTTAAAAAATACTTCAAAATTTTAAACCAGCAGTTTAACCAACTTTAAACTGTCATAGCATTTCCTCAAAYGTGCCCTGGTAGGACCAGTATTAAAGCAGCCAATTCTAAAGGGAACAAAAGAAATCCCAGAATTTTGCTGATTATATCACATGACTTTGTATAACATATGTGAAAACAAATAAAATACATACTCTTCATTTCCAAAGTGAGCAACAACAAAATCAACCAGCTTCCCTGTGAAGTTGACAGTCAGGGAGATGGCAGGTGCAATCTCTCCCTCTGGAGATGGAAGGAGGTGATGGGTCGATTTTACAATTGGATACCTTGACAGTGCCATGATCCTACATGACAAGAGGCCAAAAGTTACATTTTGTGGTTCACAAGCATCAAAAGTGTGAACTAAGCAGATAAATGTGAACAAAAACTAACAGTCAGTGAACAAAACTATCAGACCAGAATACAAACCATCTCTAGTGGAATTTTCAGAATATAGAAGGTTTCCCTCTAAAACACTACTTCAGTACATGTCTGAAAATAAATTACATATTTCCTACACTGAGAAATATCATTCCGTAAATAAGAATTCTTTCACTGAGCTTTTAATGATCTGTATTTCAGACAAGACAGAATTTTATACTACCAGAAGTTAAAAGGTATTTTATTAAAAAGTAGATGCAGGTAGAAATACAACTTTAAAATGGGAGATTTCTCCTTTTTTKGCTTCTCTCTGGACATTTTGCATCAGGTTTTTCAGTGCATTTCATTAATAAAAGCTCATAAAATTGCTTCTCTGCCCTATTCTGCTTCAAATAGACAGGCTCTGGAAGAATAAAGTCACTAAATGCCCCTCACATATTGCACAAATTAAATAGCCATTGCAACCTCAGTAGGAAGTTCCATCTGCTACAGAGATGTGTATATCCCCCTGAAAAAAAAAGCTGCATCATATGCCACTATTTTTCCAGACAGCAAAGATATTTAAAGATATGCAACTGGTAAGTGGTCAAGCATTAAAGTAAAATTASACACAAAATATCTGATCAAACAGACATGTGCCTTTCTATTCCCATTTCCCATTATACAGCCCAAGCTGGATTTAATGGACACAAAATTTCCCATACCTCCTGATTCAGCCACATTTTCCAACTGCTATCTCTTTTTTAAGCCTGAAATACAAAATTCTCGTAGCCCAAACCAAAATATGTGGAAAGGGCATCAGATACACTACTCAGAATGCTGAACTTCCAGATCAGTACATTAAAGTGCAGTGTGCCATTCTTGCATCAGCAAAACCGAAGCATCTTACAGGGGCAGGCACCAAAACCTGATCATGTTTAACAGTGAGAAAACTCCATCCGCCTTGCATGGTAATGCTAATGAATCAAAGCCTATTCCTAAAAGACAAGCTCCAACAAGTGATTACAGTGATTATTATTCCAACTATTATTTGCTCCTGTATCAGTCCAGTTAGTATTGGACAGTATATTTACATCTATTTATTGTCACTGTGCATGTAAAGATGACTCACCCCCAAGTGTGATCTCTTGTGCTTGGACCAAAATCTGTGTAAAATCCTAGTCTTTCTCCTAGCCACATTGCTGGATCATGGTTTCCAATGAAYGGCTTAGAGGCATCGCTCTCTATAATAGTGATAAAATCTGCTTCTAAAATGAGAGAGGGGAAAAATAAAATATTTTCACATTTATAACTGTGAACTATAAATGGGACTTATAAATAACTACATATTGTCATTAATTCCCTTTTGATTACAGAGGGATGGACACAAGCCCTTCAGAAGWCAGCTGTGGCAAATTAACGTTGGCAACAAAGTCATGCCCAAACTTCTGGCTGCTGCAGGCCACACAACCTCTGATGAAGGTGTACTTAATTTCTGACTGCCACAGCTCATCCTGGTGCATAACCAGAGACACATGAGACTGCAGAGTACAGCTGGCCTGCACAGACCCTATGCAGACCATTTCAAAAGCACAGTCTATGCTTTCAACTTGATGAACTTCAACTTGAGATACTGTGCACACTCAACAGCACAGCAGCAAGTCTATGCTTTCAACTTGATGAACAAACACTACATAGCACATCTGCTCTTCCCTTCATCTACCAAATCCTATTGTGCTTCAAAGGGTCCTGTGCAAGACAGAGCTGCCTGCTGGTGCCAAAATGATTATTCAGTCCAGAGCAACCTAGCACCAGCCCCAAGGCATGGTAACAGAAGGGTTCCCAGCTCCAGTGAATCACTGACCATCCGCAGCCACCTCAGTTCCACACAGCACTGTGTACATGCAGAGGTGTGGTTTTGCCAGGGGAACATGATGGATTCCCCTACATWTTAGCTGCAGGATACAAGAAGAGCTATGCAGTCCCTCAAGTAACTGGTATCTAGGAAGACCTGCCCATGCCTGAAGGAAGGTGGGAGTCTGCAAGCTGCCCACAGGATGGCTGAATCATCCAGACTGAGCTTGACCAGCAGGTCAGTACAGGTGTAGCAGCAACAAATGCTCCCTTCTTGCTTYACTTATGCCCCACTTGGAGTGCTCTCCTACTCAAGACAGCAGATTGAGTCACCATTTCATCCACAGCCTTTCCACAAGGAATTACAATCACCCCATCCAGTGTAGAAGAGGCAGCTGCCCAGCCCGCTCAAGCTGCAGACCTGCTCGACCTCAATAACAGTCTTTTTCCCTATGGGAAAAGTGCCAAAGGATCAACTCCAACCACAAACACCTATGTGAGAATGCTTTGGTTTAACAGCCCCAGAACACTGGGCTGGGGCTGTATGTGGGATGTGTGAATGTTTCCTGATAAGAGCAAGAAACTTCTGCTTGCTTGCATGATTGCTCTCTCTCTCTCCTWTTGGCTGCCTCCATAGCTGACCCTAAAACTTGTACATGGAAGAAACATATAAATACTCAAATGTGCTTAATAAAGATGATCCTGCTAGATGAGAAGCAGAGGTCCATACTGTTATTCATCAATCTGCTACATCCAGCACCACTCCTTACACTGAAGATTTTTTGCTTCTGAAATGCCATATGTAGCAGTGAAAAGCATTGTCAGCAGAGAAAATGGTAGCTCAGAGTTCTTTAGAGTGGRTTCTCAGTTTTTTTCTTTCCACATCATTAGCATCCATGCTGATCACAGAAGCGGTAACTGAAACCATTAAGAAGGGTTGATAGATTCCGCCAGGGCAGACAGAAATTCCAGTCACAAAAGTCATTATATATTGTATTTTCACTATTCCAACAGAGACATGAGCCCAAGGAATGCACACTGCCACACCTTTAAAGACAAGCCCTATCCTGAAGCAGACAGTCACTCTTTTCTCTGTGGCTCTCAAAATAAGGAACTCTTCTTAYAAGAATTTCTAGCCTAACTTTGAATGCATTCATGAATGCATTTAGTGAAAATTTTAATGTAGCATTTTATGTAACGTAACATAAAACTCCAGAATACTGGAGTTTCCCAACTATTAGAAATTATGAATTTTTTAAAATTTTCTGCCTTTTTTACTTATGAATGTTTTTTTAGAAGTGATATTTCATTACCACTAAGAAATGYCAATGGACATAATCAGGTAATCACTTTTTCTAACGTTCATTTATTTAAACCATAGATACCAGAAAAAAACACATTCATTAAAATTAATAAATAAATATGTGAAGATTAAATACACATCCAAACATGAAGTATGGAATCACTTATGAACAAGAATACTGTAAATTTCAATTCATTTAATGTCCTGGTTTCCTCATATCACCAAACAGCCARTATAGCCCAGCTCTCTGAATCTTTGGTCATGAGACAATGCAGTGAATTATGCTAAAATCTGTCTCTCCCCTCTTAACTAACTCCTCTGTCTGTCTGCTACAAAATCAAGGCTTGCACAGGMGCACCTGTCAGTGCCTTCTCATTGCTGGGGTCTGTAAAGCCTGACCTGCTCAGTAAAGTCCTGTGGTGGACTGGAGAACAATGAATGCTGCACTGTCAGCACACACATTTCCTAATCTCTTGAACCACTTTAGATCACTTTAGTCCCCTGTTCACCCTATCTTATGGGTACTGCAGGAAAAAAATAACACTTGAAAGCACTACTTGCCAATTCCTTTCAATGTCCTCTGCAACAGAGCTACTCTGGAGTCCAAATTCTTTGTTTCCTATAGCTAATTTTCCAAACAAAATCCTGCTCATGAGCAACAGGCGAACACCCTTCTTTACAGTAAAATCATTACACTCAAGATACCAGCTTTACTATTCTTGTATATATTGCTCTGGTTCAGTGATGGAAACAGACTTGTCTGGTTCTGCTCTGCATTCACTGTTTAGGACATTTGAATTTCACMCCCTTTAGGACTTATATAATACTTCACATCTTAAAAAGCCCACTGAGAAGTTATAAAACATTGTATTTTATCCAAAAGGATATTTACCTTTGTAAATGCCATTGTATTTTATCTAATAGGATATTATTTCATTTATGCAAAGAATTTCTCTATAGACATGTAATTCATCAGAAATATGAGAAGAAAAATCTAAATAAGAAACAAAGTGTATCCACCAACCAGAAACCACTTTAAAACATATTAAATAAATTATCACCTCTGTGAATGGATTTTTGACAGAAGTGATTGTATTGGAACAGCTCACGAATTGAGGAGAAAGTCACTAAATGCAGGTTCTCGTGTTACTGCMRAAATGGACTCTGTTACCAAGCAGCKGTTTTCGCWTCTGTCTCTTCAGATGAATCCTTCCAAATACAAATGAAGTYGAGAAAGAAGCAGTTACCTGTCTGATTAAGCAAATTAGCTGATCCTTCCAAATTAGACCATCCTTCATTGTCATAACCAAACCTAAAAGGCCAGATCATAGCAGAAAAATCTCTTTTTGGAACCTCAAAAAACAAATGGAAAAAAAAAAAGTGAAATACAATTCAATTTTTATCTATTATAGCTTTGCAGTAAACAACATCTGACACATGGTGCCATAAAAGATATGCAAGAAAAGATGTTTTAACCAATATATTTTCCTGATAAGGCTGTCAGAATTACAAAATACTAAATCTGCTTATTCCTATTAACAAAGGAATAAGTCATCATAGTTAAAACAAATTTGTACAAGTAGCAGGAAAGAAATGAAGAGGAAAGAGACAACACATTTTTCATATTACTAAGAGCAAATACCCACTTTTTTTCCACACAGTAAGGTACTATAAAGCTGAATTTATTGTAAAAAGAAAGACAACTGTATGAATCTGCATGCATTTGTGAATCTAACACTAAACTTTGTGAGTGTCAACCATCTTGTTATTACCATTGCAATACCGATTTTCTTGCCAGACAGAAAACTGGAATCTTCTGATTTTTATCCAATTTCCAAAACTAGTCTTAGACTAATGTAAATTAACCAACTTTTCAGAGAGCTTCAATTAAGAGTTATTATATAAWATAGAACCACAGAATTCCTTCATCTGGAAGAAACCTCAGGAGGTTATCTGTTCAAACTTCCCCTACCTGAGTTCAGGCTGCTAATGGCGTTGTCCAGTTTCAATACAATTCAAAKAAACTAATTAATAAAAGTAATTTCCAAATTGAATATATAAGGCAAGAATCTCTTAAATTTTTGAAATATTTTTCCTTCGTACCAGCACTATAARTCTCCATAGACCCAGACATTTCAATTTGACATGGATCTATAAATTAAATTTTTGCATCTTCAATTCTGCATTAGTTTTGCTGAATACTTGGCTACTGGTACAAAGATTTCTTCAGCAACAATTGACCCACCTAAGCTATCACACACTCATTTTACTGTGTATTTGAAAGTTACCATTCTCACAAACACCCTACTCACCCCTTGTCCCAGCTTCTTCTGGTAAGTTTTATAACGTTGGCCCAATCCAAGCAAACCAACACCAACAAACAACCACAATACTTGAAAAACACAGAAAAAGTGTTTTTAATGCAAGAAAAAACACTGTTGTTATTATTGCTGCTAAACAGGACAGAATACACTGTTATTCTAAGGTGTGTTCTTCATAGAAAGAGAAATTTGTCCATTTGAGTTTCCACATATGCCAGTGGAATATCGGATCAAGGTAGAGTCYATTCATGCAGGATATGTATACGTGCAAACACACACTCTCCAAAACACCACATAGTGAGCAGATAAAATGTACCAAAACTCTTTGGAATAGTTATGTAAAAATTATACCTACTGAAGAATTCATTATAGGAGATGATTAAGAGCATCATGTACACCCTTGAGTGTTTCTTCTCTGTATGCAGGTATGCATTTGTGGTACACAATTTTTATTTTGTATTAATACAATGTGTGGAGTGGTCATTTGTTTGACACATTCTTAGAAAGGCACTGTGGCTTCACAGAAAGCATATTCAGAGCTTTCTCACTGCTCCTGTAGCCTTACAAATAACTACGGTGCACACTTAAGAGGTCTCACCATTTGGCACATTGTAATTTATGATCAAAGGCCTCTGCAGTTATTTCATTTACACAGTGGTATATGCTATGCACAATTTCAGTAACTCCAGTTAATTATTTCATATATTTTAAAAGATATTCAATTATTTTAATGCAAATTTCTGGAGAAGTTTTGTGCAAAATTTAAATACATTTTACAATGGATGATGTCCAAAGGRCATGTTACTTATGTTGGCACGTATCAAGCAATTTCATACCCTGCRAGACACAAAGATGCTTAGAGGGGAAGCTGAGGAAGAATACAAGTCTGGGCATGGTGAGGAAGTGCAAGAGGTACTGTTGCAATGTTACAAGATTAGCTGAGAAAGGGCTGTGTTTGGKGACAGGTAGTATTTTGAAATATTAATTCACTTTTGTGAAATGTTTCTTGGCACTTGAAATGGTACTGACATTGCCTCTGACAAAATCTCACAGGCCATGTTCTTCTGGCCACTGAGTATACAGTGTATACTCCATAAAGATTCCAGAAACAGCCCTGAAAAACTGAAGTACTAATGTCTCCTCCTTATAAATGCAACAATATGTACTCAAATGACAAGTTATTTCATCCAAAGTCATAGAAGAAGAAAAGATGCAGGAATTGGAATCTTCYGCATCCTGATCTCTGTAGGGTTACCATGCCCTAATGCCGAGCAATYACATTTTTTCCTCAGCCAATATTCCTAGAGTAATGGGAAAAGGAATTAAAATTATACTTACATAGTTTAATATAGTTTTTACTCTTTTTGAAGAGTGGTTTTTGATTGCTCTTCACTTCAAAGAAAGAGCTAAGGTCTTTCTTGGGTCCTGTTAGAAAGTCTATCCCAATACATAACATTATAAAACCTGTAAAAATATAARTAATTAGTTTCTTCATAGAGCTTTAACATATTAAACATTGCTCATAAACACATCATTTATAAATTCACAGCTGTTGTGTTACAACRCAGCAACTTTATGGCTCCAACAACRGAGATGATTCAAAGCACGGWTRMAGATAAATGTCATATCCAATGTGGCAATGCAGGAACTATAAGATTTATTGGGAGCACTCTCAAGTAAGGACTGATTAGCAGTACAGTTCCAGGGTATTGTGTCAAAAAGGCTAACACATGGATATAAATTATGCTAAAATCCTTCCAGGCCCCATTGATGGCTACAACACTCAGCTCCGCCCACCGTTTTCAAAGTTTACTGAAATTAACCTGGACAAGAACAATYGAGTTACACCTACATATTACAGAACCTTAAAATAACAGCTTGATGAAAAAAAGTGCATTGTTGACTGCAGATATCTATCATCTTTGCAAATGAACTGCTCTGTTATCATGATACAAGTAACACATTTTTTCATGTAAGAACTACAAAAGCAATTGCTCAATGYTTTGCTCTAAAACAGCGTAAGCAGACTGCAGCAGGTTGGAAGACCAATTTAACATGGCAACAATTTGTATTCTTGAATTCTGGAACCAACAGAAACAGTGCTGCATTTTAAGAATAGACACCTAACACACGTACAGATGCATTTTAAAAGCAAGAAAGCAACTTCAGTGAACCAACTGTTGCAATGCGTGGGGATGGTATCTTTTCAATAAGTAGCTCAGACTAACAGCACAAGGTTTTTTCCAATCCCTTACGAGATAAAGGACCCAATTACCTTCAAAGAAAGCATGGRAGGATAATGAATTCGATAAGAGCTCTGCTGGAGAAGATATATACCCTTAATATCTTTGTGGCATAGTTAGTTAATTATAGAAATCATTTTTTACTTCAGAGTTATAGCTGATTTGTTGCATTAGTTGTAGTGAAAGTTTGCAACCCAGGACACTGAGTATAGTGCAATGACTAAGGGGGCAACACAAAACCTTTCTCAAAGGGAGACTGATTCACAGCCAYTAAAGCTGATGAAGACCAGAATTACATCACATCAGAGTAGCAGCACAGAAGTTTTGAATATAAGGATCTTACTTCCATTGTCACTTTTCCTGGTGCMGTTCCCTACCCAAACTTCAGCAAGAGAAAGGCATGATATTGGACAGCAGAAGAAAGCAAGAAATAGCACTTGCACCTGAAAGAAACCAGAAGAAAACAAGCAGTTTGCCAGAAAGCCAAGCTGTGAGGGTAAGAGCAAAGCAACAAATATACATGGTTGGTCTCRTGGTATAATCTCTGACAATCAATAGGATGGCATCAAAAAGACACAAATTGGATTCTCAGGTGAAATTTAAACCCATGTAGTGCCATCAGCTGAGATGTATTCCACTCACAGTTTTCTTTTTACCAAAATTAGGGCATTCKCTGTGTTACTATCCAGTGATCATGCCAGGTAAATTAATCACAAGTGTCTATTTCAAAGTAAGAGAGAGGGATTTTGAATAAAAGTATTTCTTCTGTCAAAGTATTAAGAAAGCATTTGACACTCCTGTACCACATACTTTCTTAACTCTTAGAAATTAAATTTAACTAGCTAAGATAACTGCTTCTAAAGACKCCCCAAAGTACTTTCAGAACAAAGAAAATAATGCAATAATGGCACTAAACTCTCCTCAAAATATGACAAACTCAAATCCCTCATGTGATTGCTGTAAYATAAGTGAGTAAGAAACTGGAATAATTTGAAGTGGTTGCAAAGACATTTATGAAATATAAAACTCTTGGAGCAACAAGTCAAGCACAGCATTCATTAATCCTTTCCAAATAAAATATAAGCTAAGGTGTCACATTTTTTAAAATGCACCACACAATTAGCCTAAGACAATGTTTGGCATTGTTTAAATATAGTTAGTAAAATATGCCAATGAAACATGCCAGTGCCTATTGAGAAAATATTTCTGGAGACAAAACCAGGAAGGGTTGGTTTCCTTTCCACCTTTCCACCCTCATCAAGTGATCATTTTGCTAAAGCCTTTATATTTGCTCAACTGAGTTCTTCCTCATTTGCAAATACCTGACAATTTCYTTTGTTCCTGACTTGTTTCTGACACTGCAGGTTCAACTAAATCCCTCTAGATATGCTGGTGTGTCCACAAAGCATGGGGTGGAGCCACATGGAAAAGAAGCTCAGGTCTGAAAAGTAGACGAGCTAGAGCAGCAGGATGCTGCACTTTGCTCTGTTGAGCAGGGCTGAATAATGCACTGAATTATGTTACAGTCCCAGTAGCTACCCTGTCACMTGAGGCACCAGACAGACCTTAGGCAGCCAGAATACTTGTTTATTCACACCCTGGATCGAAGCCATATTTTAGGGTGGTTGATTAACATATATCTTCCTCCACTGYGGAGTTAGTTATCAGACATTTTCTCACTTTGTCATTTTCCCTCAACTGAATTCCATTTTCTGTCCATATTTTAGTCTATTTCTAACAGCAAAGAAACAAGTATATTATATTTTTGCATGTCTCATTAACTTTTGCATTGAAACTCTTGCCTGTTTTTACTGTTYGATAGTAAATCAAACAGCAACCGAGCATTTGAAAAGATTCTTTATACACTAGATGCATTTCACATGTCTGCCTGAGGCTCAAGCAAGCATATTCGTGTTTGTTCATTATCAGAAATGTACCTAAAAGAAGATGGGAGCTCTCTCTAATGTAAACTCCTCCAGGTACAAACTTGTAAGCTGTACACCATACACAGAAGAATAATTCAAGAACATATGTAAACATGGCTGTACTCATGGCTTTCCCAGGATGCAGACAGCTGACAAAGCGTCCAGCCAGCTGAGGCCACACACACATAGTAAAGACAGCAAGAATGGTGCCTGCAACAGCAGCACTCCAGGTGTGTAAATAAAGGAGACCAGCTGAAGATGCTAGACCTGTGAAGGAATAGAAAAGAGCAGAGTAAGTCTCAGTCGGGTATATTATCCACCATATTCATTTTCATATTCTGTCTAGGGAAAAAAACAGAGTCTGGAAAATATAATTGTGCTTTGCGGCCATGAAAACTGCATCACTGTAACAACAGTTACTCACAGTAGCCAAAGACAGTCTTTTATTTTCCCAATATTTCATTCTTTTAAACACTACTTTTAAAACAGCCTATTCAGCTGAAAGCAGCACAGCAAAAAGACAGCAGAGAAGCATCATTAAGAGCCAAAGCTGAACAGTTTTTCTTACACAGTTCTCAAATACAACAAAGAAGTGATGCAGTTCTTAAGAGATTAACAGATTGCCTGTTATGGAATTCTTTTATCATAATACAGAACAAATCAAATAGGGTAATAGAAAGAGAAAACATCTTTTCCTGATTTTCTCTCCCTGTAGGTAACCATATGATGGGCAAGAAAGCAACTATTAATCTCTTACTAACTGCAAGATCCTTGATTTACTATGCTTTCTTTGATTTGGGGATTTGACCCCAAGCAGAACATTAACAGAAACTCTCTACAGCAGGACAACTGCATTTTAAAACATTATTGTAGGTAAGAATATTTACTAACTGTCATACCATGAAGGCAAATGTACAGAAATACTTTTAATATTTAACTCTTATACATCAAGGTTCTTATCGTTTTTTAATCAACTAAAGAACCTTTCTATGATTGTTTTAAATAAGCAATGTGGGTACATCAARAATCAAATGTTCATACTTACATTACGATCTGCAGACATATTTCTTAACATTAAAACATGCAACAAAAGCTAAATTATTTGGGCAAAGGATGGTTTAAGCATTGGCAATTCTTGTGCCTTTACTGTGACTCTCCTGATATTTGGTATTTTATTTTGATTCCTGACTAGGAGAAAGTCAGTTTATATTAAGTTTCTTATCTTCAAGGTTGTGGAAAATGACTTGAAAGTCCTGGCTCTAAAGTGTTCCAAACCAGAAGGTGAATAAGAAAAACCAAAATAACTTGTCAWTTCCTTTTGTCCCTGTATTTTGATATGTCCCAATTTATTACTGAACATTTGTAGGAAGTACTGCTTTGTCTTAATATAAATATACAAATAATTAGCTAAGGCCAAAAAAATAACCAGATTTACAGGGGTTTAAACAGCACTTACACCATTAAATTTCACTCAAATGGGACTACAAAGTAAACCAAGMAGCATCCATCTATCCATGCTGAGAATGTATGGAAAACACACCTCTGCACAGTACAAGAGCAGATTTATTTTGATCTCCTCCTGCTTGTGTCATGCATCATTTGCTCCACAGAATAGCTATGCYATCCTCCTGAAAGTGGATTCCCAGTCCAGAACTTGAATCCCACTTCCCACTACCTAAGACTCACTATATGCACACYGATTCATAAATACATTGTTTCAGCAGACCTGCTTTGATGTTCACACTGCATTACTGCCTGCAGAACTTGGCAAAAAGAGACAGGAGGTGAGCATGTTAAATTACGTGTTATTTTGGCTCCTGTGGAATTGAGTGGCTTGAGTCATCTCAACCCTGTAACCCTAGATGTGACCTTATCACAGACTCACTAAGGTCGGAAAAGACCTCTAAGATCATCTAGTCCACCTGTTATGCAATGCAAATGGTCAGAACTGACAGGCTGCTCAAGGAAACAGAAGCTTAAAAGGKGGCTCTGAAAACAATAACACTGCTCTGAAATGGCCTGGAGATTTGGCCTGTAATCCTTMGTGAACTGGTCAGACACATCTCTACCACAGCCAGTGGCAGAGAAAAGGAAGCATTGATTAGCCACATTTTTTTTTTTTTTTTTGAGATGTGGGGTACAGTCAGAGGGCTTAAGTAAAGGGAACAAGGTAACAGACAAAATTTCTGCTTAAGATTTGCACGTACCTATGAAAAACCAGGCAAAACTGATGACAGAAGACCAGCTCCAAAATGAAAGCATCAGTCCATGAGCAAGACCCAACAGAACTGTACCTCTAATACAACAATAAGGAAAAAGAAAACATACACTAATACAATTTTAAAAACAGTTGGCATGAACTTCTAGATATACAGATAAGGGTGCTTGGTAATGTATTCTTCTGCTTTAAACAGAGGTAAATTTAGTTCACACCCTGCTGCATTTTCTTTATTGGATGTAAAAAACACCCAGATGAAAATAATGGCAATTTATTGTAAAGTATAAGTGAGCTGTGTTTCAGCAGCAAACACAGTCCACTGAAATCCTGGTACTAAGCACAAAAACAACTCAGAGAAAATGAGAGGGAAGAATCCACCCCAAAAATAAGTATTTTCTTCAYGTCAAATAAGGGATCCTACAGTATCTAACACTGCTAGCAGTCTTGGGTAGCTCATCTGTATACCAATTCCAAATGATAAACTCTGTCACCTGCCACCACATGTAGTTAACTCACAATAACTAATTTGGTCTCTTTCTAGATTTTGGAAGCTGAATGAACCACACACAACATTAAGACTATATTCTTACTAATCAAAACATCTACAGAAGTATAGATTTTCATATTTCACACAGTTTACTTTATGTGCATGCATCTCTGATCATCTCCTCTCTGAAGTTAACTGCTAGATTAATTTACTGCATATTACAGGTGCACTCCTTTCAAGAGTCCTTGAACCTCAGTCCTAATCTAAAAATTGTTTTGCAATGTGGCAAATCAATAAAAATAGTGCTGAAATAAAAATATCTCTGATTCAGAAAATTTTAAGATTTCCAGGTCTGGACTGAATGCTCAGAGATATCTAAAATGAAGAATTCTCTGTGTGAGAATTTTTTTCTCTAAAAAAAATTTTTTTCTCACTTTTTTTCTATTTAAATTCTTATACCATCATCTGGTTGACTTTTAATTTGTCGCCCACCACAGCACTGGATTTTGATTGTAATTCCGTTGTAGTAATAGTAGTAGTAATAGAAATAATAATAATAATAATCCACTTACCCATATGGATTAGGATCTGGACCTGTATGTGGATGTCCACTTACTGCCCATCTAGAAATTAATGAAACTTCCCCAAATATCCACAGAGTGAGAAACATGAGGCTGCCAAAAGCAATCCCAGATAAAAACCAACGAGGATGCGAAGCAGTCTCTCTAACGACATTAACAGTTTCATTTGTTTCTTGTTTCCTCTTGTSTCCACCTAGAATAAGAATAGAAATACAGCTAAGCAAACTGTCAAGTCCTAGTAGCATGACCTAGTGAGAAAAAGAAAYAGCCAAGATCACAAATTTACTAGAATAAATGACATGCACAAAAGCTATTTGATCTGTTTAGGATTGTATTATCAGAAATTGATAACACAAAAAAATTTAAAATCTCTTCTAACAACCCTAGGTCTGCAAAGCAATATATTCACCATAAGTGTACAAAAAATGACCTCCTGCCCACCTGATTATTTTTCAAAATACTGGAATTTAAATATTTAAATTGGCTTTGAAAATCAGCAGAAAAGTTATCAGAATTTGTTCAGAGGATTCTGTTCTCTGAAACTCTAAACTGTGATAAGAACAAAACCTGACACTTCCAAATAAGCCAGAAATAAACTCCCTTCCTTCTCCTTTTTTCCATGCACTTTAGAACGTCTCTCATCTAAGCAGAACGCAGCACCTTTAATTGCATGGACATATCACTATGTCACCCACAAACAAGACAGAGTTCCTTCTCAATCTCCTGCAGCAGATTCCCTTTCTAAATTCTGATGAAAGCTCAAGCTTCATTTATAACATGTAATGCAAGCTTACAAACAGTATGCATGATGCTAATTTATACCCTACTGCACATAGATAAGGTTTTATCTTTCAATTAATTCATTCAGGTTATACTGAGAAGGAAGGAGATTCTGATGATTTAACATGAGCTGCCTTAACTAACCAGCCCAACCTTGCTGTCATCCTCAGCAATACCATCTTCACAGTTTTTAAGTGAGCTTAGCCTATGCCAGCCCCCACCGCTGTGTACTCTGTCCAAGAACTTGGGCAAATTTTAGCCAGGACAGCCTGTCCACTCGTCCAATTCTTTCTGTTTATTTTGACATATCAGCTATTCCCMAACTTTGYCCCCCCTTCTCWGTCAAAAGATATGTGGTGGCAGAARAATTCAAAGTGCAAACTGAATTTGGAAAATAGCAAAAGCACCACAGATGTTTCATGCTGGAGTGACAATAACCCATTCTGGTTTTATTGGTCTAGCTTATGCCTTTGTTTGTGCTACTGTGATATTATTGACACTGCAACTAGGAAAAAGAGGCAGTTCCAGTACCAACTTATTACAGCTTGTATGAGTTGTCATTCCAGTTCTGCCATGTTATAGGCAAGATGGAAATACCCCATGACTTCTGAAGCCTGCAATGCTCATAAATCAGGTCTAAAACCAGACTGTGTTGGGGAAAAAAACAAAATCAAATAATCAAAACCCAGTGACACATAGCTGGGTATACTTCAGGTTCTTTTTACAACACTATCTTTTTGATATGCTTACCTGAATAAATTTGCTCCACTGCTGCCACAAAACCAATTACCAGTATGACAGTATTGGCAGCTTGTGAGCTCCAGACTGGATTAAGTGATGTATACCAGATACGAAGAACAAGGAGCATTATCTTGCCTAGCATGAAGCCCCATATCCTGATGAACCTGTAAGAATCAGTTTTTGAAACAGTGAGGCTATTCGGGGGGAAAAAAATCTTAACTTCTAGGNAAAATACTTTAATGCAAAGAAATGTCAGTTAAAATCCCATCAGTGTAAGAAAATACCTTTGCAAACTGTTTCCTGACCACCATGTTACTGTTTGAACCAGCAATGAAGAAGAAACACCARCAGCCAAGATGAGTAGTCTAATTGAAGCATTTGGTGCTTGGTATGATGCTAAGCTTCCTACAAACAAACACACACACACAGAGGTTGCTTTAATAGGCAACAGAGGTCAGGTAATAAGGATTTCCTGTGCAATTAGTTCAACATCATCTGTAGTTTGAACGGCTATACTATTCATCTGAAAACACATGACATTACACATTTTAAAACAAATCAAAGAAATGTAGGTATGCAAATAAAATGGGTATACATGACTTCATAGCAGTTATCATTTTCAAGGAAAAAAATGTATGAAGCAATTATCCAACAATTCAAACGATTGCCTTAATTTAAGTACTAAGGGTAATTGATTCCATAAGTAGGATATATGGATAAAATTTCTAAGCATACAGATACTCCTCAGCCATGCACTTACATAACTCAATAGCCATAAAGTTTTATGTACAGTGACTACTCCTTTCTAAAAGGGATATGGCTTTTGCCGCACTTATGAAAGTAAGCACACTGTGSCAAAAGCCAGGATCTTTATTAGACAGGAGCAGTCACCATACATTGTACAGCGATTAGTAATCAACTGCCTTAGCAGGTGTCAACAAGGCTTTCTCTGACCAGTATCTGGTCTCAGAGCGCTCACTACCAGCCTGTGCCATCTTATTATTGAAAACTGTCACTTTCCCAGTCACTGAAAGAGAGTATGTGCACACATCTTTGACATTTCCCAGGGCACAGTGACCTCACCTTACCAGCACTTTGAAACTCTTAGAGGTTTCCAATTCAAGTGACTGCAGACCACATATATTCTCGTAACTCAGTCAGCTTAGCAAATTCTGGCCCAGGACCAATGACAAACAGCAGGAGAAGCAAGACTATTATGCTACCAGCCATTTGCTAAGTGAGTATGAGTCAAACTTGAAGAGATGTTAAGCAAGTAATGTCAGAAGTGGCGTTGCAGATTCTGGCAGCACATGCTAGGAATCCTCCAACTGTTTGTTTACCTGCTCATTCTGCTTGGCGTAAAAGATGCAAAGCTTAGAGCCAAGAAGATAAACAAGACCAATGCATACTGAAGCTGTACTTGTAGGGACTTCAACAGAGGTTGCTGCACTGTGCGCACAGATTTCTGTCATTAAATTGTGCTGGCAATCCATAAATCTGCCTCTTGAAGTATTTCGTCATGTGCTCTACCGTGATTAAAGCTAGCATGGGTCTGCCAAGTTAGAGCAGACACACCTTTTGTTGCTGGGCAAGWACACCCAAGACTTAAAATATATTCATCCAAACACCCAAATTTAACATATGCTGTCTGAAGACACAGATGCAAACAGATACTACCACAGGGTACTTTGTTGATGTTTGTTTTCAAATAGAACACAAAATWAGGTAGAATGAAAGGATACAGAAATTAAAAGTTGCAGGGCAAACACAGCTTCCTTGAAAGGCAGAAGGAAACAGAACAGAACAAAAAAAATCATCCCCATAAATATTCTGGCTTTAGCTAAGCATGAAGACTTTTTGTATTTTTTGCCGTGAAATTGAAGACTGARTAGAATGGGGTGGAGCATGCATGGGGTACATTGTTCTGCCTGATAGTTCAACAAGTCCCTGAGGAAGGCCATGGCCTTTCTGAGAAGGAAAGAGTAAAAATAGAATGAATAAAAGTGTCTCAGTATGAAGGAGGAAAAAAAGCAGAAAGAATTGACAAACGGGGGAATCAGCATCACAGTATGATGGGATAGAATAAACATAAAGACCATCACAGACCTGTCACTGCTCTTTATTTAGCAGAACAAAAATTACACACTTTTAAGTGATTTCCATCTTTTTTGGTAAAGTGAGCTAGTAAACACAGCAAGGTGATCTGAAGGATTAATCTCAAATAAACATGGTAAATTTTGTGTTACTGTCACATAGGAAGGAAGGTAAGTTGCAATTTTAAATGCTTACACTCCTAGTTCCTAAACTAGAAGATCTTGCAGAAAGAAATACACAGAGCAGTGCTACAGGAAGCTGAAGTGGAAGACTGTGCTCACTGGGAAGCTTATTACAAAACAAGAAAAGTATTAAGATGGATATAATGGGAAGAGTAGGAAAAGRAAAGAGCATGGTGAGACTATACTTCATCAAAATCAATGATACCAGCAAACTGTTGTAGTATTTTTCTAGAGATAAAGAATAGGAACTCTTAAAAAAAATACATAGGGAAGGAAAATAAGATGATCTTACTCTGCCTTCCAACAGTAAAAAGGAAAACTATAAGGAAAGTGATTATCTGACTGTCATCTTATATTGACAAATGAGGAGCCAGAAACTGCTGCTTCTGAAACACATCAGTCAGCAGAAGCCTTTTTACCTCTACACAGGATGGAGACCCTTGTCTCCTCTGAGTTCATCCAGTGTGGACAAGTCTTCAGCAATAACTTACTTCTGAACATGGCTGTAACTGCCAAACCTTCCCCCAAAAAACTTTCAAAAAATCAACAAGAGCTACAATTTGCAACAAAGTGGGAAATCCAACAAGTCTCGGATTAAGGAGGCACATGTGGGATGGGTAATGGGGCATCTTTTTCCTGAGTTTAAGATCAAACTTTCTTCTTGAGCAACTGACAATCTTAGAGTTATTTCATATTTAGCATGAGCTTACAATCCCATCATTATGCTACAGGCATGTAGGTACACTTAATCTTTAAAATAYATTCTTAGAAGAAAAAAAATGCCTCAGAAACTAAAAAAGAATGTTTTACTCACAGAAGACTACTTTCGTAACAGTCCCAAGCTGTTCTGTGATGTCTCATCTCTACCCATTGTCACCATACAAAACACCACCTGCTCTGCTGATATTTGTGTGGTACTGAAAACACCTTTCCTATTGAGCATCACTCATACTAAATTAAAGGCTCCTGGAAATAGAAGTAAAATGATATTTCTCTTTAATTATGCAATACAATGGCTGCAAACAATGTTTCTCTGACTATAGCCAGAAGKGTGAGAGGAAAAAATAAACCAACAAAACATGAGTTTGGGGAGAGCAAGAACTATTCTTGCCTCTTTTTGTAATCATCTGAATTTTAAGGCAATTGGAATGGTTCTTATGCATTGAAACCAAAAYGGAATTTATAACTCGCTGAAGTGTGTACTTACCAACCATAGTCAATCTCAGAAAGGCTAGGACATACTTATTGTTAGCCAGCCKCCAAAAAGGGCCAATTGTCAAGAATACTGGAGAAAAGAACGCAATGGCAAAAACTTCTAGGCCTGTGAGTGCCAATGTCTGAAGGGGGAAGTAGTAGATCATTGGTGGCAATGCATGGTAAAGAGACCAAGAAATGTAGCCTAAAAAGGGGAAAAAAAGACAACAAAAAAAAGGAAAACCTCATCATGTATTTTCAACAGAAGATTTTCTGGAGATTACTTTAAAAGTACTATTTTATAGTTCCACATAGAGACTTATAAATGTATTTGAAAGTAGTTCAAGCAACAACTGCCACTTTCTGTGAAAAAAAGATAAAATTATTATTTCAAGTTAAACATATTTTCCTAGGAAATAGAACAATGAGAACAAAACAGCTCTTCCCCCATTCAGACAGTAGCTCCTTCTTTGATCCTCAGTGAGGAAGTGTTCAAGTTCAGAAAGGATTAATGTTCAGAGGCTGACTAACAGGCAGCCTGCCCAGAGTCTCAGGGCTCCTCAAAGGCAGAAAGATGGCTAAAGCAATTATTTTATTAAATTGGCGTGCTGCTCTCCCCTGGAGACACGTTATCCAGGCACACGAGCACTACGCTCTGAGTTTCCACGCTTTGCAGGAGATGAATAGAGCAGACAACCCCGCGGGTGCTGGCGACCACCGTCGGCGCTCTGCCTTGGGCAGGGCAGCACAGGATCGGCTCTGTACACCTGACACAAACACTTGGCCGGGAGCAGCAATAAATCCTAGGCTGATTCCAGAGAGAAAAGGTATTCCAGCACTAGAGGGGAAAAAAATGACCCTAAGAAGAGCACTCAGATGTGAGCACTATTTACTCAGTTCCGGAGGGAAGCTGTTCATCGGCGACACCCCTGCAGGTTCGGTGAGCCCCGCGTCACCTGCCGCGGCTGCCCTGCTACGGCCGGTCCTGGCTGAGCCCCCCGCTGCCCTTAACCGCGGYCCCTCGCCCCCAGCCCCGCAGGGCGGTACCGCCGCCACCTACCCAGGACACTCTCCGAGAGAACGGCCTTCCACAGGGGAAACATCGCCCCGGCGCTGCCCGACTCGGCGGGGGCTGCGTCCCTCTCCCCGGGAGCCGAGTCCCGAGTGCCCGGGAGGGTGCGGCGGCGCGCCCGTCCCGCCTCACGGAGCCGCGTCCCGCGGTGGGGGCGGGCAGCCCGCACGGCCGGAGCGCGTTCCTCACAGCCCCAGGAGAGCTCGCCCCTCCGCTCACGGGCCAGCAAAGGTGCCCCGAATAGTCACACCAGCAAGAAAAAGAAAAGCGAGACGTTGTCATCGCACAAGCTGGCGGGCGGAGAAAAGAGGAGCTAACCCACTTGGCAGCTTGGATAAATACATGGGTGATTACGCGGAGTTCGGGGATGTCCGAAATAGTACTGTGCTCACCTTTGCGAAATGCGAGTTGTTTTATAGCGGAGTACGGATTTCTGGTAAGCAATGCTGTCTACAAAAGGCACCAAAATAAGCATTTCGTTTGCTGGGATTCCTGAGTAATTACGTTTGTTCATTTTAGAAGAAATCATGAGTTAAATCGACCCAACTATGATCACAGATGTCAAGTTCTGGCAAAAGGATTACATAAGCAAAATCTGAATTTTAGAACTTTATTTTTGTCGTGAAAAGTAAAACTGTGAATATGAGCGAAGAACTATGAAGTCCTTTTGCTGTTGGATTATTTCATCTTAAGTTTTATTGATCRTCATGCAGCACCTCTGTGGAACTGACATCAGTATTTTCTCATTTGTGTTAAAACTGCTGTCCCATTCTAAATAAACCTTATGGTATGTATTTTCTTTCCCTGGTTTGTGAAACACTAAACCCACAGGAATAAATTGTAAAAACCTGGCATCTATATGATCTATTATTAGCAATAAAGTCTGGAAAGGCACGGTACTAAACTAAATTTTGTCCAAATAATCTCAAAGTCAAGCAATTCATTTACCCTGAAGTATGATTTGGTTTGGCTAGCTGCAAAAACTCCACTGAATTTTGGCAGCTATTTGAAAACATATATATGTTTAAAATGTCCACAAAAGAAGTGTTTTGATAGAAAAGTTGACCTCACTAGGGAGGAAAGAATGAGACTCATAGATTTAATGAGCTTTTCTCTGTTTTCTCCAAGTTCTATAACATTAAGGCATCTTTCGTTTTCTTCATTTAAGAAAAGTTGAACCAGAATAGYCACCACTTATCACTGGTTCAGATGATGACATCATTTCATCTTGCTGTGGYGTGATATTAATGGAACTTGGAAGAYGTGATCCTTGGCCAGAGTAAATGCAGAAAACGGCTGCTTTTGGAGCTGCATAGCAGGAATGTGAGGCTCCTAACATGTATTCAGCCAACAAATACTTGAAACAATTTTGCAACACTTTTTGCAATTACAGTATCTTGCGTMATGGTTCAGAGGAGGAGTTCCAGTAAAACCAGACATGACTGGAATTGTGAACCTAACGTGCTTRTGCAGCTTCCATTAAACTCATAATGCAATGAAAATAATGCACATCCTGACAAATTTATCCATTGTATTCTGGGTACTCTCTCTGAGATTCTTTGTAACTACTAAATTTGGCTTCACATGTCACAAAGTTACATTTTGAGCTGATTTACATATAAGCATAAGAGCAAAAGAGGAGAGAGTTTTCAGATGTAATGTCTTAAATACAAGAATCAAYGCTTGCAAGGTGTTTAGTTACACATACATGTGTAGGAATGCCTTTCACTATATCTTTTTTATTCTTGGAGTACCACATGTGTACCTGATAAAGAAAAAAAGCAAAAGCATTCAATCTTTACAGGAATACAGTGATGGCAAACCAGCAAAGTTAAGCAAACATACTACATAGGAATTTCCACTCACAGAAAATAAGCATTTTATAGGATAAAGGAGGGTAGTATTTAATACTCCCCTACCTTAAGGCAGACATAAAAGATTATCTGAATTTAACAGAAAATAAATTACAGCCCTATATTTGTATCAGTTTACAGGGGTAAACTTTTCTAAAGCCAGTGATTGTAAAAAAACAATGCTTTATTTGGGTTCAAATTATAATACAAGCATGTTTTGAAACCCAAGTAAACGCTTGGAATTTAAAAGAACTTTCAGACCCTTGGGAGAATTTGTCTTTTCATATTGTCCAGTAGAGATGTGCCYGAATGGGCATAGTGAAGAAGCAGACAAAAGTGCTAGGCAAACAGGGGAAAAATCATGAAAGCATGAGTACAGATTAGGATTAAAACAGAGACTGGAAAAAAAGTGGGTGTGGATGAGTTTACAGTTGGGCATGTGTCACAGTCTCTGTAAACACAAAGACATTCAGGTCTGTGCAATCATTTTGCTAGGTTCTTCACACTGAGAAGAGGAAATCCTATATCTTGAACATCTCATAATTGCCAGCTATTCATTTCTACTAAAAGATAGGCCATACCAAGTACAAAATAGATAGAAGTACATCCAAGAATCAGCCAAGACACAGAAAACTTACATGATTTCTTTTAAGTAGCAAGGACAGTTTAATGTTTTACTCAGAAGTATATTGACTGTTTCCTGCTGTGACTTTTCATGTCTTTTCATTYGCCCTTAACTCCTGCTCCCATCAGCATGAGAACAATGCCCTGCCGTGTAAATCTTACTTGGTTTTCCATGCTTGGTTACGGTTACAAAGCAAGGGGGTGGAGCTTTGTTTCCTAGGGAAATTTTAAGCAATGAACAGTGTTCGATTTTGTTTAGGACAAATAAACCATATTTATCCTGCGTGGTAATAGTTCTGCCAATCCTTGTATATATAAGTGGAGTGTTTCTGCTAAATATGACACTGGAAATGCTTTCCTTTGGTGAATGTGGTGAACCTCAGGACCCTGGCAACGCTTTAGTATTTTCTAAGAGGTGCTTCAGTCAAGCAGCCAGAACCTGTAAACCTTCCCTGAGTTTGTGAAATCTCAGTCCTTGATCTCTTTCTATGTTGACAACAGATAATTACTCACCCAAGCATTCAACCCCATATTAGTTGGTTTATTTTTGGTATCACTTGGGGTTTTTTTTTCTTTGATATGTAAAGTTGGGTTTGTACTGGGTGGGGTAAGAATCTCTCTTTTGCTTTGTRTTTATTCTTCTCAATCACTACCATTTATTAATTTCTGTCTATTATCTTCTCTCAGTTTTTGTAATTCTGAAGAACTTTCAGGTAAATCTAGGAAATAAAGAGTGTTTGAACAACATATTCCATTGTGATAACCAATTTTACATTTAAAGTTAAAATTAAATAGAAGTTTAAACTGATTTTCAATAGGCATTTTTGCACAGAAAGGTGCAAGAATCCAAATAGTCCTATCTCTAGACAATCACTTTCCCCAAGCACACATATGCCCCATGAGAAAATTCTCATTSCAGTGCTCTTTCATTTTATCTTCAGTTTAACCTGGACCAGTTAAGAAGTTATTGGTTATTAAGTACTMACCCCACATGGGATTTTCTTGTGTATTGTATTTTTCAGGATAATATGTAGCCAGGATCTATTTAATAGTTTTCATGTATGTTTTCAAGAATACCTTTTAGATCCCAGGAAGTATTAGATACACTTTTAAGAGTTGTTTTAGGACATCACTCTTGCCTAGCCTTCATGTGAAAAGCACATTTTGCAGCAGCAATGTCTGATCCTCTGATTTGGCAGGCAAGAATGGGAGAATAATCTGGTGAAAGGGGTTTCAAGTRGCCAAGACTAGAAGCTGAAAGCTTTTAGGAACTTAAGAAAATTAACTATGACTTATGTTCCTTATGAAACCGAGATACCAAGGGCATTCAAAAGGAGGAAGTTTAATGGTGATCTCACAGGCTGCGCACTGAAGTGTCACATCACCATTTATCACTTTACTGAAAACTATTGTCTTGCTGTGAAAAAAACAAAGCAAAAAAGGGAGGYTGGACCAGATGATCTCCAGCGGGCCCTTCCAGCCATAAGGATTCTGTGATTCCGTCAGTTACTAACGCATACCCTCGCTAAAAGAGCGTTCTGAATTTCATGGGGGAAATACGAGAAACACGAACTTTTCTTGGCGTGCTCGCTGTTTTTTGTACCGGAGCAGCCCACGGGGAGGCGAGAAGCGCTCGTGTAGCAGCAGATGCCGGCAGGAGCGAGGAGCGGGGCCGTGAGGGGAGCGGGGCGGGCCCTGAGGCGGCTCTGTCGCTGCRCCCCGCGGCCGGGAGGTGGCGCTGCGGGCCGTTCCCCGCCCAGCGCGGCTCAGCCCGGCGGGCGGACACGGGATGTGGCCGGTCCCCGCCCGGCCGGGGCTCCGGGACTGCCGGGCTCGCTCGCTCGTTCGTTTCCGGGGCTGGCCCGTTCCGCTTCCTTCCGCGGCCAGAGGAAGGTAAGCGCTGCTGGGGGCTGCGAGTGTGACTCCTCCTTTCCGCGCCGAGGGCTGAGCGCCGCGGGGGTGGGCTGGGGCCGGGGCCGGGGCGTGGCTCTCGGCGGCCGGCCCGGGGCAGGCAGCGGCTGCTCTGGGACATCTGCTGCCAGAGCCTGGCGGCACCGTTACCCGGCGGTTCAGGAAGCACATTGAGGTGTCCAGAGAAGAGCAACGGAGACGTTAGAGGGTCTGGAGTACAAGTGCTGTTAGGAGCGGCTGAGGGAGCTGGGGGTGTTTAGCCTGGAGAAAGGGAGCCTCAGGGGAACCTTACTGCTCTTTGCAGCTACCTGGAAGRAAGGAGGTTGAAGTCAGGTGGGAATTGGTCTCTTCTCCCAGACGACTAACGACAGAACAAGAGGATRTGGCCTCAAGCTGTGCCAGGGGAGGTTCAGGTTGAACGTCAGGAGCAATTTCTTCACTGAAAGGGTGATTAGACATCGGAATGGGCTGCCCAGGGAGGTGGTGGAGTGGACGTGGCAATCAGTGCTATAGTCTGATTGACAAGGTGGCGTTAGGTCATAGGTTGGACGCGGTGATCTCAGACGTCTTTGCCACCCTGATTTGTCTGTGATTTTGTGAAAGCAGCRCTCTGTGCTGGCCGGGGTGAGGGCACTGAGCAGCTGCTGCAGGGCTGTGCGAGCCTGGGCCATTCCTCAGTCCGTGCTGTCAGTCGTTGGGAGGGAGCTTTTCACTGGTGACCTTGTGCAGCTGCTCTGTAGACTCTGCTTTGAAATAAGAGCCTGGGTTTGAAACAAAGAGCCAGTTCAGATAGGTGTGAATCATCATGTCGGGTCTTGTCATCTGCCGTGTTCCTTACAATGCTCCCTGAAGCGCCTCTCTGAAACCTTCAATGAGTTGTCTCGGTGATGAGTGGTGCCTGCCTTGAGGCATCACAGCTCACTGCACGTACCGGTTAACATGCAATTTTGGCTCCCCATTTCTTCCGCCGAATACTGATAGAAATTATGTGGTCACCATTCCTATTCAGAAGGAGGTTTCTAATTGAAAATAGTATGTGAAGCTGACAATTCTCACATTTGAAAAACTAAGCGATCTTCTTGTATACTGCTTTTTTATCATCCCATTAGATGCATTGAAACCATGAGATTTTCCAGGAGCCTAATACTATAGTTTTCTTCTGTAAATGAATAAATGGTCCAGAACACTTCTTGCAGAAGATGGATACTTTTTTTTTTTTTAATATTTGATCCTTGCAAACCACGTTGATTTAATCTCATATTATACAGGTATTTCACTAAAACAGAAYAATATATAGGAAATTCTTCCCAAGGCAGCTTACACAACATACAGTTACTTGTTATTATTACACAAAGAATTACATATGAGGTTGAGAAAACAGCAAGGACTATTACAGAAAATTACAAGAAAATTACATTTCTTCAGTAAGCTATGGCAATGAAGTTATTTTCTGGGATGACAGTTGTCTTTCTGAGACACAGGGCCTCAAAATACTGGAACACTTTTACATTCCTTAGATAGGAGACAATATGTCTACTAGGTATGACTATTAATAATTCAGTTACATAATATTTTGATTATCTCAACTCTGTCTCTGTATTTCATTCTTGCCAGTATAGCTTTCAGCCCATGTAGGAATTGTACCATGAGGCTGCTTAAAGGGCTAAATATTTTTGAGGTTCTTTATTAAGCCGAAGCATTAGCATAGTTTGAATACTTATAATTCAGAAGAAATGTGTACTTAAAACAATGTAGGAGGCCAATGGCAAACTGCAAATCTTTATAGTCTTAATTTATACCCCTTTGTTTTCCTTTATTTTTTTTCTCCTGTGACTCAGCTGTTTTATCACTGAGAAAAAGACAAGCACTTTAAATCTGTTGCTACAGTTAGAAACTGTTTCCAGTGATTATTTTTCTGCAGCAGTCTGCACAAGTAGGCTTTGTGAGTAGATAAGAATAAGGAAGCAGATAAGAATAAGAAAATTTGATTCATTTTTGATTGACGCAAACCTCTTTAAAGTTTTATGTATTTTTCTCACGTTTTATGTCCTTTTTTTGCATTAAGTGACAARAGACTGATGAAAATTACATTGCTTTCGGACAGATTGAGGAAGACAGTGTAGAGCTGTGAGCTTTCCTATAATATGGGTTTTCAAACCCACGTTTATTCAAAGACACAGTGACCATTGTCATTTTTGCAAGTGTCTAAGAAAAAAGTGCAGATAGGTGTGATTTAAGTTTTTTTACCAAGGGTAGAGGAGATTATGTTGGTTCTGTTCCATTACTTTATAAAGCTCTGCTGTCTGAATATCTAGTGTATGTGAAGCAGACATTGCTTGAACTTTAYAGCTGTGTAACTAACCCCAAAATAAATGCAGGAAGTGTTTTTTACAATAATATTATGAATGCCAAAAAAACATTCAGGTTAATAAATTGTTGCATATCTTTTCTGTTAACTCTGCCCTTCTCAGTCACTTTAGCCTTGCTCRGTGCCACCATTCTCAGAAGGTACTTTCAGAAAAGCATTAGTGCCCTCTGTGTTAATAAAGTGCCAGACCATGTAGCAAAGTGCCAGGTAAAAATCACGATTTAGGTGTTTGAATTAGTCTAGAAATAAATAAGTTTCCTTCTTGCTTCTCCCTAGCAGCACAGTTCTCAGGCATGGAAGACCACAACTTTAAAACTCTTTGGAATCTATTTATTCTTTTGTTTGATTGTTTATTTTAAAGGATGTTTGTAACTGAATTGTGGAAATGCAAATGTSGTTTGTGATAGGCTTGTCTGGTGGGTCCCATGGAATCCAGGCTTCAGATGATGGCAGTGAGGATAGAAGCAGT